TTTTACTTTGGATTGTGTTGGGTTCAGAGAAGACTTAGATGTCCCTTATCCAAGAACGTAAATGTCTATGTTTTTCTCATGCTGATACTCACAGAATACTGTTACTACACCACAGATAATCTGTAACTTTGGTAGCTTAAGGGTTTTTTCTTTGAAATAGAATAGTGCCCGTCTGCTCACACACAAAAAGTGCTTGTCGAAACTACATTCTATGCCTTATGGCCACTGCGGAAGTGAACTGAATGACTCCATCACATGAGTGGGTGAATGGGTGGGTGAATGTTGTGCCACTGTGTTGTGGAATTCCCCATGTTCGAGTACTTATCTTTTCCATACAATATCAGTGAGCCACGCACAAGTCATTCAGACTTGGAGATTTTAAAGAAATATTTACCAGTTATACTGTTAGCACAGAAGAAAGTGGGTATACTGAACAGCCGTGCCTCATGTTACAGGTTATTTATGTTCCAATACAAACTTTCTAAAGGTTAACTTCAGGACCACATATTCTTAAGTAGCATGTTAACCCTCGAACAATTTCTTGCAATATATTTAATTCAATTTGAATAAAACAACATTCGAATATCTATTGGTATATACAGTGCCTTCAAAGGTATGATCTTCCATTTTGTGAAATTCCAAAATGATACATATACATTTTTTTAAACATTATATTGTATTCAAAACCTGAATCCACTTCTGATGGTGAGATATGTTACAGTACATGTCAACAAAAACTAAAGAGAAAAAAATGATATAAATTGATGGATTAAGTGTTCAGACTTGTTTACTTAATCTTTGGTGGAAGCCCTGTTGTCACCAATTACAGCCACAAGCCTTTCTGGTGTAAGTCTCTATCAGCTGACTTCATAGCTGGGTGCTGCCATCACCATGCTGGACTGTGGAGACTGTGGTGACTAGAAGATGTGCTGTGTTACATAATGCTTGGCACATACTGTAGACCAAATTATTCCAGTTAGGTCTTATGTAACTACAGAACCTTTTAGCACATTTTTGCAAGTATACTTTGCCAGTATTTTGTTGTGGACTCTATGCAGCCTTTGGGATGGCTGATTTTTAGTAATAGGTTCCTTCTTTCCATTCAGCCATGCAGGCCAGTTTGTGATATATTGCGAATGCCAGCGCTATTGAACTCTGTAGCTCTTTCAAAGTGCCCATTTGCCTCACAGTGGCATCGCTGACCAGTCTCCTTCTTGCCTGGATGCTCAGTTTGGAGGGACGTCCTCATTTCACCATTATCTGGGTTATATCTCGCACTTTGCAATTCCTGATGTTTGCATAGACTGTGCAAATGGGGATATTCAGGGATTCTGACATTTTCTCCACTCATCTTATTCTAAACATAATTTAATTTAGGTTTGGCCGTAGCAGATGGTTCGAATACTTGTGCAATCACGACTTTGACATTTTTATTTCATATTAATCTAATTAACCCTTTCTTTTTGTTTATGGCTTTGAACGTGTGGAGGAGATTTGTGTATATCAAATACTAATTTCAACTTGAAAGTGTCATGACTACAAGCTTTAAAGCAATAAAATGTGAAAACCATGCAAGGTTCTGAATACACATGCCATAGAGAAAATGGCACTATAACTGTATCATCATGTGTGTTGAATCCTATGGGCACTTCCATTTGAATGCGAATGCTGCACACGACTGTGGTCTTTAAAGTGTTAAGAATAACACAAATGCCAATGTGTTTTTCATCACTGCAGAACTCTATGTACTGTCCAAGTGTGAATCCCTCGCTGACTAGACCAACGGCAACTGGAACAGCACAAGACATCACTCTCACTCTGAACAACACAAAAGAGGTACAGGTTCTTTCATCTCTATTTAGCTGACGCAAGCTGTTACTGCTTAGTCAGCGTAGTCAGCATCTCTGAAGGGGCTTCACAGCAGATGAGACTTAATAGTGATTTTTAACAAAGGTAGACGAGGCTGTTGTCTCCTGACAGTGATTTGAATTTTTGTTTCATTGTTTATGTGTAGTATGTATGATTTATTTTCCAGCTATATGTATCAGACTAAGTGCAGTTTACCACTGGCTGTTTATACACACCATATGGTATAACACCAGAAGGCATCACTTTAAAATGGCCTCTCTAAATGCCTTCATGACTTTGAGACCATTTCCATAGAAATATGAAATGCAAATGGTTATAGATATTCCAAAATAACTTGTGCATTTATAAATTTCCATATATTAAGTGTTTATACGGTATGTTAAAAGATTCCAACTTACATATCCAATGGGTTCTTTTTTAGTTGAGGGAAGGAACAGTCCAAAGGAATATGTCTGGTTTCATCCCCTCAACATATATGATCTGTAAACTAAACTTATTTTTAAAAACTGCACAACCTGCAGATGTGCTTTTCAGTTAACTGACCTTCAAGAATGTGATTTGCACCAGAAAAGCTTTGAAGACACAAGACATCTCTTAAATAGCATCTGGTAGAAACATGTACCTGTAGCATAAGCCACTGACACAGGAAATTCACCCACCTCCATCACAAGTTTGCACCAAATGTATCTGTCTGTGGCAAGATGTGATATTGAGGATTATCAAAGAAAGAAAGGACACACAGTCGGAAGAACTTCAAAAGACATCTTTAAACTGAAACAGTAAAATGAAGCTCCTTAAAATATAATATGTTAAGGCATCAGACCACATATTTGTCTTAGTTTTTTTCTCAAAACGCTTTTTATGTTTGTGGATTTTGTTTCATTTTGGGAGCTGAGTTAGAGGGAGGTGGAGCATAACAAAAAGATTATTAAATAGAGTTTCATCATGTTGCAGCAATTACAATACCAGTCTAGTTATTGTAGACTCAAGTTCATTTGATTTTAAATGGAAGTTATTAACTGAAGTTCGGGATAACAACAACAGGTCACTCTGACAAAGCTGTTTCTCATCATCATTATTAACAAACTTAGCTATATATAGTATATCGAGCAAACAAAATCTCCCTTTGACTCAACCATCATTCCTCCACCCCCTCTCCACCTTGCAGCTACCACTTGGTTCACTTGGTTCAAGAGGAGGCTACCCAATAATCAAGTGGGTTAAGACTACTTCTCTCACCAAGTATTCCAAACATTCACAAAATGAAGAATAAAAGTTGGATGTTGTTGTCTCTAGTGAAATGCATTTATTAGTGCCGCTAGGACAATTTAGTTTCACCTACAGCTGGATACTCAATCATTTCAGAATTAATTTGAAAAAAGATACTTAGAAGCAGAGTACCCCGTGCTTACCTCATAACCAGAAAAAGCTAATGAAACAGCTGCTGCTGCCAGCACAGTCAGATCTTGATTGCTCTGCACTTCTACTGTGACTGTCTGACTTCATTTTAAGGGCATTGTGTGAGACAACACAGAAGGTTGTACCAATGATAAGTGGTGGGGAAAATCTTGTATTGTTTCGTTTTTTAACCTTTTCTGTTTCAAGAACTTACAATTGATCATTCTCTCTCACAAAATAAAATTAATGAGTAATGATAATGGGGTTATGTGATGCAATTTATCAGATCATAGTATCTTACTAGTAACAGTCTTTCATGCTTAGATCTTTTGTATTGTAAGGGACCGTCTCTGGGAATAGAGTTTAGGTTTCATGAAGATGCTTTGTCTTTGACATACTGTAGTCATTGTAAAAATGGTTTATATGCCTGGATGCAGAGAAACACATACCAGATCACATTTCGGACAACGATGGAGAGTAGGAACCCCCCTTGTTGTGGTTGATGTGAATGACGTGCTTTGTTTTCCCTAGATCTGAGCCGAGTGCAGAGTTTCCATGTAAGGGTTGGCTGACAAGGTCGAGGATTATTCCGCTGTGTTTCCCTAACCCCTTGTACTCTGTTTTCCTTGGACCAGGGAACACCACTGCAGTGTGATTTCGGAAATGATCAGTTATACGAAGCAACATGGCTTGACCAATCGACAATTAAATGCAGCAGCGTAACAGTGAGTATTGCATTCCAGCCAGTGCTCATCTGTCATGGAGCTCACGGTTGTCTGTATTTTGTTTATATTGCTGTTTAATGCAGGTTGGTATTTCTGGCCTTTATTGATAGCTTTGCAGTTGTTATGCTAAAATTAATATGTCCAATTCTGTAAAGATCTGTTTTCTTTTGAAAATGGTACAGCAAGGGTCTCCTTTAAAAAACCTTGCAAATTAACATTTTTCTGCATTGACTCATGAGATTAAAGAGTACAAGTTGTATGAGAGTAGCACCCGCGGAAGCTTTTTGATTACTGTAATGCCTTAGAAAATTGCAGATGAGTTCTCTAGAAGATGAAGTACTTTCACTTTTTTATTCTTGTGAATTCACTGTAAAATTCAGACGCATTAGCATGTTAAAGACTAAGGCTACATCATTGTCTGAAATGAATGCCAAGTTTTTCCTTAATTTGGAAAAAGTCCAGTATTATTTGCCTATGTTTCTTTTTCATTAAGTTGTTACATACCTGAGGAGCTCCTGCATGATTAATGACCTTTAAGTTACAGTGCTATGCACCTTAAGCAGGAGAGTAAGCATTTATCAACTAGGCTTCATAAAATTGTAAGATACAGTCCTACATTCAGTCATGCCACAGTAAGCTTATTTAAGCTATGAAAGAGAGCTTAACATTTACTTTTTGCTTTTGTTATTTGACGTATTATTTATTACAAAAGATGTTATCTCGATAGCTGTTATGGGTTCAAGTGTTCAAGGCTATGCTTTGCAGCCTGTGTCAGAAGAAATGATATGTAAGTTGACTGACATTATGCCTGTGTCAGCTGACTAAGTGTGTACTGTGTGGCTGTTTGCACTGTGAAAACTGGTGGGTGGGAGTGACAAGTGAGAATCAGAACAGCGGAAAAATTCAGAAAGATAAGTACAAAAACGCTAATTAAATAAAAACAAACATCCACACAAATTCAGTCTGTCTCTCAACTCTTGTCAAATATTGCAGTTATACACAACAAAGAGAAGCCAGACAGTCCATCTCAACCTGCGATTGAAGAAACACCAGGACAAATTCCTTGACAGCCCTCTACCAGTCACAGGTCTGTAGTGCTTACACAGGCAGTATTTAAACCTCTCAAGGGACAAACAGAAAGGGTCCAGAAACTGTACTGTAGTGCTACATATCTGTTGTGTGTTTTTCTAACAAAGTTTAACAGAAGTAACTTCAGTATAATTGAGAGGATGATGAAGAGCGAGTTAGTGAGCAGAAGTGAGTAAATATTTACTATTTTCCCTGCTTGCAGAGTTATTTTCTTCCTGAGCTTGCATTTGACCTAAATTCAGGAAGCATGCTTATTTAATGTCAACCTTTTCTCCTGCTAGAAATATTATGATAAGACTGTTCTAGGAAACAGAATTACACAGCCCATTTAGCATCGCAATTACACTTTCTGCAATGCAAATATTATCAAAGCTGCTCTAATGAGGAATTAAAGAGAAGAGAATGGGAAACATGAAGCTTCAAATTAACATACTGTATAAGCCTGCTGAGAAGTTGTTTTTTTATGTTAAGTGCATAATTTATAGATACAAGTATTTGAGTTGTGAGCTGTGTCATGGAGGTTAATTCTATGCTGAAGGGAAGGGAGAAGTAATAAAAGCATTTAAGGCTGTTTTTAACAGGTGTGTAAGCTTTACTTTATAAGTTAGATTTTTCTTCTTTCTACTTTTCAGTGTGAAATTAACCTCTTAACCTACTTGTTCTTATACAAGCAAGTGGTCTGTGTCTGAACCTTGATTGGAGTGAATGCACACTCCCTGTGGTGTAAGACAAGACAAGACATGATATATTGCTCTTCTGACCCCTATGCCTGACAGTGGAGGTGTACAACTGTGGGACAGGCAGCACAGACTGCTCTCAGTGCTTGGGACGGGAAGACGAAGGCCATTTCTGCTCCTGGTGTGACAACACGTGCAAGCCCAGGGATGAGTGTCAACCCCTTAAGACCACCTGTCCTGCCCCGGAGATATGGGAGGTAAAAGCCCACATACACACCCAATAGGTTTCAGTTAGGGGCTCTATTGCTTCCATAGTCAACTGAGGCTTTGTAAAAGAAGGTGCACATTTACCTCTTTCTGACTTCATGGAAAAGCTGAGGGGGAGAGCTGGCATTGGCATTGCAGTCACATTGTGGGATAGTCAGGACAGCTGCTTCTTTGATAACATGAGCTGCTGTGTTTTGAGTGGTTATTTGTAGGATACACTGAAATCCCTGCAAGACAGATCATTCACAGTAACGGAACAGAATTAAAATTAATATAAGCACTAAAAAGGTGAATATTTAGTGTGACACTTCTCTGTTCTGAATCCACAATGCTAGATAAAGTGTGTCACATCTGAAATATTTTGGGTTACTTCCAGATAAAAAAGGACACCGTACATGTGCAGTATTGTTGTTCTAATGTTAATTTATACATAGTGCTCTTCTTGCCATTAATTCGACATAATGTAATTTGACATTTTTTTTGTGGTTGGTTTTAATTTGCAGAATCAAATCTTCCCCTTTATTAATATAGCCCTGCAATGGACTGGTGGTCATATCTATTTTTCTGCTTACCACAACACTTACCAGGATGTGCAGATTTCTGATGATGGATAGATACTCCTACTCACACAAACTGTAAAAAAGACTAAAAGATTGAAAGACGGTACAGTGTTCAGAAAACCTAATTTAGTTAATGGAATGGAAGGAAAAGTATAGAAACAGTACGTTGTTGGCGTATACAGCAGTATTTAGTGTCCAAATCCTGTCTCATGAGTCTGTTCTTGGGCATAATTAAGAATGATTTCCAAAACTGACTCCTGAAAAATAACACTGATGAACAATACATCAGCATCACTTTTTGTAACTGGTTTCCAGTGTCAGTCTCTGGCAAATCATTCCTGCTAATGGAATAATCAGACTTCTGAAATGATGCAAGCCTCGCAAAAGGATTATATTTATATATTAATAAATCCAAAAAATGGAAACCAAGTCACTGAACAATAATACTATGGGTTAGATGTGACCTTAAGAGAATAAGTTTGCATCAAAGATCTGGGAACATTTAGTGTTTCTTTATTTTTCTTCTGAGTACAGATGGCTGACTGCAGATTAGATCCAGTGAAGCCTGTAGTAAATATCAGAAGCCTGATATTGCTACAAATATCTGGTGGTTACAGCAGTCACATTACTAAGTGATATGAGGAAATTGATAAAGTAGTAACAGTGTAAATATATTCATGCTACTCTTTTTAAATCCATGTTCTTATCAGCAATTCTAATGAATGCCAGACATAGATAATTGTCTGTTAAGACTACAGAAATAGCTGTACTTTGCAAAACTCTTTTTCCTCTTCCAAGGATGTCCCATTTTGTTTAATTAAAAGTGATGTATATGGTACACATTTTTAAGTGAGTAATTTAAGACATTAAAAGCTAAAACTGAACAGTTTTGTGAGTGACAGTAGCACAAACTGCAAATAAAAATTGTGAACCTGAAATGAGACGTCAATGAAAAGAATCTTGTTAATCTAATAATGGAACTGTGAAGGTTAGTAGGGAACACAGCTAGATGAGCTGCAATTATTATCAAAGAAATAATTATTTGAGCAAGACTTCTGTTTGAGGTGGTGAACAGGGGTTCTTATTCCATAGAGATGTTTTACATTTTCATCGCTGTCAATTTTCTGTTAAAGTAACCATAGTACTGACCAAAACCACAGTAATGACCATAACCATAGTACTGACTATGACCACAGTACTAGCCATAACTATAGTACTGGCTGTAACCATAGTACTCACCATAACCATAGTAGTGATTGTGACCATAGGACCATAAACATAATATTAACTATGACCAGAGTAAATATCAAGTATAACCATAGTACTAACCATAACCAACGCAGTGACTATAACAATAGTACTGACCGTAACCATTGTACTGACCATAACCATAATATTAACTATGACCAGAGTAAAAATCAAGTATAAGCATAATACTGACTATAACCATAGCATTAACTATATTCATAATACTGACCAAAAACAAAACTACTGACTGTAACCATAATACTGCCTATAACCTAAGATGGAAACAGTGGCGGCAAGGCAAATTACACCCTGTTTCGATGCCAGTAAATCGCACACTCACGCAGGGACAAATCAGAGACACTATTGAAACCAGAGTACCCAGAGAGCATGGGGAATAATATTCAAACTCTATACAGAAGTCCACAATCAAGCCCAGAACCCAAGAGCAGTGAGGCAGAATGCCATTGTGCCTTGGTGCAATAAGAAATTATTTATTGAATTCTTCTTAATTTTTTCAAGATACTGTATATTACAGAGAGGCCACCAGTAGGGTCTGCATTTTCTTCTGAGATTACTGTTGCGTGATACTTTCTTGCTGTTGCTATTGTTTTTGTTTTTTTTTGTGCTGCAAACTAAAAATAAAAGCCAGCGTGCTGGAGGCAGCCTGTCCTGAAGGAGTGTGCTGCAATCCCAGAACTTGCTGTTTCAGCTGGGCCTCTGTGGTCAGCTCTGAGAAGCGAAGTTTCCCCCTGACCTAGTTCTGCACATTCCAGGCTTCCTGTCAGCTCCTTTCTCTCCCTTCTCTTGCAGATCGAGCCTCTCAGTGGGCCGCTGGAGGGGGGCACCCTGCTCACAATACGAGGAAGGAACTTGGGTCGCAGGTTTACTGACATCGTGGTTTCTATCAGACATGTGCACTGTCTCCCTATCCAGAGCCAATACATTGTTTCAGAGAAGTAAGTGATTATGAAGGACAGCTAGATCCCATTTCAAAGCTCAAGGGGCATGTATTTTCTTTATAGTGGTTCTTTTTCAGGAGGACCGTGTCCTTTAAATTTATCACAAAACAATACTGTTTTGACTACAGTCCTGCACAGAAAGTGTACACAAACCTGTGACTCAGAGATACCAATTTCAGCAACTTTATTCAAACCAGGTGTATAGTTTTGTCACAGACTGAAGACTGCAGTATAACGGTCTAGTAAGTGTTAATATGGAGATTCTCCTTCTGTTACTGTTAGACACAACAGCATGTGTTAAGTAGGAAATGTTCTGACACATTGAAATCACAACAGTTTGGCGGTGATTCTTTATCACCAAACTTTAAATGAAGGAAATAACCTGCTCTCCAAAAGAAAATTGTGTTCACACTGTAGTAAGAAAGCATGCCTCTCCCCTTCCAATTCTTCCGGTAGATTCTAAGTTCTGTAGATGCTTTCTCCTCCTTTTGGCTTCTCTGTTCACTGTCTTCAGTAAATATGCAAGCAATATACAGTATAAACAAGAGTGCTATTGATAGCAGTATTTTAACTATAAAAACAGGCCTTTTTACAAGTGGAGGGATAGCAAAACACCCATCATTAAGAAAACTATGGCACACAAATAAGAACCTATTTGAAAAGATGAAAAAACAAGGACAAGAGAATACACTAAGAAATAAAGTGACCTATAACTGTTTTTAAGACATCATTTTCTGCAGTACAGGTTAATACACTTGCTGATCAATAGCTTCACTATTGCATTCCCCTTGGCATCTCTGGGATGCTTGGCTGCAAACTATGATTTTGGGGGATCATGCCCTTTGACTGTATTTCCCTTTATGTTGTGTTTGCAATCTCTGAGTAAAATGAACCCCAGATTTAATCTACTGAAGGAACAATATTTGTCAAAATTGTGCTAAAAAGAGATCTTTTTTAATGTGCCATTTGTCAAGAAACTTGTCTGAAGGTCTGCCCAGTAACACACGTGCACACATTTGTCTTAACTTAAATGGCCAAATAACTGTTCTTCTTTCTGTCTGACTATGTGTAGAATTGTCTGTAAGACTGGGAGCTCAGCGTCTGCCTTCTCAGATACGGTGACTGTGAATGTGAGTCAGTCGGTGGGGAGGTCCCAGAAATTATTTAAATATTTGGTGAGTCTAATTTTTCTTTTGTGATATTTTTGTAAACTTTAGAGCACAAAACCTGCACACAGAGGTCCCATAAGAAGGAACTTGTCACTTTCTGCACAAATGTTATTAGACGTCATTTTAAATTATTTTCTTTTAACTTCCAAAAGTGCAAAGCTTTGGAGTACTTTGAATGTGTGTTATATAAAGCCTTAACGACATTTATTCTGAATTTCTGCATTGTTGCAGCTAATAGTTCTTTACTGTTTTTAATATGTTTTTCTAGGAACTCCAGACATTTCACTGCTCAGTTATTCATATTTCACAGGGTTATGCCTGTGAATACAGTGGCAGAGCCCAAACATGACTAAACCATACCGTATAATGATTTCAAATCACTGAGTCTCTAAAATTCTCAACTGACATGTTCATGGGTGTGGTGGAAAAACGTATTTTACTGTTTCCATGGTACTGACCCCGTACATGTTTGAGCAGCTCTGCGAATAGGATGAAATAAATAAAGTGATCTGTTCACTCTGTATTTTGAACACTGCACAAATAAAATTCAGCTGGATATTCTTTTTTTTATTTCATCACAAGACAAACAAAACACTGGGCCCACTGTGAAAGGAGCTCCCATTAAAATGTGTAAACCATTAAGATGAGTCATTTCTGCCTTTGAAATATTGAGTCTGTCTTTTGAAGCCATAATTTCATTTTTCATGGATTTTTTAGATTTATATGAGCTTGAAATTACTTCAAGCTTCTTGCACCTTTCCAACTCTGAAGGGCTGAAGATTTCTCGATATGAATGAGAGTTTCCTTCTCAGAACTGATCCCTTCAATAGTAACTCTCCATACAAATCACCAAAAGAGAGCATTAAAGGAAGCATAATCAATTTTATCATCTTCATCACAGTTGTAGATGAAGATGTAGATGTTGATGTGACCTTAGGACACTTTGCTAAGATAGTAGAGAAGAAGCAGAAGACTACAAAAGTTTACCTGTAGGGTGGATGTTATCAATGAAACACAATTGCTTTTTACACAAATGCTCAACGAACATTTCTTTTGGCAAGTTTTCTTTGAAATAAGTTTCAAAAAAAGAGGTGAATATGGGGAGGTACCATTCAGATACTATAGCTGCAATCTAAATTAACTTCCCCTGCGGATTTACCAAGATTAAAATGTGGCGCTCATAGACAAGAAGGAAATGTGCTGTTTATCTCCGACCAAGTTTTTTTCTCCCCAGGAAACATCTGCCACAATAAACACGCGTCACGCAGTGACCATGTCTCAGACAATAGCCCCTGACAGACCCCCCCTTCCCCATGAGGAAGTGAATCCTGTCTTGGGGAATAAGAAATGTGCAGGACAGTTGAGAACAGGCCTGTCTTTTGTTATAGAGAATTAAAAGGGAGGTATACTTGAGGCCAGTGAAAAGTACTACATTTCAGGCTGCCACAAAACACCAGACTGGCTTGGCCATGGGCCATACCAGATATTTGTCAAGTCACCAAGACTCTGGGTTTTGAAATGCAATCAGGAATAAGACAGCATGCAACGCCATACATTTCTCATCCGAAAACACTGCCTGCTATGTTGTGCACACAATGTGAATCACTTTGATTCATATTTATACTGTATTACCACCCGGGGAACGTGGATATGTGTATAAAATATCTGAATGTAATTTTTTAGCAAAGCAAAAGTTTATTGGAAAAATTACTGAAGATGATGGCGGCTGAAAAGCATTTTGTTTTATGCGGGGAACATATACACATTTCTTCTCTTTTAAAAGTCAAGTGTCTGCGTTCATCTGGGTTTGGAGTAGTGCACTAGCAGAACATGAGTGAGAGATTGTGCTCCTTCAATCCGAAAGGTGGTTTATCAGCCTCTTTTTTTCTTCAGGTGCCGGAGGTTTTCTCTATTGAGCCGAAAAACGGCTCCAGGGCTGGGGGAACCAAAGTCACCATCAGTGGGAGACACCTGGGAGTTGGCACGAGGGTGAGAGTGAAGGTCAACGGGACTCAGGAATGCACTGACCTGATGTAAGTTTTTCTCTCCTTTCCAGGCATGCAGCATTCCAGAGTGTGCAGCAGATTTACACTATTTCACACTTTGCGATTTTACTATTTCATTATCAACCTGTTTAGGAATTGCTTTCAATAATAATTTGAATAATATATCGCATTTTTTTCTGGACACTCCACTCAAAGCACTTTACAGGTAATGGGGACTCCCCTCCACCACCACCGATATGTAGCCTCGAGTCCGCTCGTACTCGGACGTACGAGTACGCTCACCACACATCAGCTGTCAGTGTGGAGGAGAGCAGAGTAATGAAGTCAATTCAGAGAAAGGGATTATTAGGAGGCCATGATTGGTAATGGCCAGGAGGAAATTTGGCCAGGACACTAGGGTAACACCCCTTCTCTTTTTGAGAAATGCCCTTGGATTTTTAATGGCCACAGAGAGTCAGGACCTTGGTTTTACATCTCATTTGAAGGATGGTGGCTTCACAGACCCACAGAGACTCTTCTAGCAGCAGCCTTAGCTTCCCCCGGAGGTCTGCCATCCAGGTACTTTTGAGCTTTGATGACGATTCCTTCTTTCTCTCTGCCCTCACAGACGAACAGAGGACACTATTAAATGCACCATGCCTGCAGCAAAGCACTCCAAGACCGAGGCTGTCCAGGTGTGCGTTGAGTTTGAGGAAACCCCTTGTCAAAACTCAAAGTGGGTCACCCAGTACACTTACGAGAAAAACCCTGACATAGCGGCCATCAGGCCAGGAACAAGCCATCTCAGGTGCAGTACCTCTTCAGAAGCATTATAATGTACTAATGACGATACAGTAAACCCTCGGTTTAAAGGACTAGACTTCAGATTTAACAGACAAAGTCTGCTGAAGGGCAATTATGTCTGTAAAATCAGAAATAGTAAAGTAGTATATTATACTGTATACCAAGGGTATACTGTAATCACCTTTCTCCACCACCAGCTGCAGGTTTTCAGGGAAATGCAAACTAACTCTTCATATTACCAGATAAATAAGAAATGACAATATTGAATTGTAAACCTGCCTTTAAAGTGTAATCTATTACGTTAACTATTTTCTGAAAATGCCCCATAATGATATATAGTAGTGAATCTATCTTCAAAGCATCCATTAGATCTTAAGACTCTTTTAGAGAATTTTAAACAAGTTGTCAAACTAAAAGCCTCTTAAGCTTTCAAACTGTGAGTTAATGATATATGCAGTATGGGGAATTGTTTTCTTGAGTGTCTCCTCCATGGCTTTGAATTGCTATTCAAATTGTCTGTTTTTTATCAGTGGAGGAAGAACAATCACAGTGATGGGACATGGTTTCAATCTCGTACAGAATGTCACTATGGAGGTCAAAGAAAGCAGAGAGCAAGCTGTAAGTGTGATGTCTGTGCTTCTGATTACTATCATTATAAGTCAGAACACTTAAACTAAATATGCTACCCGGTTTAAATATCTTGACATTCTTCAGATACTTAACTGAATTTCCTGCTATTTGTATATCTGTTAAAATGTATGAAACTATATCTCGGGATCCTAGCAAAGAGTAGTATACAATATTTAATGTTGGCTGACAGGTTGGTATGTTGGTGGCCAGGAGTATGTTAGTGACTACTAGCAGAACAGGGTTGCTTAGGTTAGAGTTTTTATACCCCTTGTGATATTCTGGGTCCCAGGAGGAAGTCATTTTGTAATGTAACTGTGAATGTTCCTTTCAGCAATGCTACGTTCATACAAACTACATTATCAGCTGCCAGTCCCCACCAGCTCTGCATCCTATGAAAGCTACAGTGGAGTTTTATCTGAACGGTGTCCTGTACACACGGGAAAGTCCTGCTGCTCCCTATGGGCTGGAGGATGAGGACGAGCCTCACAGTGGCCTCTTTTCCCTGGAATATCTGGGGGACCCTCAGTTCCACACCGCCAGCAAGGAGAGACTGATCAAACACCATCCAGGAGAACCCCTTACCCTGATCATCAATGTGAGTCACTCCTATAATTAAGAAATATATTTTCTGCCCTCTGATGAGACAGTGTGCTACAGTGTAATGCATAAGTATTGAGACAGTGAAATTAACCTTGTCAATTTTGCTGTGTAATGTTGAAATTTGTATTTCAGATCCAAAGACAAATAAGATTAAAAAGTACGGAATATCAGCATTTATTTTGGGATATTTTTAAGCATACATGTTAAACACTGTTTTAACAATTACAGGCCCACATAAGTATTGGGACAAATTGACCTAAAGTAAATTAAACTAAAGTAAAAGGTTTTTGGTCACGTACCCTTTACGTGCAATGATTTCTTCAAATCTGTGACCCATCAACATTACCTGACTCTTAATATGTTCCTTTTTAGATGCTTTGCCTAGTCTTTGCTACAATGCTGAAATGCTGAAAATGCTATCCTGCTTGAGAATGGCAACAGTTGGAGTAACAGTTTCACAGAGGCAGTTTGAAGATAAAAAATGACAGAACCTTCCTAGTTTGCAAGCTGTATACAAACAGTTCAGCATATCTAGCTCTGCTAAATAAAAAATGATCACTCCCATGTGTCTTTGATAAGAACAATATCTCGACTGAAGTCATGTTTGTCGGCGGTCTCTGCCCCAGCAGCACACAAGCCAGAACTGGCACATGAAGACCTTGTTTTTGGCAGGAGTCCTTTTTTCGAGTGCTTCTCAAGCCCCAGTTTGTTAAAGGCTCTCTCATCCCTCCCTTTTCTCAGAAAAGTGAGCCTTGTTAAACATCCAAGTCTTAGCTGCAGTCACGTTCTTTTGTTGCTTGTTTGAGGTGCGACACTCCACTGGGCAAGTTGTAACGGATTTTTGAAAAAGGTGGGACCAGGGCAGAAGATACACTAACACAGCCATAATGTTAAAAAAGTTGTTCTCTTTATTTACGGCTCAGGAGAAAAACAGCCACCAAGCAAACCAAAAGAAAATAAAAGCCTTTTTGAGCTCCTGACTTCGATTCTTAACTATCCTGTTGAACAGCCAGGAAGCCTACTGGTATTAAAACCAAACGGCAGTTCGATACTCTCTTCTTGATACTCTTCACAAAAATACCATTATTTTTTTAAACTATTACCTGACCAGCTGTCCTGCAGTTACTGGTCAGGTGACTGAGAGCAGCAGCTCATTCTCCAAAATGTCCCGGGCTGCCACCTTGTCACAAAAGTGGGGTTTTTTAGCTTCCTCTTCAACAAGTAAAATGCATGGTTAATACAATTCAGAGGAGGGGATAGATGGGCCAGCTTCAAAGTTTCCACTTCTTATGCTTGTTATTTCCGATGAGCCCCTTGGATAGGTGTGCAGTATTTTTGGGGTCATGTCTTGCTGCAGGGTGAATGGCTGCTCAATGATTTGGACAACATTACTTTGGTCATGGGGAGACAACATTTCTGTAGATGTCATAATTCATTCTGCTGCTACCATTATCAGTTACTGTATATCATCAATAACGAATAGTGAGCCCCTTCCAGAGGCAATCATGCCTGCCCAAACTATGCTACTACCTCTACAATACTTCACAGATGAAGCAGTTCCTCTTTCTCCTTCGTTTAGCTTTTCCATGACTTAGGTAGAGGTTTATCTTTGTCTCCTCTGTCCACAAAACTTTGCTCCACAACTGTTGTGGCTCTTCTTTGTACCTCTTAACAAATTCAGATTTGACTCGTTGTCTTTAGTGCTGATAAGAGATTTGCATTTTGCTGTGTAGCCCTTGTAATTCTCCTGTTGAAGTCTACTGTCTTTACTAAACTAAAATACTTTCACCCCTGCACTCTGGAGATTAACAGAAAACTTTTTGGCTGTTGTTTTAGGGTTTTTCATCATAGGTCTAATGGGTTTTCTGTTATCAACGTCTGTTTTCTTCCTTGGACAACCAGGTCTTTGTCAACGCCTTTCTCCTCTGGTAGTTTTGCTCTGCAACGATTCTAATTAGAATTATCTTTGCTTTCATTTTCACAATAACTTTGCTTTTCTATCGTATAAAACTCTGTAGTCTTCATTTGTCTTTGTCTTAGTTTATGCATTCCAACTCAAGATGCAGACCCAAAAAGTAAACTGCAATCAAACCTATACATTCACAGCTGTTTTGTGTTTTCACAATTAATGGAACATGGAACACCTGAGCAATTAGATACACCTGTCAGCAATTTGCCTCTTGAACTTATACTTACCTCAATTAGGGGAATTGAACACAATAAATGAAATTGTTCTAACATGGCATTTATAGGCAAAATAATATCCACTTCACTGCCCTCCCCCCAATACTTAATAGTTTTCACTGTAGGCCCATCCTCAGGATGGTAGATTCCTTCTCCCAAGTATAGCTTTCACTAACAAGAGCTCTTTTGTGTTTTAGCTGAATCAAGTATGGGACATATTTTGCACAGCATACACAGGTTCACTTATCTTACCAGTTCTTCACCAGCGCAGGTCAATTTTCTTCAAACCCTTACGATTATAATTTCATAATTACTTATGAGTTCTGTTTTTATTTTTCACATGACTTTTTCACATGATACAAACTGGATTCTGAATTCAGGAACTGGGATCTGATTTCAGGTGCTTCCCTGGCACCGTATTTCTCTGGTAGACCTTGGTAAGACACAGACCAGTTCTTGTCAAACCTAATTATAAGTAGGGCAATGTAGAATGCAGAATATCAGACTTTGAATACTTTCCTGTCTTCTGTGGTATACAATCAGGGTTAGTAGAACACGCCATTTTGCTGAAAATGCTATCCTGTTTGAGAATGGCAACAGTTGTGTAACAGTTTCTCCAAGGCAGTTTGAAAATAAAAAATGACAGAGCCTTCCTAGCAATATCCAAACAGTTCAGCATATCTAGCTCTGCTAAATAAAAAAGGATCACTCCCATGTGTCTTTGATAAGAACAATATCTCGATTAAGTCATGTTTGTTGGCAGTCTCCGCCCCAGCAGCACACAAGCCAGAACTGGCACGTGAAGACCTTGTGCTTGGCAGGAGTCCTTTTTCAAGTGCTTCTCAAGCCCCGGTCTGTTAAGGGCTCTCTCATCTCTCACTTTTCTCAGAAAATTGAGCCTTTTAAATAAACACCCAAGAAATCGCTGAAAATGCAACACTATAAAAATGCTATGGCTTGCAGAGTTTATTTGTTGCATTTTTAATTCTTCTCAGTAAAACCCCCAAATCAAAGAACACCCCAAAATCAATTTACATGGATCATCTTGAGTTGGGAATTTCATGTTTGCAACCAGTAAAAAAAAATGATTTCACTAAAAAGCAAGGTACAAATTCTTAGTTACTTGCCTTGTGTCTTTAAGTACAGTACTGTGCAGTTTGCATTTCAGCATGTGTGTGGTTTATACAGTAGGTGGTAAGTCTTGAATATATGTGATTTCAGTTGTTTTAGCTAAATATATAGAATATATTTACACATATATATTTCATTATTATGTAACAGAATTAAATTTTTATAATATATCCAACACATCATGTCCATGTATTAAATGAATATGGGACACTTTGGAAAAAACGGATTCATACAGTTGGTTTTGTAGTCATGGTAAAATCAGCACCACCTTCCCCCACCACTAAAGCACAAAAAAAGTTTGTTTTCCTGTCTGCTGGGGAAATCCCATTGACTCTCATTTTATTTTTATTTCCTGACCTGTACCCCTTCGAAATGGAACTCGACACAGGATGAGAGCAGACCAAAAGACATATCATTTAGGCAATTTTAGATTTAAACGAAGATGCCATTAGGTTTATGGGCAAAGTCGAGTACATTGTGGGAACATCCTCAAATTGGTTCTATCTTCATGGGGACATTTTCTCAGGTTTTGTCCCCTCATTGACTGGTAAACATGTCAGCTCTGTTTTTTTGTCACTCGGCCAGAAGGACACTGACCACCCATGTTCATTTCATTTTAAAATTGCTTTTACAAGCAATTTCTTCAAAAATGAAGGTTTTGGCTTCAAAGCCTGAATGCTGTCAGCAATGGGCAGGGATGTTGTCATGCTTAAGTTAAAAGGCCAGGACCACAAATATTAACCTAAATACTAAGGTATGTTCTCATAGTGTATGTGTGAGGTCTGGGCTGACCTACTGTAGGTTTAGGCCTTTTTATGTAAAAATGTAAAAAAAACAATTCTAGCTACTTCATCCAAGTCAGCTTTTTGGTTAAACTGATGTGGAAATAGAACAGACTTGTAGAAAATAAAATGCAGGTCTAGCAAATAAAACCAACTTGTTTTTTTCCTTAGATCTTAAGAAACTCTTAGTTCAGTAATCGGACGCACTGGGTTTGGTGAGGAAGACAGGTGTTATTTTATAGACATTAAGGAAACATTTGTTGACAGAGACGGAGGGTTTGTATCCTGGGATTGGTCAGGGCCAGAAGTTCAGTCAGCAATGGGAAATTATTCCAGAATAAACAGCCTGTTTGCCACATGCAGGGTTTGCACATTTTTTTATTTTTAGCTTCCCACCTAACTCACCCTTGGTCTCCTTTTTTTTTACTTAGACTGGCTCAGAATTTCTATGTGATATCAAGCCATTCTAAAACACCTGTTGCCTGAATTGATTGTCTGACCACTCCGGAGTTAGACAGATGTTTCATGTCCTGTACAACCTGCACATTTATCTTCTACAGTTCCTTATTTCTGACCAAACAGCTTTCAGTAGGTGATCTATTCATGATGAAGTGACACAAAACAGAGTAAACATTTAACAAACCATTCTGTGGAGGTCCAATGGTTATATCTCTTAGGTAACGCTGCTGAATGACAGGGATTGTGAAACTCAGAAATGATTACAGGGTACTTACCAGTTACAAATTCTATTCAGCCACGTGAGAGCTGAGAACAAATTCCTCAAATAAAAAAACTGAAATGAAAAACGTATCTGTAACAAAAAACAGAAGACACCATGGTCCCTCAGCAACATAGTTGTTAAACATTGCTCTAGCTGTCTGCACAAAAAAAAAACATTCAGGGGAAAAAAACAAATTAAAACCCCTGGGACTTCCTATGGACTTACGAACAAAGCAAACTCTTATAAACAATTGTGACTTAAAAAGAGTATGAATGACATATTAGTCAAACGGGAGTCAAGAAGGTTCAGAAAAAAATGTGTTTATTATTGTTCGGACTTTTTCAGAAAGAGCCAAACAACCTGGGACTTAGTCTAGAAGAATACAAAGTAATGATTGGCCCCATTCCATGTGACATCAGCTTCAACAATGATCAACTGTTCCACTGCACCATCAACGGATCCTTGAGCTCCAATGAGAGACAACTTCCTGTCACAGTAAGTACACTGCTCTAGGTGTACAGGTCTGTGCGTGATTCTTGTAAATTTGCATATTCCAGGTAACAATTAAAAAATATATTGGGTTTTCCAGTGTTTTTGCAAACAGAAAAATGGTCAGCAGTTATACAGTATTTGTAAATGGATTCAAGAGTGAACTAGCAGAATTTCAGAACCTGATGAATTAACTTTCTTATTATCATTGTATTCTGACATACAGTAGCTATCATATCTTGACATAATGCGGCTCATAGTCATTTCTTGTTTGATTGTAAAATGCCTTTTATTTTCTTTGGCACTGTACTGTGTTTGAGTATCACAATGGGGAACCTCCAACATGTTATTTTTTAGATCAGCCCCATTCCAAAATAGGAACTGCCTGCAGTCTTTTTTTTCCTAAAACAAATAAGTTTTATTATTTTTTTATCATTAAGTTCTTAAAATAAATATTTCTTTGTTTGTTCTTTAAAAGAGATTTCTAGAGAGGCTCCACATGAGTCCTTTGAGGAAGTAAAAAAGGGGAATATACTGGTTTCCAAACTACTCGTCAAAGATTATACAGTGCACTTCATATGTGTTCCTTTAAGAAGTTGAATTTAATAAACAGAATTAAAATAACTAAACAATAAAGAAAGCAAAGAAAGGAAAGTCTACTTACAGCTTCCCTCACCAATCCCTGAAAATGTTGATGTGAAGTATTTATGGAAAAAATAAAAGTTCATATTTACCATAGCTGCCTCAAAGAGCTGAAGTGTTCAATGTCCAAATATCGCTACCTACAGTACGTGAAGTTTGTATGTTCTCCCCATGTTTGTGTTTGGTTGCCTCTGGGTGCTCCGTTTCCTCTCACAGTCCAAAATCATGCTGGCAGGTTAATTGGTTTCTGGGAAAATGGACCCTGTTGTGAGTGTGCCTGTGTGTGTGTGCACTGCGATGGACTGGTGTACTGCCCAGAGAGTATCCTGCCTTGTGATTGGTGCTTGCCAGGTTAGGCTCCAGTTCCCCCGCGGCCTTGTATTGGATAAAGCGGTTAGAAATTGGGTGGATATTCAAGAACTGCACAAAGGCCTGCATTTTAGCACCCCTACAAAAAATACTGGGGTCCAGGGGATGGATTTCCTCTGGGGCTTAAGCTACTTTTATGGGTAGGGTTTCAATTATATATCACACCACGTGGCACAATTTGGAACGCTCCACAACTCTAGCGTCTGCGTTGGGAGGTTTGCAATTAACTGCCACCTGCTGCGTTCTTCTCTAAATGTACAGTATTTTTTTCCTTTACTGATTGATGGACTTTTAGCACAAAAGTTCAGGAAAAGATCAGACCCTAATCTCACCCACTTCTGCCTGCCATGTCGGAAAATAGCACAGTACTTGCTGACCCAGTTGTGCGTTCTCACACCTCCTCCCTCCACCCCATCTTTGGCCTTGCAGCAGCACCCCGACTCAAACTCAGCCTTCATTAAAGGAAAGGGGAGGTCTAATAGCCCCGTAATTACAGATCTATTCAAATCAGGCTTTTTTAACATCCTCATCAGTAATGGACTGAACTAATGAAGTGGACACATTTACATCAACAGCATCCATTGGTCATGTGTATGTCTAAATCAGGGGAAGCGTACCCTGTCTCCTTGGAGACTGTATCCTACCGTGATCCCCCATTTGCCTTACAGAAGTACAGGGCCGCTCTTTACCCACGTCTCTCAGAGAGGGGTGTGTGGTTGTGATCTTCAGCTCTCCCACTGCAGTGCAAGGTCCCGTTTTTCTGGTCAAACTGAATAAAAGCTTGGAATTCCTCATTTGGGTTAACAATTGGGGATCAAATGTTATTTGTTTCATCTAAAAGGTGGCACTGGCTAAAAGTAAATACACATTGGAGATCTGTTTATCATTTATGCCACAGGATATAGCAGAATAGCAACTTGTATTACTTGCACAGAAAGCCAAGGGAGTGTCACAGAGTTGGAACTGGATAGATCCAATTGCTCGATAGATTCAAAAACATAGGGAGTTTTCATAAGATCAGAAAAGCACTAGGGAAATAACTGAATAAAAAAAAGACCAAATAAATGTAAGTTAAAGATATATTTTTATAATAAACCTAGCCCAATATCAGTGCACTGTAATTAAGGCAAAATAATGGCTTTGAAGGTGTTGCAATACCAAGCATAGAAATATTGAGAAAGAGGCTGAAAAACTGATGTTGGCCAGATGGTTTCAGTAACTTTGAGTTAAGAATTGAGACCCATCCGATCTATTTTGTAATACAATGTTTTGTAATATGACCACCTTCAAATATCCACATCTACATTAGAATGTGTAATTCTTCAGAATTGTATTGGTAGCGTGTGTTTTTCAGGTTTCTTTTCAAAAATGTAAAATGCGAAAGAAGAGAAATATGTAAAATGATTCAATAAATGTAAATTGAGTATATTAACCTTTGAAGTTACTTTTAAGTAAAACATTATTTTCCAAAAATACTTTTTGCCCCAATTAAACTTGGTGTTTTAGTACTGACACAAAACATACATTTTCTTCAATTTTTCTACAAAAATGTCCTCTTTTTGGTGATGATAGGCGCGTTCAAACTTTCCTGCTCCTTCAAACGGGATCAGACTTTTCCTAAGGGCACTACAGTGGAGAACTCCTTTCATCGAGAGACAAATCAATTTGCACATTGTCCAGTATAAAATTGTCATATTATTAAATGTCATTTGGACATTTGTCTGGCTAGATGACATGATATGTTGCTTTAAAATTCAGACCAGAGGTCAAATGAAAGTAAAAATATCTTCTTTGCTATTTGCTCACGAAATGGAAGAAATTAGCACCTCAATCCCAGGCCAGTGTGGTTCGATGGCAGTTCATATTTAGCCAGGCACAGTGTTTTATACTCTTCTATGAAGATAGGCACTCCTGGGAAGAGTGTCTGCCTGCTGAAGGTCATATCCTCTTCTTTGAAGCTCTGTGTTTGATTATAGGAAGTAAAGGAAACTCTTTCTGTCTCTGTTCAGGTGGAGGTTGGGAATTTCCGCAAGGTCATTGCCATGGTGCAGCTGGGAGGTAGTGAGCTGGCGATTGTGGTGTCCATTGTAGTGTGCTGTGTCTTGCTGCTTTTCTGCACAGTAGGTAAGATGGTTCACGGTGTCAGTTCATGTTGAATCCAAAGGTTTTGAGAAGCTGGCTAATCATGTCACTGCAGTTTAGTAATATAATAATATCAGAATAATATCCTTACACTTATTCAGAGCTTTTCTGGGCACTCATCTCAAACCACTTTACAGGTAATGGGTTCTGCCCTTCTGTCACCACCAATGTGTAGCCCCCACCTGGGTGATGCGACGACAGCCAAAGTGCACCAGTACCCACACACCAGCTATCAGTGAGGAGGAGAACAGAGTAATGAAGCCAATTCATAGATTTGGATTATTAGGAGGCCATGATTGGTAAAGGCCAGAAGGAGAAATTTGTCCAGGACACCTACTCTTTTCGAGGAACACCCTGGGATTTTTAATGATCATGGAGAGTCAGGACCTTGAGTTTATGTCTCATCCAAAGGATGGTGTCTTTTTTACAGTATAGTTTCCACGTCAGATTAGGATCCGCAGAGACTGCAGAGTGAGCCCTCCCTCCTGGTCCCACTAACACCTCTTCCAGCAGCTTTCCCAGGAGATCTCCCATCCAGGCACTGGCCAGGCTCATACCTGCTGAGCTTCAGTGGGTTCTCAGTTGTGAGCTGCAGGGCGATATTGCTGCTGATAGTAAGCAGTCACTGCTTTAATTAAGGCAGATATTTCACTCGACACCAGATACATAGACATAGATAAAAGATAATAATGGAAGCAGGATTGCTGTGTGCACTTGAGTTTCTCACAACCTTTAAACTGTCAATTTCTTCCACTCCAGCTACAAGGAGTGGACCTCTAGCCCTTCATCTGAAGTGCAGCTCAAAAGCACAGCTGTTCCTTGTAGTGTTTGTGATCAAAATCTCATTCTAAAAGTGCTATTCACAATTCAAACAGAGCTCTTGTTTCATGAGATTATGTCTCCATAAGGCTTTTTGGGACTGAAATACACAGTGAGTTATGGTACTGAGAATATGCAATAACATCGTAACTCTATAAAAATATACTAAAAACAAAACCATCTAGGCTGCCATTGTCCCTCTTTTAAGAAAACAACCTACTTTAGTAAAACCCATTTTTAAAAACGGGATTGCATTCTATAAATACAACATTCAGATGAGTGAGTTGTAAGGAGACGAATCACTCTCCCTGCCTTTCCACCTGTCCACAGTGACAAATGCTATTTAACAGGAGCAGCTTAACCTTGGCGGTAGATCTGACGGCATCCATTCAGCCCATTAGCTGGTTCATTTCCCTGTTATGACTGTGGCAGACGCAATATTCCCGGCTCATGCTGCCAAAATCGCCCACCGTGTTTAGGTTTTCTCAAAAGGCGCCCATCTCTTTTCTCCACAGCGCTGGTGGTGTACTGCACGAAGAGCCGCAGGGCAGAGCGCTACTGGCAGAAGACCTTAGTCCAAATGGAAGAAATGGAATCCCAGATCCGAGAGGAAATCCGCAAAGGTAATCCAACCCTCTGATCTAACGTTTGCGAGCAGTATTCTGTGAAAACCCTTCCGGCTCAGTGGCTTAACTTCCCCCCAAAATTATTGCAATGACAGTTCCCCCTTCTTTTCTATACATAATCAATGACAATATGTTCATGGTCTGCTACTGGACTTGTGCTTTTTTAAATTATTTTTTTATATTAAAATCAAGACAATTGGGAGACAGCTGTAACTCCAATTGGAATCAGATGCTTGATGAAAGAAGTCACTATTTTTTAAATAGATTTTTCTGAAAGGATAAGTATGATGGGTTAGAGTTGCACAGTTTTGGTGTTTTTGGCACAGGAAGTGTTTCCCAAAGCATCTGGTGAGGTGATGAAGTGGATTTGCAGAGGGCAGAACTAAAAACTGAAAAGCTTAGCCAATACATACTAGTGCAGGAATTTGTTGCTGCCATCATTGTTTCTTTAGCACTGATCAAGTAAACATTGGTCTCTAATTATACCACCATTTCGCCACAGGGTTGGTATGATTAATAACCTTGTCTCTTTTATATTATAACTGAAACTAATGAGACATAGCTCAGAACAGACATCTGTTTCAAGGGTGAACAGAAAAACAAGCACCTCACCAGCACCACCACATCTGTAGCTCTGTAACATGGTTTAGAATTTTGCTGAAATCTTACAGTAACTTACTATCTTAAGCAAATGTTTTTCACATCTACCTCCTTCAGATTATTTTTTTCTTAAAATGAGAAATTCTAGTAAAACTCATAAAGCACACCAGGAACGAATTTGATTATTATGGAGTTTTGTCATAATATTTTTATGTATCTTGGACATCATTTTATGTGTTCTCTGGTCGTGTTCCTTCAATGCTTTTTTTTTCACAATGATATCTTAGTCATCTTGACGAGGACACAGGATTTTTGTGGTCGATCTTCTGCTGTGGCCTATAAAAATATAGAGGGTGTTTCTTGAGATCAAAAAGGGAAGGAAAAACTTTATGACTTGCCCAACATTTCAAGGAAAAGCCCTTTCTTCAGAAAGAAAGTACAGCTATTGTTACTATTCACTAATTAGAGTTTCAAAATGATTTTATTGTCAAAATGTGAATGGTGTCTTTTGTAAACAAAAGATCCCACAGTGTGTCACACATACTGTATGCATGCATCAATAAGTATACCACCCACTTCAGTGACTCACAGCAGCCATTATACAACAGAAGACCCACCACACAGATCAGGTGAATGAGTGAGAAATTACTTCACCAATTAAATGAAGGCGGAGAGTGAGAAAAGCCAGACAGTGAGTAAAAATTTAGCCAGTACATTGGAGATACCACTCCCTTTCTTACAGTATGAACAGTGCCATGTAATTGTTGTAATACCATGCAGTCAGGAGGTTAATGTGTCATCTGAAGGGTCATCCCTGGTCACTACAGTGAGCACTGGTTTTGGACATTCCGGTCCAGAGGGAATTGGGCCTCCTGGTGGTCTGCCTACACCACTTACAGTAGCAACCTGGCTTAGAGGTCTCCCACTGACCAGGCCCACTGTTCCTTAGCTTCAGACATGAACAGGCTACAAGGTGGTGATGCTGCTGTCAGAAGTGAGATGTCGAGCCATGTTTCTCTTTGACAGCACTGTCTTGCAGAACTTAAAAAGTTCAGAACGTGGACGAGTACGTGACAAGCAGGTGACTGGTATTTGTTACCCACCTCTTAAAATTAAGCACAGAAGAGTGGGAGAGAACCCATCAGTCAGTAAGAAAGGGATGGGAAAAGAAGGTTCTCCTTTTTTTGTTTCTGCCAAATAAAATTGAGCTGACTGTGACAAAGGATGTGCCATGTTCTTCCTCCCTCCCCCCAACAAGGCTTTGCTGAACTGCAGACAGACATGACAGACCTCACCGAGGAGTTAAACCGCAGCCAGGGAATTCCTTTTCTGGAATACAAGCAGTTTGTTACAAGAACTTTCTTTCCCAAGGTGGGTATTGTGTTTTACTGCCAAAGTCAGAAAAGGGGGCCAGCAGACAAATAGAACAATACTGGGCACACAATCAAAATTGCCACATCATACATGTACCTTCTTGGAAGAGTTCAGAAATGAGGTCAGAATCTTAGAAACTAGTGGGCAGCTCAGTGTTTGTTTTTTTTTCAATCTCAGGGGCAGGGGGAGTGTTTCGGTGCTGAAAAGTAGCATTGCTGTAAAATAAATCAACTTGGTCAAAACAGTCTCTGAAAATCATGCTGAATGCTGGAAGTCTAAAATAACAGACCACTCTAGTTTCAGAAGAGGCGTGAGCTCTCTTCTTTTTAACTTCTCTTTGACTGTTAATATTCAGGGAAATGTTCAGCAGGGCCCAATAAATTGTTTGCTTATGTTATGCAACAAAGTGTATGACTCAAAATCTTTGTAGATGGAATACTTAATAAGCACATTAAATATCAAAATTGAAAACCTTGCAAATATTTCAAATTCAGCTGTAAAAAATGCCTTGACGTTGATTTATTCTAAACACTTATTCAGTTTAGTTTTTTATTTTTAAATTGTCCATTAATGCTTGTATCCATAATTGCTTTTCAACTGAATCTGAAGTACTATGGCTTGCTTGGAAGAAAATATTTTAATTTTTCAGTGCAGGAATGAATACATTTTCAGATGTAACTTTCCTTATTGTAAAAGAAAATGTAAAATTGTTACAAGTGTGTGCTCTATAGCACAGATGGAAAGGTTAATTCCTAGTCCAGAAATAATTCTGATAAATTGCCAACAAATGTGGTCTTCTTCAGTGTAATATTGCATGAAAGAGTTTGCCACAAACCTGTCTCTATGTGCTTATCCTAAGGTCACTGGCCATTTCCTATAAGAGCAGAGCTAAGTTTGTCCCAACTGTAATGGTGTGTATGTCTTCATCTCCCCCCAGATGTGCTCAGACTATGAGAGAAGCTTTGTCCAGCCGATATACGAAAATGATGCTCTGGGACCCAGGGCTGTACAGGAAACCCACCCCCTGTTGCAGGACTGGAAGGTGGGCCACTGAAAAAACAAACGGACCTGGAAACTTTTGGAACCTTTTTATAATGCTTCATCTGCATTTGCAATTAAGATGAAATGGAAAAAGGAACACCTGCATTGTGCATTGTTTCATTTCAAAGAGTCGGAAAAACACCTCATTAAATGGAGGATATAAATGTCTATATCACTGAAAACATAACAGATATGGCTTCTAATTATATTAAGTGGGTGTAGTGTTTTGACACTAATATATTGTCACTCAGATATGCATAAAAGCATTTTTGTATGTTTAAAATTGTTATGTCAAGGGCTCATATTCCTGTATTGAAGTCACATTTCCATGTCCACGTTTGCATGCAGGCTACCAGCAACCACAAACCGAACATGGAGGAAGGAATCTCGTTATTCTCCACATTGCTCAACAACAAGCACTTCCTTATTACGTTTGTCCACGCGCTGGAGCAGCAGAAGGACTTTGCTGTGCGAGACAGGTACTCTTGAAGAAAGTTTTTCAGAATACTGTCATTTCACTGGGTTTGTGTTTTTCATTTTGGCTCTGGTATTTCACATCAGGACAGGCAAGCAGCATCCTCTTACAGACACCATGAAAAATGAGATTAAATTACTTAGTGATTAAGTGACTCCATCACCATCCAACACATTTTTGCATGCAGCTTCCAAAAAACAACTAACCTAAATTAAAAAAATGTTTTGATGAAGGACATGTAGGACTTATGAAGGACACTGTAGCAGTAAGAAATAGAATCATTTTCAATGCAAGAGATAGTTATAAACACAAAGCCAAATTGTTACATATACAGTATGAGGATGATTTTCTAGTGTTTTTCAATGGATCTGTGCAGTTGGACAGTTCTGATGGTTGAAAAAAACATCAAAAACATCCAACTTACATTCACACTGACCAGAGAAGTAGCTCTGAGTGACTGTTACATTGAGAATGGAGATTCCATTTTGACATAAGTATCTGTCTTTTTTTGTTCAGGTGTAACCTGGCCTCTCTCCTCACAATCGCTCTCCATGGTAAACTGGAGTATTACACCAGCATCATGAAGGACCTGCTAGTAGACCTGATAGATGCTTCTGCATCCAAGAACCCTAAGCTGATGTTGCGGAGGACAGAGTCTGTAGTGGAGAAGATGCTGACAAACTGGATGTCCATCTGCATGTACAGCTACCTGAAGGTGACTTCTGCACATGACATGACAAGTATAAAGACCGTACATCTGATGATCCGATAGTCAGGTTGCTTGGCTCCCTTAGATTGTGTGCAGTTACAGTACTCATTTGACTGGGACTTCATTGGAAAGATCTGTGGTTTTATATGGATAGAGTCACTGTTGTGGTGCGAAAATCTTTTCATTGGCAGAAACATTTATGCACCCAAGACATCTTTTAACTGCTGTTTGTGAACCAGCTGTGTATCAGTTGATTTTGAAAGAGTTTATCATTTCTCCCCCCAAAAAATAACAGTATGCAAAGTTAACAGTTTTGGGATGGTTGAAAAAAGATTGTGGTTTAGTCTCAAAAGCTCTTTTCTTGAATATTCCTTAAAACCTCCGTTACATACAGATTTCCTGTGTATACTGTCATTGTGAGAATGACAGCAGCCATCATGCATGTTCATGGACTGTTGCTAAATACTGCAACGGATTGAAAAAAACAGATCTTTAAAATATTTAAGGTACAGTACAACATAAAATTGGAGTTAATACAGCTGCACATTTAATAACAATATTTCTAGTTATTTTAAATAAAATATCCATTTTTAAGCGACTGTCAAGTCTTTGCCATCTTGTTTCCAATTGTAATATATTATTTGCTTGGAGAAACAGGACAATGAGAGACTGCGGTCTGAACCACATGGAGCGAGGTGTATTCTCTCTTCATTCTGAGCTTCATTTCTAAATAGGCTTAAGCTCTAAAATTTGCAAGTGGCCATGCATTTTACCTGCAGAGTATGTATATAATGTATATATATGTAATAACAGGTTGCTTTTGGTTTTTTCCCTAGGAAATAGTGGGTGAGCCTTTCTTTTTGCTGCTCTGTGCAATCAAGCAGCAAATAAACAAGGGGTCCATTGATGCCATCACAGGGAAGGCCCGGTACACTCTCAACGAGGAATGGCTCCTGCGGGAGAACATCGAAGCCAAGCCCCAGGTGAGGCACAGAGGTGGAAAGAACATCCCACAATTGTTCTACTGCTGTCTTGTCCCATAGAGCACACTGGAGAATATTCTTCTTCTCGAAAATCATGGGTTTCCATCTATGCAGCAGATGGTGTCTGCACCATTAATCAATATTAAGAATTGGGGAAAAAAATTACACTCAATTTATTGAACTCTGATGATTCTGTCTGATTCTCTGATGCTCTGATTTCCTGAATTTTTAACATGGCTTCATTTTGCTGCACTAAACCTGGAAATACCATTTTTTGCTAAAGTTCATTTCTAAGGAATGTACACTGTAGTACAACAGGATATTGTCATGGTTGAGTGTAGTAAAGTACAATGAAGGCATGTTGAAACCATAGGAATACACTGCACAATTATGTTAATTCTATCCAAGTAGACTTTTACTGACATCCATCCAAACCATTCAATAAAACCATCCCTAAGGAGTAAGTTATAAAACATTTCCTTAAAAAATTACCACATACGAGTCTAACACTGACCTTGTCTTCCACACAGAATATTAATGTGTCTTTCCAAGGCTGTGGGATGGACTCGCTTACAGTTCGGGTAATGAATACAGACACCATCTGTCAAGTCAAGGAGAAAATCCTGGAGGCCTTTTACAAGAACCTGCCCTTCTCCCAGTGGCCCAGAGCTGAGGATGTGGACCTGGGTGAGAATCTCAGCTAGAGATAGGCTCTTCAGTCTCTTCAGCATCATTGCAAAGTTCAGACTTCCAGACACCTCGTCTTTTCATAAACACTACAATTACATAACATTGGCCATGCCAATATAATTTAAAGTGTGGTATTTTATTAAGAAGATGGTGTCCTTAATCATTTGGGAAACAACAATAAGTAAGTAGGGCCTTTAGGTGAAATCACACTGGTTAATGTTACCTAAATATTATTCACAGTTTCAGAACCTTAATGCCAACTCTTCTGTGATATATGGCAATTCAGCCTATGTGGAAGCCACCTTTTAGGTACATGCTCAAAATCTGATTGTAGATTGAATCTGGTGATGATAAGGCATTAAATTAACCAATAAAGCCAAAGTTTTAACATATTGTATTGAATCATGTCGTTGCTCTAGAGTGGTTTGCTTCTGGCAATGACAGCCGTCTTCTTCTTGACCTGGATGACACGTCTGTGATGGAGGATGGGAGAAAGAAGCTGAACACTGTCTTTCATTACAAGGTAGGGCTCTACTGTCGTGCTGCTTCATATTGCTAAACAATTGTTTCTGCGAGAAGCTTGACAACTTGTTCCATTTTTAGAGAGAAGTACTCAAACTTTCAATTGTGTGCTGAGTTTATTGAATCAGCCTTTATGCTAAGACTGTATTTAATAATCAGCTATTCTATTGTCAATATTAAACTTTCACTCTCCCAGATCCCCGAAGAAGCGTCACTTGCCATGAGTTTGAAAGACAAGCGAGACAACACTCTTGGAAGAGGTATGTCATTGATAATAGCAGCACTGAGCTGCTCCCATAAACACAAACGGATGTCTTTTTGCTGTATGTGTCCCATTTTGAAATTGTCCTGAAATTGATTTAACTGAATCTTGTTCAGCATCGATATTCAGTTCAGAGTAAGCGAGATGCTTGAAAGTTTGCTTCACTGACTACAATTTGTGCAAAGATTAGGAATGGAATTGTATATTTAAATTCACACTTCCCTGCTTAAACCATCTTAAAAGTAAGGCACAGATCTTATTCCTTCCGTTGGTTACTTGTTATAAATTATTTGTTGCATGGGGATTATCTGGTATTGTAACATTGAAAGTAAAACTGGTTTTCTGATGGGAAATTTAAGACTACGGAAAACTGAGGACTCCTTTATATAGTATAACTGTTATATAATTCCCCTCTTCATGGTCGTTTTTTATGGATTTGAGAAATCAGTTTGAAAAACTTTTCTTTAGTCTTCAGCTTTATCCATTTACTTACCTTTCTAATATGTCTTTTGTAAATTTTGAAGAGGAGAAACATTTGCTGGAATACCAAGGATTACACATTATTTAAACAAGGGAGAATAATAAAGACCAGGCAGAATTTACATTTGTGTATACAAAAATCTAATGTCATACCCTGCTCTTTTAGTGCCTGTGGACCAAAATTGATTAAACTCATTTGAACATTTTAGTGATTTTGTGACTCAATTAGGAATAGTAAGAAAGTAGTTAGAAATAACATAGAGTGGGTATACTACTTTAAAAAGCAAAAAAAAGTAATATGTTTTAGCGATTCAAATTTCTAAGCCACAACAGTATAGAGCTTTAAATTTTTGCAATATGGCAACAGTTATTTTCTTGTTCAATTTTGGCAAAGGGTTGCTTGTAATGATTAGAACTCTAATTTTATTGTACAATACATAATTAAAGGCACCTTCAGTTTAATCAGGTCTGAAATCTGATCAGCAAATATAGTTATGGTTTGGAAAATACCTGCCTGCCAAAAGAATTGTTTTGAAAATTCAGTTTCAATGTTTATTTAGACCTTCAGTCAAATCTTATGATGAGGAAACAGAATTCTAAAATAATCCATCAGAACTGGAACTGTAATCTTCGATATTGTGACTTAATGATTAAAATTATTTCTTTATTTTGTTTCTACAGTAAAAGACTTGGACACAGAAAAATATGTTCATCTGGTAAGCTCTGGCTGGCATTAAGCAGACTGTTAAAACGTAATGCAGTGATATACCTTCTAAAATATTTAAAGAGAAAAAAAGACAGTATCATACTGTACCTATTATGTATACAAGGTGGGTACATAAATGTATGTGATGTTTGCAAAAGGCAGATTAGATGGCAGCAGTTTGGAGTAGTGGTTAGGGCTTTGTCCTCAGAACTGGAGAGTTGTGGGTTCAGATCCCAGGCTGGATACTCCTCTTGTACCCATAAGCAATGTGACTGCCCTAGTGAAATACCCAGGTGCATAAGTATAAGTTGTTTAGGATACAATAATGTATAAATTATATAAATTAATAATAAATGACATGTACGACCAAGCTCATTGATTGCTAAAATTAATAGCATATTTAAATCACAAGAGACTAAAACTCTAGTATATGATTAAAAACATAAAGTTCTGTTGTGTGAAGTGATAAACAAGGGCTTTGAATGGTCATACCGATGAGTAAGTGGAAAATCTAAGCCCATTAACCTAAAAAGTCCAACAAAAGTCACTGCCAATTTGTTGAATGTGTCTTATTAATATTTCGTAAAAACAGGTTGCTCCAAACGACGAGCTAATGGAGACAAAGAGGTCCCAGAGGCACAGTCACCGGAAGAAAGTTCTGCCAGAGATCTACCTCACAAGGCTGCTCTCCACCAAGGTTAATACTCAGGCTACTGTCTGGACGCTTTCAGTCTGCTGTCTCTGGGTTGAGCCAAGCTCAGGAGCACCACAACCTCTGAAATGGTTCTTTATTTTTTTATTGAAGTCACTTCCATCTTCTCACTCAGCATGGCTTTCCGTGTTTCTTACTCAGTAAACACCATTACAACTATAAGTGACCCAACCAAAAGAGCAGTTGGTTCATTATAGTAACCTGGGCAGCAACTGAGCATCTTTGTTTAGCCAATTGATGTACCTCCTTTACTCTGGTGTAACCTAAATTAATAAAGCAAGCAGGAGAAATCCACAAATTAGTAGTGAGTTGATCATTAATGATCAATGATAAACTGTTCATCACAATCTTAACTTTTCTTTAACAATACCCCAACCCCTGATTTTTTTTCCGGTTACTTTCATTTCACAGGGGACTCTCCAGAAGTTTCTGGATGACCTGTTCCAGGCAGTCCTCAGCATCCCTCAGGACAAGCCTCCCCTCGCTGTCAAGTACTTTTTTGATTTCCTGGAAGAACAGGCTGACAGAAGAGGCATCACTGACCCAGATACTTTGCACATCTGGAAGACCAACAGGTATGATAGCAAAACACAGTATGGGATTCACTATACAGTTTGTAATGCAGGAGTTCTCTTATCAGGTGACTGTACTGTACATGAACAGTCATTAGTAATGAGATCGTATCCTTAATTCCCATCTTTGAAGCTACTCATACATGAGCACCTTAGGAATGCAAGAGTGTGGATCACCCAGTGTTCTGGCTGTGGGAAAGGTTAGGATCGTACTGGTAAGGCTCAGTCACAAAACTTTCTACATTTGAAGAAATTTCCTTCACTTACGAAGATAGATTTTTAAGCAGCCACTTGGCAAAGATCCAGCAACAAGAATCCCTTTGCCGGTGGAGTTCTGTTTTCACATGCTCCACATGGTGATATGGGATACATTTAATTATTGAATTTTTAATTAATGAATTCTTGGAACACATTTCATTTGTATTTAATTAGCGTGAAGCGAATGAGTGTGAGGTGTAGCACCGACCGTGCTTCTGTGTCTTTGGCAGCTTGCCTCTGCGGTTTTGGGTGAACATTTTGAAGAACCCTCAATTTGTGTTTGACATTGACAAGACGGATCACATGGACGCCTGTCTGTCCGTCATTGCCCAGGCTTTCATTGATGCATGCTCCATATCAGATCTGCAGCTAGGCAAGGTAAGGCCATTAAAAGTCTTTCATTATTAACCCTCTCTACCAGTTTTCTTTATGTATGTTGCTGTTGCGTCAATGGGGTGTCTAGGACAAGAGACATGAGATACCCTTTCCCACTTTTTTTTTAAAACAAACTGCTGGGACAGGAAATCATCAGCTTAAATAGGCATCCTGGCCCATACACTCATCTTCCTTCCACAGATAACCTTTTGGTGTTTCCAGGGAAGGAACTTTAACCCCACACTGTAAACGTCTGATTCTTGTCTGTGGTTCGATGTTTGTTGTTGCTGATGTTGTTGCCGACTTCAGTTTAATTTTATGAACAGGGCTGTGTTTCTAGGAGAAAACAACGAGGCCGTATTCAAGATCCTTTTAGATGTTTTGCTTTCCAAAACAGTGAATGCAATAACGCCAGAATGGGTGGGAACATGGGATTTAAGGATAAAGTAGAGGAAGTGGCAAATGTAGTTCCACTCTTGAAACCATTTCCATCAGGAAACATGGTTATCTCAGGTCCTAAAATATGAATAAAGGACCGGTGTAGGGTTATCCAACAGATGGAAAAGTCAAAGGAAATGCCCTGCTTGAAAAGGAAGGGAAGAGCTGTTTATCAAGTAGAGCACAGAGAGATTTGGGGATATGTGAATATCAGACAGATAATCTCAAATGTCATTCGTAAGAGACCCACCATCGGGAAGTGAAACTGGAAAAATGTATTTGGATAGGGAAAAAACATGGATTAAAAACAAAACTGTGTGCTTCAATGACATGGAAATAAACTGTTTTAAAAACTTTCACCCACATTTGGAACTTTCTTTTAATAACTATGGCCAGAAAAAGAGGTGGTGGATTAGTCTATCTGGAAAACAAAAGCACACTGAAAAGGTTGCATTTTGCTTTCCTACAATTGTTAAAGGAAATTCCTGTTTGTGTGGGTGTTTTTCGTGCACAATTAGTGACTAAAGCTTATCTGTGATCTTGATTATATGACTTCAGATAGCTTTAAAAAATTGTTTAAGGGATAAACTAAACTCAAAATACAGGTGCATGTCTTTAGGGCACAGCTGAGTAGATTACACTCTGTTTTTGTGACAGTTTTTAAAAGTGATTTTTTTTTCTAATGGAAAACAAAAGATTGTTGTGCTCAAGATGTCAATTCTGCTTTTATTTCATGGGAGTTCAACATTTACTCATTGGGGCAAATGATAAATTGGAAAATTAAAATTAAACGTTCTAGTGAAATACAGTGTTTAACAATCAGCTTCATCCCTTCAGCTCTAGCTGTGTTGACAAGGCACATATCATCCTGGGGAATTGGGTTTCTTTTCAGGATTCTCCCACCAACAAGTTGCTATATGCCAAGGAAATCCCAGAGTATAAGAAGACTGTTCAGCGGTATTACCAACAGATCCAGGAAATGACACCCCTGAGTGAACAGGAAATGAATGCACACTTGGCCGAGGAGTCCAGGGTAAGAGACTAGTGAAGCATCTCAGAGGACAGGAGTTTGATTCAAATTCCGATATCAGAATCTTACTTTTATGGTGGATTTTAGACTGCCAAGTCTTTGTATCATTAGAAGCTTCTGGGTGAAGGATAGATTCTTTAGTTAAAACGGCAATTCAGAAAGAACTGAGTATAAAATGTATCCAGTTACAGTATCAAGCTGCCTGGTATTACCAGGTTAATTTTGTAATGGCAGAACACACAGAGGTTTCAAGAATATGCATTTTCTTCTTCTGAACTATGTTTGCAAATGTTGAAGTGTCACAAATGTACAGAGTAGTACTCACCTCTTACGTTATAGAATGAAGAGTGATGTTTTTGATTTGCGTTACAATAAATATTAATTACCTGCAGTTATCTGGAGAATGTGAGTCTTTTTTCTAGACCAGTGAAAATTCACACATGCCTGATGTTGTTTTAGAAGAGCACTTATGTGTACTATGAAGGAAAGGTGTTGTTTATGCTAGACACCATTATATCACCTTTTTTCTCAATTTTTCAGAAATACAGAAATGAGTTCAACACAAACCTGGCCCTGACTGAAATCTACAAGTACGCCAAGAGATACCGAATACAAGTAAGAAAACAGTGCCTCCAACTTCCTCCAGACAAGCAGTTCTTATTTTGATTCATACAAGAAGGAAACATGCTAGGCTTAGCTATTCCCATTCTGTTTGTGATGTTTGACTTAAAAAAAAAACAAAAGTGAAGATTAAAGAAATGTAATCAGATCACAGCATAAACCATGATGAGAACTCTTTGATTCTTTATTTAGGTTTCATAGTTTTTATCTTGTTGGCATAGCCTTCAGCTTATAATTGAAGATATAAATTCCACCGTAACTTGTGAAGAGTTCAGACTGAATGTGACAATTTTTGTATTCTAGAAGGCTGCAAGTTCTATATAGCGGAAAGCCAACCTCGAATGAGTATCACATTGCACTTTCTGTTTAACCCCCCCTAATAAAAATAACTTTAAATCAGCCAGATTCTAAAAGAGGCTGCCTGGTTGAAATGCTGAGATAGGTTAGGAAATAGTTATTTTAGCTGTACCATGTTTTTCTTGAAAAGTCGGCTTGCTTCATTATTTTTCTTTTCATAGTGAAATGTCTCCCCAAAGTAAAGTGGATTCCTTGAGGTTTTCATTGTTTTTTCATGCAACTTTCATTTGCTGAAACAATATTTACAGTATGAAAGTAGAGCATTATATAAAGAGAGAGAGTGATTACACTGTGGACAGAATACCTGAATCACTATTGAGATGTAGTGATTTCAGTTGGTGACATTTTCCATATACTTTTGTAAGGACCTTTTTCTCACATCCTCTGTGTAGACAATTAGCTTTCCTCAAAGACGGGTACAAAAGACTTAAATGGGCTCTTTCCAATGTGCTTGTTGCAGGTTGTGAATGCACTAGAGGCCAACCCCACTACCAAGAGGACACAGCTGCAGCATAAATTTGAACAAGTCATTGCACTGGTGGAAGACAACATCTATGAGTGCAGTAGTGAAGCCTGAGGTGTACATCAGGCCTGGACATGAACAGACTCTTTCCAAAACAGACCTGGCCCTCTTCTGTTGTGCCTGACCAGAGGTGGCAAAAATTTTGCCTAGCAAAGAGGGAAGATATGAGCATATTCTTACTGTACAAAAGGAGAAATGCTATTGAAAGTGTATAAATGATGGTGCTGCAATAAGCATTTGCACTGACTGCCTGCTGTCCAACACCACAGAGAGCAGCATCTATATCCAGCGTGTGAAGCTGGTATCCGTGGTTTCTTGAAATACCACGGAAGACAATTTCCTTTGTGGCTTTTCGCTCACCATTTTGGATGGGTAACTGTAAGAAAAAATAGACATATGAGTTAAGAACTTTGGAGAAGCACAAATGGAGCCGTTTTCTTCTAAGAAACTTCTGCACCTTTTGAATTGGTTTCGCTAAGATTCCTATGGCTTTTTTATGCATCTGATGCCGAAGCAGTTTGCTTTTATTTCTGTTTAAATGAACTGTAAAGACCTTGGCTTGTTTTTTTGCCAGCATGATCAACTTGAATAAGAGACTATTTGGACAGATAAAGGTATGTTAAGTTCCACTAGGACAGTATAGGGCCAGCTGTTAATGGATATTCTAAAAGGGGTATGCCCTATCTTAAAGCAAACTAACCCCATCATTGAAACCAATACAAAAATGTGCTATACTTGTAAAACAGGTATTCTCAGCAATATTTATTCAGCAATGTTAGGAAAAGGCGTGTGCACTTTGGTGACATTATATGAAATAGACACCCTTGTCCAGCACCCAAAATTATTCTCAGGTTGAAGCATGGATAAGGAGTATTGTATGGTTTTAACTAACGCTGTGAAGTGATTAGGAGAGAGACGAAAAAGAAAAAGATGAAGAATGTATACAATGTTTTGAATGTACAGGTGAACTAAAGGACCAGGGCACTGTTGCATCCCAAACATTCTCTGGGATCAGATGCTGGTTGTCTGACTAAATGAGCCACGAGTGAAGAAATGCTGGAAGTAGGAGCAATGAAGAATGTGAAAAGACTTTTCTGTTTTGTAAGAGGTTGGTATGTGACAGGTGAAAGTGAGAAACTAAAGGTGGAAATTAATAAAATGACTTGATAAAAAGCTGTACAGTACATTTCTACATGTAGTAAGTCAAACACTTCTTTGATTTTCCTGAATAAGAGCAGTTTGTGAATGAATAAGGGGCTATGGGCACAATGCCTGGAAACATACTAGCTTTTACAAAATCACAGCAATTTAGAAGGATTTGCATTGGGTATCAATGATGTGCACTCTAGCATATTTCCCCCTGTTGTCTATCTTTGTACATTATAATACATTCACATTTCTGCCCATTATTTGGATGGTCTTTCAGCTGATATTGAAGATGAAGGACACAAGATGAACAGAAGTCATCTTATATTACAGTGAATGCAGCTTATTCAAACCACACATGTAACAGACAAAATAAAAAAAGAAGAACTAGAGTGTAATGCAACATTTTACAAAATGCAAGGTTTAAAAAGTTTAACTATCTCCTTGTCAAGCGGATCTATAAAGGGGCTTAGTGTGCAGTATGTGCAAAGACCTTACTGTTGTATGAGTACAGGGGTGTGGGGGGAGTGGACACTATACTGTAAAAAGGCGCCGTCCTTCGGATGAGACGTAAAACCAAGGTCCTGACTCTCTGTGGTCATTAAAAATCCCAGGGCATTTCTCGAAAAGAGTAGGGGTGTAACCCCGGAGTCCTGGCTAAATTTCCCATTAGCCTTTACCAATCATGGCCTCCTAATAATCCCCATCTATCAGTTGGCTTCATTACTCTGCTCTCCTCCCCACTGCTAGCTGTGTGGTGAGCATTCTGGCACACTATGGCTGCCGTCGCATCATCCAGGTGGATGCTGCACATTGGTGGTGGTGGAGGGGAGTCCCCATTACCTGTAAAGCACTTTGATTGGAGTGTCCAGAAAAGCACTATATAAGTGTAAGCAATTATTATATTTGTGTGGGGAATTTAGTAGGGCATTTGAAAATTTACTATTTAATGATAAGGACACTTAAGACATACATATTTACAATACATACTGTTTACTAACAAAATTACATTAGAGGTTACTAAATGATTACATACCCTTTAGAAAAGAAAAAACAAGATTATTCTGATCTAAACAATGCAATTCCTGCTAACTGTGCCTGCAACTGTTGCTACAGAAAGTCTGCTGATATCTTTGCAGCACAGTAACAATCTTAGTCACTTTTGTTCTCTCAGAGCTGAAAGTCTGGCTGTTTTTCTAAAAATTGATCTAGTTTAGAGTATGACGAAGCACCTATGAAAGATAAATGGCAATAAAGACGGCAGTTGACCTATTTACCAAGCATAAGTTGAAGATGAGGTGGTTAGGCTGTGATTCTATGAGCAAACAGATGAAAAGGCTCCAAAAATAAGTCTATATATTTGACAGGTTGTTGGTATAAGCTCATCACATGTTAATATGCAAGCTGCATAATTTTTTTTTAAATCAAGAAAAAAATTATAATAAATGGGCAGCAATGTTTGAGATGGTGGGATGGATGACTGCTTTAGTTTGAGCAGATGTTGTGCTTAGGGACTTATTCTGGTGTGGCTGTGACCATTTGGATTTGAGGCTTTGGAAGTGATCCATGACTGTTAAAACCACAGCACTACACTGCATTGCACAACACGAAAAACATGAAGAGGTGACTTGGGTTTCAGTAACAGTTGCAGTGGTGGAGGGTGTGAGGCAAAGTTCACATGTGATTTTGTTTCACAAAATCTGGAAAAGTACAAGACTGAGATGGTATATTTGCATGAATGGACTGCAGAAAACTGGAAGAGCCACTGTATAACAGTGCATGATTGAGAAGGACAGCAGGAGTGAAATAGAACTTCAGCATTAAAGCTATAGCTTTTTAAAGAGTTGAAACATGGCAGAAGGGAGGGTAAGATGAACAGCCAGATTTTCTGCTGCAGATCAAAGAGTGCTATGCTTGACATCCTGCTGCTGGGTTAGGATGCCTCTTCCTCTATTGCAGTGTGGAGGACACATTGCAGATAGTGCTTTTAAATGCTAGCCACCTTTTTATTTATGCTGTGGAGGACCACTGGAGACATTGGGGATTCAAAAGGTGAATAACTACACTGCAACATGTGATTCAAGATATACTGTATCAGCATTTTACTTCATTTCTGCCATCCTTCAACACCTACTGCAAGGGAATAGTTCCTCTTGATCACAGCCTCCACTCCCCTGCCCCATGAATCAGCCACCAAAACATGCATGGCTTTGCAGGGTGAAAGCAAAAATTCACAAAGCATTAGCTCAACTTATTTAACCAGTGACATGAAATTGCCAGTCCCATTTGCTTGCTGGAAAGAAAAATGGGAATTCTCACAGCAAAAACTTTCCATCTTAAATTGTTAGTCAGCCTAGCAAGTTCAGACAAAGGAACCAATCTAAAAAACCATGGGCTCAAATCACTGGTGAACACCACTGATCTACCCCAGCGCCTCATGAATGGTTCACAACACTAACATTGCTTTAAAATTAGTATAATATACAGTATCACCAAAAAAAAAAAAAAACTACGATGTATTCGATCCAGGAGCACACAGTACAGCCTGTACCACAAACTGCAACCTCTCCAGTCAAGTGGTATTAAAAGAACCACCCATTTGCCTCCAAAACAATATACAAAAGTTAATAATTCTTTATTCAAAAAATAGTACATCTAAAAACAAAATGCTTTAAAAAAAGTGGAGCTCATTCAGTCACCTTCTTTCCCCGTTTCCCTGTGGTTTTCGCCCCAGCTTGTCCCTCAGCCACAACACCCTCCTCCCCTCCTGCCTTCTTCACTGGGGCCTTAGGCTTGGCTGCCTTCTTCGGCTCCTTTAGCTCCTTAGGGGCAGGAGCCTCCTGCCCACTAGGGTCCTTCTTGGCTTTGGGTTTCTTTACAGACGTTACTTTGGAAGACTCTTTCTCTCCAGAAGGCTGTCTGGACTCCTACAAGATGACATGTTGCACATCTCAGCCTTTCCAGCCATGTTGTGCTCCTGCCATGATCCTGCATGCTTCCCCCTACTCAAACCCTGGCTCCAGATGGAGTAGATTTTTTGGGGAAAATTGCCTTTCAATTCTCAAAGGGTGGTAATTTCGCATGGCAAAGTACTGCAGTTATTTAACAGGCTAAAAGGTACTGATCACTATTGATTAGGCTTTCATGATTTTTAAATCAGAGCCCCACTGATGTTTGGTTATTGTCTAGGCTTAAGTAGCAGAAGTATTATTGCACACACTAGAAATGGATTTAGGGGGGAGAAAACCAAAAACTGCACCCAGAATTCAGATTCTATCCCACCACAGGGCATACAGACTCACACCAGGGCTAATGTACCAGAATATATTTGGAATGTGGGAGGAAACTGAAGCCAACATCACAGGAATTGAACCCGGGAGCCCCAGAGCTGCATGGCAGCAATGCTCACCACTGTACCACGATGCCACCTCTACAGTAGTAAATACAAAAAAAAAACCCACCTCTTCATTCTTTTCCTTCTTTTTTTGCACTGCTTTAGGCTTCTCCTTAGAATCTGCAATAAAATGCATGGAATAGTCAGCAAAGATCCTTAGCCGATTGTGCAGGATTCCAAATTTTGGTCAAACCCAATACTCAACTTTAGATGAACTGTCACTTACCAGAGTCCTTCGTTTTGGGTTTCTTGGAACCAGCTTTCAAGGATTTGGGAGCCTTTGCAATATTCGGGTCATTATTTTCCTCCGATTGCAACTTCGCTTCCTTGTTTTTCTTGATTACTTTCTTCACCGCAAGCTAAACGGATTCAAGACAATTACAGAGAAAGTTGTCTAAAGGCTAATGTTGCAGGTCATGTAAAAGGACGTTAAAACCTCGGTCACACGCGACTTTCCAGGCTAACCTTACACATTCGCTTGAGCAAAAAAAGCTGGCAAAGCATACAACAGAAAGCTTTAAATGCAGCACACTCGATGATAACACTTGAGACTCACCCGAAATCTGCCCTGCGCTCCGCTGGCGCTAGAATTAGCAGGTCTCACAAGAGTCCCCTTTTCTATCCCTTTGTTCAACGCGCTCTTCATCAAGGGCTTCAGCCTCACCGGGTCCACTGTCGGGTACTTCCCCAAAATATACGTCCTGATGGCTTGGACAGAAGTACCTTTCTTTGTATCCAGTTGCCGGAGCGCTTCGGTGATCATCTCAATAGTCGCTGGGTGATTCATTGGTCTTTTCACGACTGTAGTCTTCATTTTCTTTTCGGTACCTGAAAAATAAGGTCAGTCAATGTTAAAAAAAAACGATAGCAGTAAACAACCAATCACTTCGATTACAATTTACGCTTACACAGCGTAAACTTTCTATTCAGAATATACGTTACTAAACTGTTAAAAAAAAAAGCACCTTGTGATTTTTCACCTGCTGGTTTCGCTTCATTTTTCGGCTTCTCTTCTGGCAAGGACATTGAAGAAGCGTCTTCAGTAACGGCAACTGGACTGGCTTTTTTTGGAGGCATTGTACTTTAATAAAACAACAAAAGTGCACTTCTTTGAAAAGGGAAACAAACCCCATCCCCTCTTTTCACGATTTAAACTGCTCTTGAGTTCTTACCTGGCCAATCAGAGGCAAACACCTGCCGGTGTAAGGGGGTTTGCTTTAATTATATTAATTAAGAGTGGGAGGCTTACAATTAGCTAAATTGTAAAATCTGTGGAAGTTTTTTTTTCTTATTTGTGCACCATGGACAACTTTCATTTATTTATGCAGCTGCCTGTTTTATTTTAGAATGATCAGGCTGGTGTTTTATTTTTTGTTCATCCACTGCCGCTCTCCTTCTCATGTTCTTACTAAATTGATACTTGAATGCATTATTAGCTTAATTTAGGCACCGGTTGATTCACATCCTTTTCTCAGAGAATGCAGAGCCAGTGAATGCTCTCTCATCAATACCTTTGCGATTGCTTTGTACTACATAGCAATGGTAATTCTTCCCTATATTGATTTGTTTGTTTTTAGGTCACTCATTTTACTTTCCACCTGTAATTTTCTACCTCAGGCCCTTTTAACACAGTGGCATATCTAGAAAGAAATGCTCTACATGTTGTATGTTTCAAAAATTTCATAACACTTGGGTACCAAATTACCATGTGATCTTATATGTCGTACATGTAATTCACTGTGGCATTAGTCATCATTTGATGTAGTTCATGTACATACGGGGCAGCATGGTGGAATAGAGGTTAGCACTGCTGCCTCACAGCACTGGGTTCAATTCTTGGAGTGCTGTGTGTTTCACATTGGTTAAAGTTTTTCCACTTTCCTCTCAGTCCAAAGACATGCTGGTAGGTTAATTGGCTCCCGGAAAAATAGGCCCTGGTGTGAGTGTGTGTGTGTCTGTGTCTGTGTGTGCCCTGTGATGTACTGGCATGCTATTCAAGGTATACAGTACTTCACCTTGCTTCTGGTTCTTGCTGGGGCAGGCTCAGACATCCCAACGATTTTAAACCTGATTGGACCTTTGAAATCCTCCCGTCCCCAGGGTTTGTGATTCTTTATATTGTCTTATCGTTGCACCTAGAAGGTATAACAGTATATGCAAGATGATTTACTGTACCTCTTGCAAAGTTGTTTGTGTCTGTGTAATAACTGACGTGCACTTTATTGTGCTTTTATTACATGGAATTCAAAAATTCTGGGGCTCCTACCTGTACTCTACTTCAACCCCACAGAAACACATTGCAGTCTCTGAAAACGGACACTTCTGTATAATAGTAAATTCTTCTCTCGACCACTTCATTTTACATACTGTACCATATAACCCAACCAGGTTAGTAAGCACATGAAACACTGATTAGAGTAATGAATCCTTAAATAAAGAAGCCATTAGCTAAGATTGTTCAAGCACCACTCGAAAGAGGAGGTGGGCCCTGTGAATGAGGAATTGCAAATGATGTACCCGTCCAAAAAACTGGGACAGGCAACCACAGAAGAGTCTTACCTTTATTATATTCAAAATTTCAAAGAGTGAAAGGACAAAGGATTTAAAGGTAAAGGATTTGTATATGGTAATACTCTCATTAAAGCCAGTTAAAATGTGTTTGGAAAAGGCAGATGATTTTCTAGCCTGTTTAGCTGGCTGGAACATTACCTGTTGAAGTGACACGCAGAAGCCCAGCTTTCAATACTTTACCTAAACGAATTGAATTTCTTTTGCAGCAAATTTCAGTAAGACATGTGATAAAGTTTTACATAAAAATTCTGAAGATGATAGATATAGGAATGGAAGATAATGTCTATAAGTAGGTAAAAGCTGGTTGATAAACAGAAAACAGAGAATAGTGACAAGTGATTGGGGTGACAAGACCAGTGAATTACCACAGGAAACTGTATTAGGCCTGTTTCCTGACTCTGGTATAATTAGTAAGCTTGTTAGGCTTCCAGATGAGCTGGGATGAAAAAAAAACATCCATCCATTTTCTAACCGTCTTCCAATTCAGGGGCATGGGGGAGCCAGAGCCTATCCTGGCAAGCAATGGGCGCAAGGCAGGGTACACCCTGGATGGGACGCCAGTCTATTATATGGGAAAAAATAAAACTGCCAGCATAAATCTAATTAACTTTATTTTTGGTTCACACATTTTACAACAAAAACTTCAGTGCCTGGAGGTTGAATGGGAACAGCCACTGACATCCACTTGGTAGCTCAATGCACACGGAGCAGAAGGGGAGGAGGATGTCTGAAGCATCAGGCAGGAGACACCTGGCTGGAGGACACAGACGAAGCTTCGGTCTTTCCGGATGCCGACGTGGTGTCCTCTTCACCAAAAGGGTTTTTCCCACAGCACAAGGTGGTGATCATGCAGCGACGGAACTTTACAAGGACGGAAGAGCAAGCCTTAATCAAAGCAAGCGTTCAATATTCAGAGTGTCACGCATTTCTGTGAACAACACGACCGTACAGACACCCACATACTTGAAGGAGTGTTTGTTCTTCTGTGACTCATTCTTTGCTTTTTGTCTGACCGTCTGTTTATTTGTCCTACAATCTCAATCTTTCTTATTACCGAATGAAGAGACGAGCAAGAGTTTTACTTACGAGTTGATACCATTGAACACTGATTGTAATTTCACATTCTGAATTTTGTATAAGACTCAGGCAATACAAACCACTGTAGTTTAAAGTGATGTAATATATTCCTCACAGTTAAATATTGCAACCCTTATTTTTACCTTCTGAGAACAAGGAAAACAGAACATGAACAGAATAATGTGTTAGAATAATGTGTGGACACTACTTCCGTCAAATACACTGAGGAGCAAGCGTTCACATTTATTCATTATTAAATCCTTTCTGGAAGGAGTACTAATGCAAATGTCCTTGTGAGTTTACTATTTATTCCTTTTACACCACACTTGCAGTAGATTATTATCATAAATCTCCTCAAAGCCAATGTTTTACGGTGCCAAAACGGGTCCTCATTAATTCAGCCATATTCACCCCACTCCAAACCCCAATCTACCTGTTTGTTCAGGAGGATGTAGATGATAGGGTTGTAGAGGGCAGAGCTTTTGGCAAAGAAAGCTGGGGCAGTCATGAAGACGGGACCAAAGTTGCTGCCCTGGTTCACGAAGATGTAGAATGCCACGCTGGCGTAGGGCAACCAACACACCAGGAAAGAGATCACCATGACAACGACCATGCGGGTCACTTCCTTCTCGGCCCTCTGGGTAGTTTCTGATTCTTGCTGTTGGGATGCAGCCTGTGGGAATACACGCATACACACAGCACTTTGACATGCACAGCAGGGAGCAGATTTCTGCAGTGCATTGGTACTAGTTCTGAAACTGGCCCCTGTTCCTGCTTTTTTCATTCCTAAAAGTAGAGATTTTACAGATCATGTGTACTGAATGTGTATGCGTTAGAATGTGACAAATCTATGTATAATTCATTGTCTTTGTTAATCCACAACAATCTGTTTGCTGTACAGCGTGAAAAGGCCTATTAGTTTATAATCTGATACATGTTTACAGCTTCCAATGTTGCTTCTTTTCTTCAGATGTTCCAAAGTGAAAACTACGAGCTGCTAGTACTTCAGTACAATTGCTATCCTTGCTGATCAGGTGTCAAAACGCTTGATCTTGGAGATTAGATGACTGTAAATTTCTATATTTATGAGAATTAATTGCATTCATTACTGCCAGTCTACTTCTTAAGAATGCATATATAACAGAACATCAGCAGGGTTAACCTCAGCTTATCTTCCACTCACACGTTTTATAGTAAACACTGTTTAGTGCACCTCATTTCACACGTGACCAGCTTAAAAATGGCAACATTTTACACACACACTTTCACACAATGCCACATTCTTATACAATATTACATTTACCACAATACTAACAGTCTACAATCCACTGAGAAAGAGAAGCCATATATTTTGTAATAGAAGATTTTGATGATCATACAAATACAAACATTTACCAGCTCTAGGTCAAGAATCATTGCTTGTACAGCAAAGGAACTTTCCTAAATCTTATACAGGAGCCCCTACAGCAGAGTGCCGTACCTGTTTGACAGTGCACACTAGGCGGCCGTAGCAGAAGAAGATGACAGTCAGAGGGATGGAGAAGTGAACAATAAACATGTAGATGACAAAGGACTTGTTGTTCACCTCAGGCGTCACTGTGTAATAGTCGATTCCACATGAGCACTGCATCCCTTCAGGGATGTACCTATGGGCAGAAGATAAGGACCCAGCACACCCCATGAGACAGCTTCTCTGTCATAGCAGTACTTTAAACAAACCTGTACCTACAAAGCGCACATAGACAATCATCTATTTAATATGACTGTATCCAAAATAGCGCTATGAGCTTTTTAAAAAGCTTCTCTTTCAGATTCATTGTATTTGGCCGACTAAATTTCAGTGTCATTCACTACCTTTCAAGAAAAAAAGGTGTTTAAAATAAAATGTCGCCACTCTGATAGTGAATGTTTTGATATCAGATGTCACACACTCACAAAATATATATGTTGTATATTATGTTATATATTACTCATACGAAAAATATTAGAAAGGTGCCACATAAATTGCAGTTGCTCGGACCATGATTTAGAAATGATACAGAATGAATCATTCTGTATGATTATCATTGTTTATCTTAAACAAGAACAGAGGGAAAATGGAACCGTGGCTCATTTTGAAAGAAATGTTTTGAAAACGGAACAGTCCTGGATGAAAGAGATTACAAATAGTTACAAATAGTAAAGGTTACAAATAGTAGTCTCTGCCGATCGCATCAGCGGAGTCTGACAACTTTTTGGTTCCTCGCCGGTTACCTGTGTTTCCTACGCTTCACGTTTGTTATAGGCTTCGCGAGGCTGTCCTGGAATGTCACCTACCTGGACCACCCGAAGAGCGGAGGAGCGGCACAGGCCAGCGCCATGATCCAGGTCAGCGCTACCCCCATGACGGCGTGGTTCTCGCCAAACCGAAAGTTACTCACAGGCTTGCACACCACGATGTACCTCTCAATAGCTAGTACCACCAGAGACCACAGGGCTATTTCACCTGCAAAAACCACAAAATGGGTCTGCTGTCATTCCGACATAAAGTGTATGGTAAGTCTGAAGGGTTTCTAGCTGTGACTTCAGTCTCCCACCACCTGAAAAACATTGACCGTCTCTTATGTGCGAAACGATCTGTAAGGAATGATTTTGCGCACTTTCTTATATTCCTTAAACACTATATTTGACTTCTACCTGTACCTTCTTGCCTCTCGAGTTTTCAGAGGATGTATTTCTAATATACGTATGCATAAAAAGGTTCCTACACACTTTTGTAAGTAAATAGCAATCAAATGTATTCATTTTACATTTTTTTTAGGAATTACCATGGGAAACCTTCAGTATGTGACTCATAAGAAGTCCTCTTCCATAAACTAGTGGCTCAGATGTGGTTTTAAATCCCACTAATGCAGACTAAGGCATCCACACATACAGTCAACACAAGGCAGAAACCACACTTCAGTTTAGCAGTCAACATTTAAAATAGAAATAAGAAAGCACTAATATTCATTTATTTTTCCTCTTTATAAATTACTAAAGACAGATGTTCCATGTAATTTGATAAGGTTTCCAAAAACAATGAGGTTGAATCCACTAGCAATCAAACAATTTTGCCATCTCTATCAATGTATTTGATGTACGGTCTTACAAACATTCCTACTGTATAGTTTTTTCGCTGGCTGTCAAAAAAAGCAAAATCCTCAATAAGTTTTGAATACGTTCTCTGGTTCATTTATTTAAAAATGAGCACTTACCCCCAAGTGTTGCAAAGAAACCTTCAACGTTGCAGCCTGCGGGCCCGAACACAAAATAGCCGTGCATGGAGGTATACATAGTGGTTGTGAAGCCCCCTGTGATCATGAACAAGTCTGCCACAGCGAGGTTCAGCAGGATATAGTTCAGAGGTGTCCTCAGTTTCTTGTGCTGAATGGTGACATGCAGTGTGAGGAAATTGATTGGAAAGCCCGTAATGATCAAGAAAAACATGTAGGCAGCCAGAGCCGAGAACTTCCATGGTTCAGCCAGGTAGTACTGGGGGTACTCGAATGGATTCTTCACAATCCCAGTCTTATTTGACATGGGTACATAAAAGTTGGGACCTTCTGTTCCGTTCATGGCTGGAAGTTTCGCTCGCTTCTTCGACTAAAAGTTTCCTTTCAAAGTTATTCACGATGTATCACCCAACTCATCCTAAGTTCCTTTTATATGTCTTCCCTGGGATTAGGGCTACTCCTGGTGTCAGCAGAAAAAGATTTAGCCACTTTAAAGAGCAGTAATCCAGACAAGAATAACTGGCTTCTGTTCAAGTTATTAAGCAGCAGCTGCCACCTCAGGACAAACCTTGACAATGCCTCATCTTTTACATCTTTCACAAGTGTGACATGAAAAGTGTTCTACCACATCGATCTATATTGCATATGCAAGGGACAGACTCACAGAAAAACTATTAATATCTGTTTGACACACATGCTGAAAATGTTTTTATAACATTTCTGGGTTTCATTTGGTACAACCTCAGTCTGCATACATTAGCCATGTATTTCATAGCTTGAAAACGTTTCTATGTCTTTCCACATGTTCTTAAAAACTTGCGTGCCTTTCTTAGGAACATGCTGATTAAGTAGCCAGAGATCTATGTTGTACAAGTGAGACAGTTTCAAAATCAACAGAAGTCATGACATAAAACTAAACTCGAACATACACAGGTAGAAGAATGTACAGTATATTCAAACACCACATCAAACAACTTTCTGTATTTTTAAGGAACCACTTTAGGTTTCCTCTCACCTCCTTTTTTCTTTATTTACTTCCACTGATATTTATGTTTTACATTGGTCACAGTTCTCATTACTAATAAATTCTGTACAAGTTCTAATGAAAAACAGTAGGGTACTTTGAAAAAGCATTTACAGTACCAATATTGGTAAACACAGACCTGGATAGCACTCAAGACAAATCATTCAGCAGAAAAATAATTTATAAACAAACAGTATACACAAAGAAACAATTATTTCATGTTGTAATATAATGTTATATTTTTCAAAAACCTAAAAAATGGCTTTGGAGGTCACATTTGCCAGATACGTTTGCAAAAAAAAAACACTAGACTTCATTTACTTCATACATATACTTTAATGACAAAATAGATACATATGTTTGTACATATAACCTATATACTGGGTAATATTTATTATATTTAATTTTTAAAAAATCATAAATGTTATCCATATTTGGAACATGTTGAGTCTTTACGGATAACAACATAGAATTAAGTTACAATATAAAATTTTCAAAATAAACAAATACACTGACATAAAGCCTCCTGAAATATAACAAAACTAATGGAATGTCAAACATATTTTAATGCTTTAATCCAAATCCTTATATTTTCCCAAGTAATGGCTGACATGTGAATAAGGTATAGGCATGTGTAAAGTAACAAAAATACTTTTTTGTCTGAAAATTATTTAGGGATTCAATAATGTTCATTTTATATCTATGCACCTTTCCTTTCACTGGCATTACACCATAAAAATAGCATTTACATGTTTCATTTAAAAAGGGAACCAGAAGTTGAAATTTAATCTTTCTTACACCACAGCATTCAATCCCCCATATATGACACTCACAAAACCCAAGAGAAATCTGATCCCTTTAATCCTATTCTGCTGATCGGCTGAAGTAGTGCTTTTGTAGCGGACTTAATGAACACAGTGGTAGATCGCTAAACGTACCATTAATGGTCTTTAATGACAAAATAAATATTTAGAAATTTACATTCATCTCTTCTCCAAGACCAAGCTGGCAGGAGTTTTGACAACTGATCAGTTTGGTTCATCTATTGGCCTGCGGCAGTAAGGACAGCAATTGTGCTGAAGTACTAGCAGCTCGTAGTCTTCACTGTGGAACATCTGAAGGAAGGAAGACAAAATTGGAGGCTATAAACATGTATCACATTACCACCTAATAATCTCTTTACACTGGATGGGAAAACAGGCTGTTGTGCATTAAGAAAGCTATATACCTTTCATAGTAATATCCATCTGAAACTGACAAAATTAATCTGCACATAAATGTTTAAATTTGTATATTCAGATTTTATTGTACAAATATGCGGCTCTGATGATGACTTACTCATAACTTTTAAACCTTGATACATCTTTCAGAGATCCACTGAATGCTGTTTGGTAAAACAGGACAACAGACTTCTGTCTTCACGACAGCGACAACAAAGTACGGTTTCAGTTGTAAGGAGTGTGTCAGCATACCTGAAAGCAGGAAGGGCACATGGTGATGGAGACATCAGGCAGCAGGGACCTGTAGTATTGCCAGCTGAGGGGCTTGGGCCAGCGCTTGATCAGGACATCCCTCCTGCTCATGGAAAGTAGTGCTGCCTTGCTCACCACAACAGGGACAAACTCTGAGCCGCCTTGCTGCAGGAACACAGAAACATTTAGCGTCATCATCTTCCCATATTATTTTTAATGGACAGCAAGCAGAACAGTGGAGAACATGCTAGGTCAGGGTAATCTGAGAGGACATGCAACACAACCACCATCAGTGTTAATGCATGCTGTTGTTAAGGTATGGCAAAGTCAGTGGTTGAGGACAGAAATGCTTTTTGGCTTGCAATGTGTTATTAAACTAGTATCCATCAGCTTTACTTAAGCACCACACTTGGAGCTCAGAGGACCCATAGTAAAGCTGTCTCTAAAAACAATAAAAACGATTTTAGAATTTTGTAGGTTTTGCAAACATTTAGAATTAATTATACACAGTTTTGAAACATATTATGTCAATTTTATTGTAGTCATTATTTGAAGTGTTGCGTAAATGTTAATGTTTGCTGTCATATTTGTAAAGTGAAACGACAAAGGTAGTTCACTATAAAAACACAAATCTTTAAGAAAACTGAACATAAGAGGTTGGGGGCTACTTTATGACTTATTCAAAACTAAATTGTTCAATTGTTTAATGCGTTCCATTACCTCAAAGCTCAGCTTGGCCATGAAAGGGTCTTCTTCAGGGTCATCCATGCTGTCAACTAATTTCAAAGTGTTGGATTCTGTGATACTGTCAAGAAACCAACTGGTGCGTTACACATCTCTTTAGCTTTTAAGATTTTTTGTAGAAAATGCATATTCCCATTTTGAATGACATACAAGCCCTTGGTCTTCCTTAGTCTAAAAAAGACAAAGTAGCCCTTAGCAAATGGACTAATCCTATGGGCTAAAAGGTTTTAGCTATTAGGGCTAGCTGAATTATCTAAACCTATTAACTCAGAAAAAGGTGATTTAGGGGTGACCCTTGATCAGGTTCTGAAGCATGGCCAGAGATACACTTAAACTTTTCTATAAATATTGGTTTACCATAAATCAAATGTATTTACAGACATTAATGAATTATAAATTAGAACTATTGGTACCTGACTTCTTGGAACAACAGGGAATCAGAAATAAGCTGTGAAAGATGGATTTCACATTTCTCCTACTGCGTTAGCTTTCATGAGCAAAGACAAAGAAGGAAAATCAGCAGTGAAACAGATGAGTGGTTGTGGGTCTCAGCCTGGTCTTTCTTCAAATTAGAAATCCATCACAAATTCTTGCCTGTGTTTTTGAAATTCTTTGGAAGCCAGTCTATGAACTGAGTAAGGGAAGTTATATTCAGTGTTATTAAAACACCGTGGAGGCATAACAGCATTGAAAAAGACTACTCAATTTACCAGCATAACAGAAAAAGGACTTTCTGAAAGATAAAGCTTGTCCAGAGATAATTTGAAAACTAGTTAAAAAGTGATAAAGCTTGGTTGGTGATGGTTTACTCGTATGGAACCCTTCACAGCAACCACTTAACATTTTAAATCATTTAGCAGTTTGATAAGGGCCCTCCAACTATTAATGATTGATAAACATCACTTCTACCTATTAAAAAACCAACAGTGAATCATGTTAAAATACAATCTATTTTCACAAATCACACTAAAGTAAAATATTAAAACTGCAAAAAAAAAACCTGCCAGCCTTTCCCAGTTTCATGCTGAATCCCTTTATGAAGGGGATCACTTCAGGTATGTGAAGGATACCACCACTGCTCATCTCCTGCCACTTTCCTTCTCTCCTCTCTGTTCGAGGAGCTTCCAGGTCTATGAGGGACACAGCCTCTTCATCAGTGATCCCTTCCTCCAGGTAAAACTGCACAAGGGGCAGGATCTCTGTAGAAACACCACACAATAAAAAAATCATTGTAAGCAGAACTGTCTGCTATTTCCACTGAACAAAATATTAGAATATTAGAGAAAGAAAAACAAATGCAATACATAGATATATAACAATAAGTATGGGCAAGTTATATTTCAGCCTTATTTAAAGAAAGACTTCATTTCGAGGAAGATATCTGAGCATGATATTCAGTTTCGGTCACATTACTACCAAAAGGATATTATAGTCCCAGAAACATTTCAAAGAAGAACCACAAGATAAATCCATGGTTTCAGGAGAATTCAATATATAGATCAGTTAAAGGAACTAAACCTGGTCTGTTTAGAACAGAAGAGACTGAGGAAAGACATGATTCAAGAATGGAGAATTGAAAGTGGACTAGACAGTAGTACAGTAGTGAATTAAGGCATGGTGTCACAACTGAAAACACATTTGAGAGAGAAGCATATTTGTAGGAAGAATTGTGGGTTTGTGAAACAAAGTCAATCCTTTGGAGGATATTTTAGATGGAACATGGAGTAAATGGAACCCTATAGTATGAATCCAATTGTTTGTTTTTATGCAGCGTTATATCACTCTTATCTTTTTCTATATCTCTTGCAAACATCAAAATTCAATTCACTGTTATATCCCACTAGTGAGTAACAAGGACCGATGGTTGATAAACAACCTCTAATAGTATCACGCAATCCCTTTTCAGCTGCATAATTTCTAGGGTACAAAGTTATCTGAATCCTCTGAGTTATGCTTCAGAAAAAGTTATGCTAGTTTTTACTTGTTGTTCTGAGATTCTTGCTTCATACCAGGTCTCTGAATGGAATCAGCCTCAGGTGATTCACTGTCTCCAGACAGACAGTCTTTTTGGGTTTCCATCAGAAGGCATCTGTATGCCTTCTTATAAAAAGAGAGAACTGAAGCACGCAGGCAGGTGAATTGATTCTCTTCATAACAAGAAGCACAAAGAAAGCAAAATGACTGTGGTCTCAACTAATCTGAAATTCAGATCATTCACTAATAGACACGAAGTGAATAAATAAACTATGATACAGTGTTAACAACATGAATAAGCTGAAACCTTTGACTTCAAGCTTATAACATAACTGTGAAATCAAAGATTAATGTAGCATTATTTACAAAAAATCACATTTAAATCACTATCCACACAAAAAAAGACAAATTGCTTGTGTACGAGAATATAACTCATCACAGAAATCCCTCTGTCACAGTGAATTGTGAAAGAAATACTACAGTGATCCTGTTATGTGCTTTAAAAGAATATCTCACCATAGACAAGATGGAATTATACTTCAACATCCTAGATAAAAATGACAGATCATCTGTGAATGATGAATGATGTAGCTGAATAATCATCAGATACAGTCTATTTCTAAAAACTAAGATGATCTCTTTCATAATTACTTCATTTCAAGAAACCAGAATGAAAATACATTTAATACAATTAACATCAGAGATTACATTATTTAATGTATCTCTTTGTCCACTCATGAAGACAATGCCTACCCATAAGAAGACACACAAGACATATCTGTAGTTTTGTATTATGTGATTTCCAAAAGTAGAACAAAACTCCGAACAATAATTGAGAGAGAAATGTATACACAAATACATGAGTGTATACACTCATATAGTTTTTGCAGCACCTATAAAGTGCTGAGAAAGCGGTACTTCTATAGAAGCTTGTGCATATGGCACATGTTTATAGATAAACCATCTGATTCATTGTGCAAGACGGTATTCCTTTTTTCTTTGCTCTAATTAAGCTGTGGAGTAGAGACAGACACACAATACTCTTCAAAGACGTCAATAAAACTTCAGCAATTCAAATGATCCTTTGACAAGCTCTGAGTAAGTGTTCTCAGGAATAAAAAAAAACAAAGCAGATGCTCCCCAGAAACAATATGTAACTCATCATTAAAGGTGCACAGGACAATTTGAGTGGTTATTTATTTGAAGGGTTTCTCTTTTATGAAGAATATGAAATGAGTAGTTCGCTGGAAGGTACAGTATAATGCAGGCTTGAATACACTCACCATAGGAAGATGCTGAAAAGATGAAAGGCTGCCGGCAATTGATGCACACATTCCCTTGATTATTCAGCAGGGGGTTGTTCGTAGAGCATCGATAGCACATGGGCACAAGGTCCTGTTAAAATGTGTTAACTTGTTCAAAGAGATGCAAGCATTTATCCCACATAGCTATTTAATAAGATGGTACAATCTAATTAATTATAATTATTTCAGTACAAATCTTGTACTGGATTTATTATTTCACTGCACTTTTACTGTATTTACCTTAAAGTACTTGAGGGCTTGTTGCAGAGACAGAACAATAAAGGAACTAGTATCATAGGATACAAAACAGCAACATTTGCGTTTCTCAATCAAGAAGCATAGTTTCCTTTAATCCCTAAATTTTTAAGGCTGAGTTTTGGACAGGAATCAAATAAAAAGTTGACTATTGTTTTTAGTCCAACAAAAATTTTGCTGTGCTTATGCAGATGGTAATAGGAACACTAAAATAAGCAAACAAATAACTTCACTTGCAATTGATAGCACATTTTCAAAGGTCTTGCAGTTACAGTTTCAGTTTTTCTGAAATACAACAAACATTAATTTGGGATCAATTGAGTTTTGAGGCCATCCTCTTTGATTGTTTTCACTTATTTAAATAAAATTCCTTCAGTGATTAACCACCAGTAAAAAATAATGTAAAGCAAAACAGATGTGTAGCACAAAACTGCAAATGCCTTGTTTACAGTGCTAACTTTGATGGGAAATATGTGTAACAAAAAATTCTGTAAGATTTTAGTTTTCTTCTTTTAAGAGGAGACAAATATTCAGCCATGAGGCCTTCGATCTGCCGTATACATCATGAAGAACGGAAAGAAAACAATGAGCTGTGCCATCAGAAGCTATAAAACACAAGCAGCAGCAGGAAACAGTTTGAGAAGTTAGTTTAGAAGTTTCTCGAAAGATCATAAAATCAAGCCTGCTCTCATTTAAAACCCTGAGACTGCTGCATGCCAAATGGATAAAAAGTCCTTTTTGAACTCGTTTGTCTTCTGCCTTTTCCATTGTAAAACTCCACTGCTTATGACGGGAGTTAAAATTCTCAATATGAAAAAGACTTAATGCAGAGCATGTGACCATGATGCAGTCCTAAAACAATTTTCACCCACAGCAGTTTTGTATATAAAGAACAGTAAAGCTGCTGTGTATCTGAATTGCAAGCATTTTGTTTTGAGAGTTGAAACATGTTTCTGTTGAGATTATGTTCCATGATAATTTGTGCAATTTCCCTCATGGGATAAATTAAGTATCTATCTATATAAAGATATAAGAAAACATTACACACATGAGTGGTGTACATGGAGCCTTACCTCACTGTCGTGGAAAGGCTTGGAGCGAACAGTCAGGCTGCCCAGTTCGATGGACTCCTGGAATCGGGTTGGGATACGAAGGCCCTGTAGTTTCTCATAAGCATGGCGGGCCAGCTTGTATGCCCCCAGTGCTTTGCTTTGCTTAGCTAGAGCGTACAGAGTGTTCCTTCCCTCAGTTAAGGATCATGTATGTTTTAAGTGATTCAAATAACAAACATGAAATGAACGTTCACATTTACGACAAACCTGTAAATTAAAAAAGGAGTGCGACCTCAAAACACTTAAAAGAAAAACATATTGATGTGTACAACCCTTCACTTACTGTACAGTATGTGTATTAGTGATTATCTATGTCTGAAAGTATTTGACAAATTTAACAATTTGTAACAATTGTAACAGAGTTACAATTTGCACTAATTTCTTTAACATTACTCATATGACAACATAATGCAAAGAGTTATCTCTTTTTGTATATCTGACCATGAAATAATTATATTTCAAAACATATTTTCACCAATATCAGCTGTTCACCAGTGTCATACCTGATGCTACATATATTTTAGCAAAAGGCCTGTGTCCTGACTGTTTAACTCTCTGCAGTCCATTCCATATACTGTCAACATAGTTAGCTTTTGCTTTTGTTATGGGGAAGGCATTTGTTCCTGGTATCTTCCTTCACATGATATGAGACCTAGTGTTAGTAGTTAATTTGTCTTGTGTATGACAATGTCTCTGAAAGATACACTTTAGAGATGCCCAATGGCACATCCTTTGTCAAGTTGTGCAGTAGAAACCTTGAGATATTGAATAGGCTTTCTGGGAGATGAGAGCTAAAGGGTTCATCCTGGAAGCACAAATATAAAAGTACATAAACCTTTGCCTTTGTTTAGGAATGTATGATCTACATCTCACACATATTTCAATGTGTTCAGACAAGTGCAGTTCTGTACAGACCACAATCAATGGGCCAATGTTAAAATCCATTTCAGTGCAACACAGTGCCATGTTATCTTCATAACTGTAAATTTGTAACTCTATTCTTTCAATTATTTTTCTACTGCTTTCTGCTATTGCCTATATTTGGTTTTTATTTGTAACTTTATTCTGAGAAATATCTTAAATAAATTTTAGCTTGAATTAAGATATGACAATAAAGAAGCACTGTCACTTGTAACAAATTCCAGAGTATGAAATTCTATGTAAAAAGACAATATACTGGGAATTAGAACATTTAGTGTGCTATTTATAGTTTCTCTCACAGTGTAGCGCTGAATGGAGTGATAAACATGGTACAGCTCTGCCAAGTGCTGGAACCTGTGGAATTTCTTCAGCATCTCATCTTTCTTATTTTCATTTTCTGTAAAAAAAAAGGACATCATTATTTCAGTCACTTGATTCCCAGATTATGCACACATGAGCTTTGTCTGGGTCCTATTGTAGTACAGCAAAATGGAGAAAAAAATCTAAGTATTGCCACAGCTTGTCACAGTCAGAATTAAAAATTAAAGCATAATTCTTCTCAGCAGCAGAAAATGGGCTTACCATGATTATATGAAAATACTCTTACCCCTGGCTATATCCAAACACTGCATGGATAGCATCCAGTAGTAATAAGCTGCGTCATTAAACCTGCTTTCCACTACGGCGTTGTGAGTCAGTTGCTCCAGCACTTTCACTGCTTCATCCTGCTGCCCAGCCTTGTGGAAAGCTAATAAGCAGCAGATAATTAGTTGCATAAAAAGTATGAGAAACTTGGGGGTGGTATCATAAGATTAAAGTATCTTCTTATAATCAAATATTATTTTTCAAGATCATGGAAGGCCAGTTAGAATTCTCCAGAGCAAACAGTGTCTGGTTTACATTTTATGTGACCTTTCAGTCATTTAAATGTATCAGAATTTGCTTACAAAGCAATGGAACAGTTGTTCCAGGTCCACAGCCACTAATGATTTAATGATTCCTATAAATTCTGCAGGCTATTGTTGTAACAGTGCTGTTACTGTTATGCAGTTTATTTTTATATTTAGTTTGAATTTTTTCATTTTGCTCTTGTAGTTGTTACAAAGCGTAAAGAACAAACTGTTATTTTTACTTTAATTAATCGCAGTTTATGTATCTACTGATTTCATTTTTGACTAAAGCAACAAACTCTTCTGTCATACCTATGACCTGATGAACTACAAAAGGTCACTTAGTTAAAGGTTATGCCTTCAGGTTACAGTTAGTCAAACACTGGAAAAATGAAAACCATACTAGAGATATTAACAATGAAACAAAGTATTGGACCAAAAAGCATTTTTATGCCTCTCAGTGTACAATAAGTGATGAAATCTTTATCTACACATTTCTGAGAAACCATCAGAATAAACTGAATATTTCACAATAGTAAAAACTATATGCAACCACAAAACATAATTTCTGGGTTAATTACTGTATGTGCTATAATTAACCTTCACAGTTTGCATTTAGTCTAACTTATATTAATAGTATGTGCACAACATGAAGTACATGGAAGTAAATGCAGCTCGAACTCAGTTAAATGAGTTATGAGTGTTATAGTTATGAGTGTGACTATGATCCATTTTTAGGCTATAAGGTGCTCAAAGGCTGATGTGAACACACCTTTCTGTGCTTCTTCAAACCTGTCGTTCTCAGCCAGCCACTGTGCATAAGGCACATAGACGTCGTCCTTGAACTCTGGGTGTTTCTCCACCAGCTCAAAAGCCTACAAAGAGTCAGAACCCATAACATTCCTCACAGTTTAGAATATTAGTACATATTTCTTATAGGCCCCAAAAAATCATTTAAAAAATAATATTGCAGTCTGAAAATTCCATAAAGTAATTAAGTGTCTTAATGTGCAATGCACAAATGTAAGAACCAATACTAAACTTGAAACCTCAGAGCAAAATAACAAAATATAGTTTTAAATGAGCTATTTTACTTATAACCTTTATGTACCAATGGACTTGACTTTTTGATATTTTACTCATACATAAAAATTAACTACAGGCACAACAAAGCTTGATGTTTCCTAAAACTGAATCACTACCTAATCTCTGCGGTATACAGTTTTATAGATGGATGAATTAATTGAATACATTCCCAGTCTCTATTGTTCTACTGCATGTTTTGTTGTTAAGCAATAATCGAAATTAAACAGCCACTGCAATGCAGGAAACATGAAACTAATCTTAAGAAACAGTTCAGCGGTCATTTGTTCTTCAAAAGTTGTTTATTCTACATACAGTATGTATTTAACTACTGTCAGCATAGCTGGAATTTAAATCTACACTTGATGACATTGGTTATATTTAAGAACCTACTCACTGGTGTAGTTGATGTAGTTGGACAGCCTATATGTGTGGACATTTATATGGAGAGAAAGCTTCTGGAGAAGCTCTGTATTACTCAGCAGTGCCCCTCACCTCCTCCCAGTGATACTCCTCCACATGCAGCAGCACCAGAGCTTTGAGGTCTCCCATCTTAGTGTAGGTCTCAGCAGCATAGCCATGCTGCTTTAGCTTCTTGAAGAAGGCAGCACATTGTGATAAGGGCTCACGCTCTGCCTTGTCTAGTTTCCGTGCGATGTCAATTAACCTGCAGTAAGAACACAAAAAGGATCTATTCCTGCTCCCACAATGCAGTTTCACTATCACTGGATTTGTAGATAAACAAGAACAAGAAAACAGGACTTCAACTGATATTTTAACAAATAAAATAAATCTTCACAGCAAAAGGATATCTTTTTGTAAATAGTTTGGGAAGGTTGATAACAACGAGAATGGATGCTTTCTTATCCCTATCTTGAAATTCCACTCAAGCAGAGAGCCCACTTTCCCATGACTTAATTATGGCAGAGTATCAAAAGTTGGAAACAGTGGAAATATTCAGGCAGGGAAACCTTTTTTTCTTGCCAACTAGTATACATGGGACTCTCTTAGGAGTTTCACGTGTTATTATAGGGTAACAAGCTTAATGTGGTTTGTACTAAAACTAGTCTAAAATTAATATGACATGACAATGCACTAGAAAATTGTATCTCCAACAGAGCATAATCAAAATTAAACCTGAAAACTTCTATCATCATAAAATATATCCTTTTACAATTTTCCTTTGTGCCATTAGAAGTTGGCAAGATGTTTATTCTGAAAACAAACACTGATAGACAACAAACAGATTATATGCTGAATGAAAGCAAAATGTTTCAGAGAAGTAGATAATGAAAATAATTACTTAATTAATAAATGCTTCATTGTATTTCAACTGTATTTCAAGGTACAGTTTAATCTGTTTGTTACTATTTTTTAGCCTACTATTCCAAGACCATTGAGCTGAACATTGTTCATGACAAATTATAAAAAGTCGAGTTTGTACCAAAGAACAAACTTTGAAAAAGTTATAATGAATGAAGAGTTTAAAAAAAAACATCCTGTTTTTGTGACACTGTGAACAGGAAATTATTTTAAATATAGACTTCCACCTTTGATGATACTCTGCCCTTACTCTCTATAATATTTCTCTTTGGAGTTTTTATAAATTTAACTAACAAAAACTTGAATGCTTACACACTTTAAACCCTTTCGAATCATTTTAGTAGAAATAGCATTGTCATGTTTTAAATTAAATGGAAGCCTCCAGTGGTAAATGTTACACACATGTCCACCCAGCCATGTTCCCCGATGAGCTCTATAGCCTTCATGTGCTCCCCTGCAGACAGGTACATCTCGGCCGCAGCACGGGGCTCATTGATGTTCTTGGCCCAGTCTGCCTGTTTGGTAATCAGCATTTTGGTGTCCTTCGGATCTCCAGAGCCAAGGAAATCCTGGACATAAACACATCTGTGTTAGCACTTCTGGTGGGCACTGGAGAAGGAATGAAGTAATGTTGCTAAATACAAACAGGACACATCAGCTTCCTGTCCACTTCTGATTAACAAAACCTCTTAACCAGATGAGAGCTCAGTCAGAAAAATATACACCTCTGACAAAAACACGCCAAGGGAAACCACAGAAAAATCAGTTTGTTTGAACCAATTGCCTAAAGTAAACAAAAGTTCCGTTACCACTCTCACAGCAACATATCTTGCTTTATTAAGGCAAATCTGATGGTAAAAAAAACACATTGGCTGTCAGAGGCATTTCACTGGAAGAATAAACAAACTATAGTGCTATACTGTAGTATATTTACTGGTGGGCAAGCAGATAAAAAATTAATCTCTATTGGTGTATTGGTGTAAAAATAAATCATTGGAGACAGCAGCCTGTTTTTATTCTCCTCCCTTAAGGTTAACTTTTCACACTTTTTGTCCTTATGTATACAAAAAAATGCTTCCTCTTTATGTACTCTCTAGTTTCATGCTCTTCATGACATATCTGAATTAGTAAGGTATGAATCGTGAGAGTTATCGGTGGAATTGACATATTAAGTCCAAGAGCTGTCTAGCAAGCAATTTTTCACATTATCCAAGCAGGACATGCCAAACAGCATACATTCTTAAAACTTTTTAAATAACATTATTATGAGTTATGTTGTGCAATTCATTTTTAGATTTTTTTTCATTTCTTAAAATGGAAAACTGTGCTCTTGCTTTGCATTAAAGAATTTACTGTGCCACAATATAGTTTAAGTCTGTTTCATGCTTTTCCTCACTACAAATCAATAGTATTATCAAAAATAATAACACGGTAAAAGCCCCTGTAAGATTATGTATATTTAGATTTATTTAGTACTGTTAAATTAGAAAAAAAAGTTTCAATAACAAATAAAACAATTTCTAAAGCTTTGTAAGTTCCACATCAAATCTACTTCTCTTGCAATTCAATACAAACTTTCAACAAAAATAAACAGAATGGAACCACTGTTAGGTAAAGCACGCCCACTTAATGATAAAGGAATACAAACAATACACAACATACAAGCAACACTTGCAAATCTCGCAATGTATCATGTCATCCACCAGATTTAATAAGAGTACGCTTCTTAAAATTGTTGTAGATCATGAAAGATAATGTTCTGGTTCTGGTTCACAGGACTGCAGGACGAGGTGCAGCTTGCTTTATGTGCAGATCGTGTGCAGAAGATGAAAGTAAGAGTTTAAATGCTTCACCTTGGCATATTCGAACATGCGCAGGTCTGTGTACATATTTAGGGCTCGGCTATCATTCCCCGTCTTTTTGTACAGTTTGGCAGCCTCATGGAATTTCCCTTGGTAGGCAAAAACATCCGCCAGGAAGAGCTCATTGTTGGTCTCGCCTCTTTTCTTCCTCTCCTGCATAAATCCATCAATATACAGAAAAAGAGAACAATTACCATCTGTTACATTTCAATGCAGCTTGACAAAAGGAATTCTCAGCTTCTCTGAGCTATACAACTGTGGGTAAAAGTTCCATCTTCAGTGAAATTAAAAACTGATACACTTAAGTAAATCAAAAATAATGAGTGTGTAAAGAAATACAAGGGATGATGAACTGTTTTTTAACAGCAACATGCCAAAAACAATTTCCAATGTATAAGAATGTGACTCTCTTCTTATACTAAAGAAAACATATGAATTCATTTATGGTTTTAATGGAGTAGATATTTGTATTCCCTTTAGAACGTAATATTTTCATCTAAAGAGCAATTTCCCTTTGTTCTTCATGTGGTTTCTGGTAAAGTGGTCCCAGGAAAGCTTTAATGGAATTAAGGGCAGGTTCTCAATCAATCAGATCTTTGGACTTCACCAATAAGCAGCACAAATGTGATCTTGCTGGGGAAAATACATGAATATGTGACAAACAAGAATCAAACTACAAAATGTGGGCTAGTAAGCTACTGAAATTATGTCTGCTAAATTCTGAGTTTAATTTACTGTAGGCAAGAAAAGTGGTCTTGGCAGGAAGAAAAGATTTCTCAATCATTAACTGCACTCCAAGAAACAAGAAACTAATCTTTAATTTCACTGTGTCAGCAAGCCCAGACTTCTCCAGTTTTCTGAAACATTTAAAATATCTTAAGATGTAACTGGAAGGTTACTAGTAGAGATTTTAAAACCAGCTGTGGCAGTTTATGCAGAGCAGTCAATGAAACATGCCCATGATTTATTATGGTTAAAAACAACAAACATATCACAGTATGTCAGTGGTATCAAATGATTCAAATTATTTGATTTCGTGAAAATTATATAACATGTATGAACCATTGCTTAATTTTCAAAACAAGTCTTTGTATCTCGATTTTTTTTGTACAAAGAAAAAAGATTCTGGCATGTGGCGTAACATTCTCACGCATTTGTTTAAATGTTAAAGTAACAAAGTAAACCCGTAGGAATGTAATTTTATCTGGTAAAAACTATTTAATCTAGCAAATATCAAAAGCAGGCTTTACCTCGATGCTGTTTATGAGTTCAAGATAGCGTAAATCACGAACTCTGATGAATGCCTGTGGGAAAACAAAAAAAAAAACAATATACAAAATCTGTTAATACAGGATTATCTTTTAAATTAAATTTGTTTTAAAAAAATAAACATTCTACTTACAACTCCTTTTCATGCATGTATGACAACATACAAAATAACACAGTTAGTCTGCCACTGGAATCTGTCATTACTACTGTATAATAACAACCTATCCAATAAGTATTGTATCCAACACTAGGTAAACTGTACGAAATTAAGTAGGTTACGCCATCTAGTGGTAGGCTGGAATTATTCATTCTAAAACAAAAGTCCTTGTTTCAGGGATTCTCTATTTTAAGAACTGAATTGTTAATCAGTTAGAGCACACCCACTTTCTAAAATGTTGATTTTGACAGACACAAGGTTAAAATTTCCTTTTTATTCTGGTGTTCACCAGACCCTACGTTGAAAACGTTTACCCTAAGGTTACTAATGTATTGTGGTGACAGAATAACAACAGATTTTTGTTAAAGACTATACAAATGTTTTGAATGTTTTCTACTAACAACTATGTGTTAATAGTCATGTAAGTTCCTGAAAGTACTACAGTAGATTACTGATATACCTTCTTTGCTGTTTCAAAATCAAGTCCTTCAAGTGCCTCTGTGGCCAGGTCCCTCCAATCACTGTCGGTTACTCCTAAACAAGCAATCTGATAGGCCTCTTTGAACCACTTTCTCTCCAAGTACTGGTACATAGGGGCAGACTGGTGGAATGGGAAAGTGTAAAAAAAATAGCTTATTATGAACTTTTTCCAAGCATACTGAGAACCATTTACAAAAGCACATGGTTGTTATATCACAGATCTGATTAGTTAGAAGAAAATGGCTTTTTTCTTAGTAAAAATAGTTTTCCAATGATTCTTTTTTTGTTAATCTAAGCAAATTATCATACATAAAAGACTTGTTAAATTTGTGAAATTTTTTAACAATGTTAAAAAATGAAGGCAATATTTTCCAAACACAAGGAAAATATTAGAAAAGAACTCCAACATGCCATATAATTTAAACATTATTAGATTAAAATGACTCAGTGCATTTAAATGGCTTAATTAAATAAATTTGTCTCAGATTCCTTTACGAGGAATTTTTCTCAGAGCTGTTTCTTCTTGGCATGTTTTGTCAGGTATTAAAACATTCAGCGTTTCTAGTGTTAGTGGCATCTATGTGATTACCCTCAACTGTCTCAGGCAATGTCCCTCGTTGGTACAAAAATAGCCAAATTACTAAATCATGAATGGAGACTTTAAGCTTCAAAGCTTAAGCAATTAAGATCAATATTAGAGGGACAGTGAAACAATTAAATATAGTGCACTTTCTACATTCATCTCCACAGATGTGCAAAGTCTAGTTATTTATAATATAAATTATAAATATAATATTTAGAATATGGAAAAGGACTGTACATGTATAGAAAGAAACAGACGTACTATCAGATAAGAGGCAAAGACATTAAAGTGCTTATTTCTGAATCACATTAACAGAATGTCCACAAGAATGCGGATCATTTAGAACACACACTCGGATGCGGATCAATTGAACAAAACCATACCTGGGGTACTTCCACAGCTGACATAGAGTAGACATGCAAACAGAAGATCTTGGAGCCATTGTACCCCACCACAAAGCCCTGGAGCTTCTGCTGATGCACTGGAAAGTTGCTAGCTTTAATATTAAGGTAGCCACTCCCTGAGAAGCACAGCATGTCTTCACACTGAGTGTTCCAAGCAACACTATTTGCATTTGGCTCCTGTGTGAAATACAATTTTCAAAAAATAGAACAAGAAATATTAAAATACACTTATTCCACATAATTGCTGGAGGACTAATAGTCCCATTATGCAAATACAAAAAAAAGGCCTTATTCTTATCATCACCTTTGAAAAATCACTAAAAAGATTGAGGGTTGCTGTCACAACCCTGATATTGTGAAAAGGTAAAGCAGTCATTATGAAATGCAAAAGAGCCCATGGGCGGACTGCTTGCAGTAATGGAACAGTGCTTGTCCCCAGACCCAAGAGCTCTTTGGTGCCAGCTGAACGAGAGGAAGACCCTGAACACACAGCTGACCACTACTGTATTTCAGGCAATGCTTGTGAAACACAGGACCCTATGGCCCTGCAGATGACCCCTGTCTGTATTGGCCATGCATGAAGGGGGTAAAGTAGCAAGACCCGTGACACCGCAGACACGAGACCTATTAGCAAATAGAACAAACTGGCAAGTTGAATCGCTCCAGGTATAAAGGTGGTCAGCATCATGTATAACGTTAACCATGTCTCATGAAATATTAAGGCAAGCAGTTTTTCCAATCTTGGTGGATTCCCTGAAATACTGCCTGTTGCACTGAAAAAGGAAAAAGGATTTGCCATCCACCTGGAGATGAAGAGGTGTTGGAGGCCTTATACTAAGGGAGCCTTATAAGAACAGCTAGGAAGGCATGACGTTGCATAGTCAGACTGGACAACTTTGGTATACAGCAAAAAGGCAGTGATGTGGCACTTCCCCATTTGGTAATGACTGCATTTTTCAGTGAAACAGAATAGATTTTATTCACTAACAGATTACACCTAATAATTTTAGTTTTCTGGTACAGTATATGTTTCTTCACATTCAAAAATATTACTTGACATACGAGATCTTTTAATAAATTTAAATAGGTGATCTGTCCTGTACATGGCCAGGATTACAGACTCAAAGGTGTCTGAGATGTAGGAAGCCTCAGAAAGGTGTTTGAGATGTAGATAATTGCTGGGACAATTCTTGAGAAATTTGTAAGCACACCTGAAAAAGGAGCTCTTTTGTACGGATGTCATACACTAAGCAGGTGTTATGTTCGTCCACAACAGCCAGCTTGTTTCTGGAGGCACTCATGTCCAGACAACGAACTGAGGTCGCCTGTTTCAGCAGAGTGATTGCAAATGGGTTGTCCACAAATATCTTCAGAATCTAAAGACACAAGAATATAAAGAAACAATGTCACGGGGATCCATAAGAATTAATACATACAAGAAAAATCGGTGATATCTGGAGATGCCCTTGCAAAACACAAAAGAACTAATAATTATGAAGTATTGATCTTTGATCGTCTCTTATTGTAGGACTCAACAATGGCTGAGTTGGTAATGTACTCTTTATATAGTGGCAGACTATTCTTGCTTTAGTATTCAAAAGAACAATGTTGAAAATTCTTACATTTTAACAAGTGCTAAATTCAAGGACTGAGACATGAAATGCAATAAGAAATTGTTAAACAGTTAAATTAACATCAAACGGAGATACTGGTACTATTGCATAAAGAATACCTACATATGCAAACATTATCTGATGTTGCAATATTATTTAATACATCATTCAGTTCAATTCACTTACTGCTCCGTTCTTCAAACCAACAAGCAGTCCCTCTCTTCCAGGTGATCCCCCAATCACCTTGATGTATCGAATCAAAGATTCCATGAGCCACTCTCGTTCTTTTACACCATTGAATGATAGGCACTGCAGCCTTTTTTCCTGAAAAGGTACAATTGAAATCTATGAAAAATCATTAAGAAAACCTCTGTAAGTTTGGAGAAGGTTTGCCATAAAACCTAGCATACACAGTAACTTGTAAGGGCTCTGTAATCAGCAGGTGCATAAGATTAGAACTGGTTTTCCTATGGGTCTTCCAGAAACATTTGGCTTCTTAACAGACCAGGAAGGGAATTCACCTTGATGCTTTATTGATGCAGGGATGTATTACACTGTGGAGAAGAACCCTAATAAACAGACATGTGGTCAGGGCAATAGAAGATAGGACAAGAAAGTCTTCCTGAATATGACTGTGATTATGCTGCAAGGCTAACATTAGGATGGGAACTGTACTGCTAAATCTCTGGACTGTGGATTTCCAAAGCCAGAAAATCAGACAAAGACCAGACTGGAAACATTTAATTGAAAAATAAATGTTTTCAAAAGAATAACTTTCAGACTTGTGGTTCTTGGAAGGTCTTGAAGTCCAAGAACAATCATTCCACAGCCTTATATCTTCATCTAAAACTACATCCTTATGATTCTAAACAATTTTCATTACCTCTGAAAAATTGGAATAACCCAATAATCATGCCTACTTTAACTTATTCCTGATAAATTGAGTAATTGGGTTCAATTCTGTAAAGCCATACGGTATGTCACCTGGCACAAGATGATATGTTGTGAGCATACAACCAGCAGGTTGCACTCAAACTTCTTGCAGATTTTCTCTTTCACACGGTAATGCATGTCTGAGGAGTCATCAGAGTAGAGCTCATAAATGAGGATTTTCTCTGGGAGTTGGATGGCCAGTCGGTTTTTGTAGATTGCAATCTTCTTGACCAACTCTCTGCACTTTATTCTCACTGTAGAGGAAGCATACAGAACAGAGCTGGTACAGAGCCTCTGCTTTTCATTACAGCCCTGATCAAATGTCTCATGTGGCTATGACTATTATGTGCAGGAAAGTCATGAGGTCGGAAACATAATTCTCAAAAAACATTTGTGGTTGAATGTATTTTTTCCTATTCATATTCTGTAATGTTTATTAACCATATATATAAAACGTTGTATAAACGTTGGATAATTAAAAAAATAATTCTAATTAACTTAATCAGTTTGAAGCCTCTTTTAAAGACTGAACTGCCTCTAAATCTTAGTAACAGTAAGTTGTTAACGTCCTATACACCTGCAAATTGTTTACACTCTTTAAACTCCAGCTTTGCTTCAGTTCTGAATACAACTACAATATAACTACAAACCCTATGAGACCATTATTCTGTTCTACATCTCCAAAGTTGTGGGGTCATCTCCCAGTCCCCGTTAGATCTTGCCAGTTAGACAACACATTTAAGTTTTAAAACTTACTTTAATATAACATCTTTTTATTCTGTTTAATTGAATGCATTAATTTGTATATGTCTCTGTTTTTGCCTTTGTTTTGTTTTATTGTAAAATGCCTTGAGATGATTGACATGAATGAGACAAAATTACTATTTATACCATTATTAATCATGGAGCAAACACCAGTTTATTTTACGGGACCTGAAGGGCCTGTAAGCCTTTGAAAAGGCCCTGCTTACCTAAAAGCTCTAAAGTTAAACTAAAGTTAGTTACAAGCCTTTATGGGATTCATTAACTTACCCTTCTGTTCGGTGATGAGATGCTGCACAATGACATCAGTCATGTTGTCCCTGTTGGCATATCGGTCTTTATAAAGACCATGAACTGTACTAAAGATCAACTGGTAAAACGCAATGGTTCCATCTTGGCAGCCCACCACCTGTAACACATGGAGCTTGTTTATCCAAAGAAGAGTACCGTGAGATCAAATTTTCTCTGTGTATTTCAGTAGTGTGTGTTTTAAACACGCATACTTTAATCCAATAATATATCATCTCAACACTGTTTACAACACTACTGTATGATAACACTAGTGTCTGAATTCTTGATGGTTTACTCAAAAGGAAAATAATTAATGGCAAAAATCTTAAATCAACAAGTGATCCAATGACACTGTGCATAAGTATTCAATCATAATGACAAAAACGCACCAAATTTTGTTTTGTTAAAACTAAACTATGTCTTTCCTTTTTAATATTTAGGCTTCATGTAGTTTCTCAAAAAACAAAATAAAAAATGTCAATTTGCAATGCACATAAGTAATCTTCTTACATAACATACTTTATAAAGTTTATTGTTAAATTTATTTTAAGCACTGTCTGAACTGCATTTGACTTTACAATGTATGAGGACAGAAACAATAGGATTAGTCAGGTTTTATACTAATGTCTACATGGACATACCACATAATTAGAGTCTGGTTTGACCCTACAGGACCAAACCCAGGAGTTTTGCTCGCCAATGGTGCCCAGTCGAACCCCATCTTTGGTGAACAGGGAAGCCTTTTTGTCCGATCCCCCCATCACAATATACTCCCCTTTGGAGAAATAGCTGACGCAGCAGGGATCATAATTCAGGGACCTGTCTTTTCCAATCTGAAAACACAAAGACACGTTAAATCAGCTGAACCTAGAGGGCACAATTTTAGAATTGAATGCAAAGTATAAGATCAAATCCCTTGGGTATGTTTTAGTATCTCATTTTCAAAGAAAGCTTTACCTTCCATTGCTGTCAATTAACAGCATGCCATCGTATATCATCTCAATGTTGTAAGTTTTGTTTTGTTGTTTTTTCTTGAGAATAAAAGGGTGCCCAGGCTGAAAATGCATGATGTTGAATAACAAAATACTATTTAAGAGTACATCGTGGTAGGCAACTCTAGCCCTTATGTGCTGTATTTGTTTCTGGTTTCTATTCCATATCATATTTAAAGCTTGAATTTAATTGATTAAGCAAATAATAAATCAAAATTCTTTCCAAGTTTAAATCAGGTGCTAATTAAAAGTTGCCTCTAAAACCTGCAGGGACTCAGCACTCAAAGACTGGAGTTGCCTATCCCTGGAGTATGTAATGTTTAATGGTATAAGTGGATCCAAATCTTCAACTTCCCCAGGCCCACTAAAGATCAAACACATGAGTGCAAACAGTTTAGCATTTGGTAGACATCTGAAAATGCAATACTACAGTAACATTTTTCTACTCACTTATTACTCATACTATTTATTATTATACTATACCAAATATCATAAGAATTATTTCACAAATTACAAAATATTTAAAAACCTAGCAGGAAAATATCAAAATATTTTATGGAACACAAGCACCTATTTTTTTTTTTTAACAGACTTAGAAGAGGTCAATTTTTATGCTGATTAATCTTTGTTATCAAATGAGTTAATTAACAGGGGTCTAATGTGAAAGGCAGTAGCAGCGTGTGGCCAACAGCTGGAAGCAATACAAGATGAACATCAATGGCACATAGTTTACACCAGATTGCAGTTGTTTTCTTGTGGGATTCTGTCTCATATAGCCTGGAAAAGCATGTGCTTCTTCACTGGTCTCTGGGCCCTAGATACCACACATCGTCCTATTTATGTTCAATGGGCCTCAGGTCTGGTACACAGGGCATTTACAGCCCAAATGTCATACTCTCTTTTGAAAGAAAATCATTGTTAGACAACCAGCATGAGAACATGCATTGTCCACCTAGATTAATGTGCAATGTCTTCATGTTTTCCTGTCAGTACTTGATGACACAAGGTCAGGGTGGTCTACATAAACAGTAGTCTACACATAAAGAGAGTGACAAGTTTCTTTTAATGTTCAATACATATTCAGAAACATTAAACATCACAATTTAGGTGAGCCTTATCACACTAATAAGGGGAACCTATTCTTCTTTCTTGCTAAAAAAGTGATTTGGTGAGGGTAATATGATCCAATGTTCCTGTTAAAGCATACTACATGTTGCTACTTAAATTTTAATTGAATGCTTACCTGTTTGCCACTTAGCTGATAAAAAGACAACTTCTGGCCCCAGTCTGCCACTGCCAAGATGTCATTGTGCTCATCTCTGTGACAAGAAAAACATGTTTGTCATCCACCGCATGGACTATTCTTGATTATGTGACCTTAAATACAAAACCCCCATCAAAATATAGCCCAAACTCTTTTACTGGTCAAAAGAGACAACTCATAAAATAAAAATCCCAATTGATGACAAAGAATGTTTCAAGTTATGCTCTATGTCAGTTCCTTATTCCTTTTTATGATTCTCATTATTCTCATTAGTGGCATTAGCATGGAATAGAAACTGGGGCTCTGGACGTCAGACTAGAGGAAGAACACTTCAAAACCTGGGGCAGACACTGCTGTTCACAATGTACTATCCTTGAGAATAGGTTATGACATGGTCACCACCTAGAAAGCAAATCACCCACATGTGACATACCTCTGCTGTGGAGCATGCCAGCTACCATCTATTCTTCTCTGACAAATGAAGCATAGTGTTTGCATAAACACGAACTCAAAGAACCATCACTTTGTGCCGTCTACATGCATTTCCTGATGCCTTTGTACTGCGTGTCTTGCACAGCACAAAACCTGAATGCGAAAATCTGTATACAATACAGACAGGTGCGGCATGACCTAAATGGAGCTGTGCCCTCAAACACGACAGAGATGAAGCAGCTCTCTAAGAAAAAATGGACCAGAATCCCCCCCCCCCACAGATGTGAGAGACTAATCAACAAATCAACAGGAAAAATTATTAAGTTAAGTTATATATATATATAAGTTATAAGTTATATTATATATATATAAGTTATCGAATCAAGAAGTCCACTTACTTTTTCACAAAAAGATATTGAAGTCTGGCTATTTTTTTAAAATAAAGCCAAAGTAGAATTTCTGTGCTTTATTTGTCAAATGAGTTTAGTTTGATCTACTAGGTAATGACTAGGTAAAGGTCAAATACAGTAACTCTAAACATGTTAAACCATAAACTCTTAAGGGGGTGTTCTTGCTTTTTAACTACATTGTATATATATACTTAATAATTGAAAATATCAATATCAACCAATTATACTACCATTTATAAGATTTAAAGTTTTAAAACGATCTTCCCCTACCTCAAATGCTATCACTTACAGATCAGTATTGTCAACATGTTCCTGAAGCAAATGGCCCTCCAGATCCTCTCTCTCTTCTTCTAGCTGGGACTCCTCTGCCTCACTGCCCTGACTCGAACTTGTTTCAGCCCACAGGTAAGAAGGTGCACAAACACTGCCCTCCGTCAGTGGCTCCTCTTCCCCATGTTCAGGGCATCTCTTCCAGACAGTCCTCCACCTACTGCAAGCACTGGCTACATGTGGGGGCTTTCTACACCTCTACTTCTACATCTGAAATCACTGCCATATGAAGCTACCTTTTTTAATTTGTTCCCAAAGCAAGATTATGACATGCAGTTGACTGAAGGTTTACTTGACAGGATATGGTAGAATACGGAAATTCTGTATTTATACAGAATTAATACATGTACGTAAATCCAGTTTCAAGGCACCGATTCAATAATATCTATCATGAAATTGGAAATACCTCTGATTTTTCCACTTTCCTATTATACTTGTTGATAGCCGACACTAATTTTTGTCACTTTGTAATTACACAGAATATGGAATTGTTTTCCTTTTTACCCATTAAACACAAAATCATACAAACTTCATGACAACATCTAGTCATAAAGTAACGATGAAGCTTACATCAGTATTTTAAGACAATGACAAAAAGATCAATACATACCGTTTCTGTTCCTCATATGTAAAAGTTTTTAAACCATTATTTTTATGTCATTATTTAACAAACTTGTATTCCTTACATCAAAATGAGAAAACATGTTTTGCCATGTTCAAATTCAACAATACATCAACATTAACTTTTGATTGTAGAATTATAGGATAGAATGTTTTGATTCCATGTGCTCAGTCTTTATGTGTTCCCTGTTCTTCATTTTCTAGTTATCACAAGCTAACCAGGATTTTTTACTTTTGCTGTTACATACTTGGATGGGTTCCAGGCAATGGACCAGATGGGTGACAGGGTACCTCCAGGACGTTCTATCTTCACCTTCTCTTCCCCATTTTTATTGCGGATACTTACTACTCCATTCACCATCCCCAAAGCAAGGTACTGACCATCATTGGTCCACCTGCAATCAAATTTACACAAGGTTTTCTCACGCAACAATATGATAAATTATTTTTTGTGTCTGAAGAGTCCACGTATACAGGAAGACTGGATGGATAGATCACAGGTGTGAGATAACGTTTTCAAAATCAAAAGAACTGGTAACTCTTAAGGCTCATCCTATGTCCAATAATATTAAACTCTTAACAATTTTACAACTTTGCAACACTTTATGCAATAACAACTAAACTAATATGATGAAAACCACAACTGCTAAGATATACAATGGGACAGATAATTCTTGCTCACAAAACACACACAGCAATGGTTGCTTAGACAATTAAATTAGTATTTATAACTTACCCACAACATGTGATTTTATTGCTGACTTTGTGTTTGGAGACAGATTTTTGTTCTGGAGACCACAAACCTAAATAGGTAATACAATATAGTATTCATGTTAATGTTTACTCAACTTTCTACAAAAATACCACTGTTTTATCAAATCAATACTCCACATAATATATTATTGTTTTCCATAGTCAGTAAAGAAGCTGCTGTAGTTATCAAACTGTCAATGATAAGCATCTGTGTTTTAAGTACGGAGAGATCACTAATGATTACCGGAATTATTTCCCTAAGGTTATACTAACACAAACATATCTTAACAAAACAACTCACCAAAATCACTGGACGAACAGGAGGCCAGCTGATGTGTAACTGGATTATATGAAACGCACTGGATGGAGTCATTGTGGCTATTTAAAAAACAAAACAAATTGTCAAATTGTTACAACCTATGATTTTAAAATGATAAAATAGGTTATCAATTCAGTATAACAATCAAATATTAATCAGGTCTTGGTACTAGGATGCTATACAAGTAAATTTTAAAGATCAGTAATTTTACCTAATTAAATCTGGGATTATCAAGCATTCCACAGCACCTATTCTCTGGCATATCCTCATAAAAGAATAGAAATTGGGCCCAAATTTACACAATTTATTTTCTAACAAATAACAGAACTATACAACACACAAGATTGCACAGCATACCATGTTTTTACTATGAATGGATATTTACATGTCTGCAAGCTCCAGAGCTCTGCCTTATATAGGCACAGAAAATCAAATAATTTTATCCTTAACAGGCCAAAAAGAAAGAACCTGCATTTTAAACGAAAGGGATTCTAACCAGCACTAAATCGCCCTCTCTAAACAGATGCTCACAGTTCGATGAGCCAATTTTCCTATTCTAAAATCAGTAAAATACAAAAGACAGTTTAAGACTGAGGATTGCACAATATATGAAACAACAATTTTCTTGAACAAGTAAAACAACAAACCACCTAAATAATATGGCTCAGAATCTGCTGCTCTTTCTGGATTAAAATTACCTGGACTACACCTGATTTCAAGTCTAATTTGAAAGAGGCTCTCTCTCCCAGCACAAGCTTCTCATGATGATAATGATGTCTCTTCCTCTTCCTCTCCTTACTAACCCTTCCTTTACATTCCTGTATTCATACTATTGCCCATTCCTATGGAGGCTGGATTAATGACCTCACTAGGAATGGCCAGATCACCACCCATGCTAAACCCTTGTAAAACCCAGTTGAGAACTCTAAATGGTATTATTAAATAATTCCTTAAAGTTGACTGAAGAGCCCATTGTACACAGGAATTCATAAGACAAGAAATTTCATAAAAGGTCATTTATTTGGCTTTTTGTGTCACGATTGTTACTTCTCAAAAGTAAAATTATTACATCAACAAGTGTAAAGGTGCAGATAAAAAAACAAATTCAGGAGGACTTTAAAATGTTTTACTTACGTATACTTCAATATTCCCTCCAGCTTAGAAGTCCAAATGATGATACTTTTGTCAGCTGAACCTGAAGCAAAACGCTTCCCTGGAAAAAAAATATATTGTTATTTTGTCAAGCTACTACACCTTATTGTGTATATGTAAGATACTTATTTAGTATGGGAAGAGCATATATACAGTAACATTTTTTTCAAAGCAGGCTTTAAAAACTGACCATCTTTGGCATAGGCAACACAGTATACTGTGTCTTTGTGCCCCTTTAGAGGCTGGATAAGTGTTCCATCAGCTGTGTCATAAACCTAAAACACAAGACAAAATAATTAATTTCCACAAAGAACATTCCACAGTTGCCTGAGATTTAAAAAAAAAAAACAGAAAAATAAACTCAAGGTGCTGAAAGTGTAAAACGTTAAAAATACGAAGGCATAGTATTTCTTCGAAATATGTCTTCGAAAAATGCTATATTCGTATAAGAGTATTTAAATAATATATATATATATCTTTACACAAAATACATCACAACTTCCAAAAGCACGTACCAAAACTCGATTTCCAGCAGCAACTATAAGTTGACTCCCATCTGGCTTGAACGCAAGGTCGTAAATACTGTTTAGGGGAAGAATGATTTATAGTTACAATAATGCACTATTGCTTCGTGATACTACTATAGCTATAGTTGTATACTTTTTAAATTAGTTTATGATAGAACTCCTTGTGGGATGTTTCATAACACAATCACCATACATATTTGAGTCTTTCTACATAATGTCAAAAGAAGGACAAAAAACTCAATGAAACGTAACAATGTCATCTGTCCGTTTGATAAATTGTTCCTCAGTTTGGGAAAGCGATTGATTTGGTCATATTTTATTACTGTAAGTGGGAAAAAAATCAAGTGAAAAGCAATGATTTTAAAAATATGATCAGCGAAACCTGCACAGTGTACAGTATTTATCTTTGAATGCATGTTATGTGTCAGCTCAGGGTATAAACAATCACAATTGTTATTGCAATTTAAACAATCACAACAATTTAAACATTTAAATAAATACACACGTTCATTCGATCAGCTGCAAGAGTAATTGAGTGCTTAGTATGGTAACTGGCTAAAAATAAGCCATATGCCTAGGATGAACTGAAAGCAAATAAACACGACGACTTTAAATGACTCAATATTTTATAATGACAAAGTTCCAAAAACAACGTAGTTGTTTAATATTTTTACCATATGTTAAAGTGACACATTTTTCCTCACACAGTTTACATTGGCAACCATGGTTGCTATCGACAGCCAACGGTGTTAGCAACAGGCCTACAGATGCCGCTAAGCGACCATACGTGGTTAAAAACGTCTCCTTCTTACCATTGCTCTACTTTATCCCGATCATGCACTTTATCTATCCATGTCGGTACGGCTCTCATCGTGGTTCTGTTTTAGCAAGAGCTGCTCTACACTTTCCTTCCTCAGAGCAAACTAACAATGTAGAGAACCCACTTCTTTCCGCAATCACACTGTTTACATCTCGGAGTCACACTGGGCATGCGCACACTGCATGTAGCTTGCTGAGCGGTCTGCGCATGTGCGACAGGAGAAGTATACAGGAAAGTGTCAAGCATCACGGTTTTATTCCAAAGCAGAGTTATTGTAATTCCATCTTTTTAATTCTAATACGTCGAGCGGTAGCATTTTAACGATGGAACACTGATCTAAATCAGCATGACTGTGTGTTAGTTTTTACGTTTACGGATTCAGTTTATGCATGAATTTGAGTTACCGCGTTTACGGATGGATGATCTTAATAGCAGAACTACTGTCAGGTAAGAAAGCAAAACAGCTAAGTGATCTAAAAGCTGTATTAGTCCAGTTATTTTAATGATATATACTGTTAGTCAGAGTTTAATTGTTTGCTTATATTGTACCTATGCTTTTCTTATCTATGGCCATTATAATTTAACATAAGCAGAACACATTTTCAGTACATTTTCTATATTCGTAAAAACGTTTTGTATATATTTTATTTTTGGTTGACATGCTATGAAATGCATGTGTATTAATTTTAAAGGCAGGTTTCGTGACTAAATAGCTAATTGTGGTACTATATACCGTATGTTACAGGGATTTATAGTATTGCACGGGGTTATCCTAGTCTCATAGACAACATTTTTGTAACTAGACATTTTGGAAACTTGTGTGTTTTGTTTCCAAACCTAGTGAAACTGCTACCACAGAAGCAATAGCGTGTGAAGAGCCCTCTTTGTCAGATGAGGACCAGCAAGAGAAAGCTGCACCAAAGCAGAGTCCCAGCCCCGACTCGTGTATGGAGACCTGCTGCTGTCTCGGAGTCCCGCCAGGCTGGGTTAAAATGGTGAAACAGAGGCGATCTGGAAAAACGGCAGGGAAAGTAGACGTATATATCATCAGGTACTGGGTTATAAATATAGTACAAGTGTCTATATGATCCCAAATACATCTTCCCCATTTTAGATAAGCACAAGGGCATTTGAAAATGAACAATTATGATTGGTCAATAACATCCTCTAAAAAATGTTTTTACAAATGTTTATAAAGTAATTATATCTACATCAATGCTCAAACCTGTGTTAAAAAGAGGCACAACACTTCAGGTTCTATTTTCTTGTTGCTGTACATAGATGTTGTTACTCATGTTTATTGGAGTCTGCATGTCTGAGAGAATGGTCCCTATGCATTACCATATAGAAAGACAAGCTTTTAAAAATACATTTGTACAGTTGTTTTTGTAACTGTTAGTCAGATCTGAGAACAATATATATATATGAGACGTATTTTGTTTTGAACCAAAGGAATTAACACTTGGTGTACTCAGTCCACAGGGAGGGAAATTCAGATCAAGAGCTTCACTCCATGTCTACCTTCAGAATAACAAAGAACTCTGTCTCAAGGGTGCAGATTTTGATTTCTCTGTACCTGGGAAGGACAAACAGTTAACAAAACCTCAGAGGACAAAAAAGAAGAAAGCTCTCCAACTTTCAGAAACCGTCTTGGACAGCACAACTGACACTAAGATTACAGCCGAAGAGGAACACTTGTCACCCAGCAGTGTGTCAGAAGAGCTGTCTGGACATGATGCTGCCACTGACGGGGTCTTTTCTGCGCCTTGTGCTGAGAAATCCAAGTCTTCAGAATCTGAAAGCACAAGTTGCAGAGCCAGGGCTAAACGTCGGCACTCTCTGACAAAGCTCACTCCCGCAGGACCACAGAGAGGACAGAAACAGAGGAAGGATCCCAGCAGTAGGGTTAGAAAAGCCGGTGCTAAAAGAGCAGTGGGCAAACGGGGAAATAAACTGACTCCGGGCAGTGAAATGGAAGAAGGGCAAAGTCAACGCCACACTGGAGACCAAAAAGAGACTCAAGGGGGGCTTTTAAAAGACAAGCTTCTCAGACTGGCACAGGAAAGTGAGGTAAATGACGTAAACGCACTGACTGTGAGCGGTGAAAGAGGAGAAAATCAAATTGCAAACCACACTGGAGATCAAAAAGAGACTGAAAAGGGACTTTTAAAGGATAAGCTTCTCAGACTGACCCAGATAAGTGAAGCGGATAAAGGAGCAGAGCTCGCACTTTCCCCAGAAGGTGAAAATGAGTCGGGAGAAGTGGTGTGTGACCAGCCTGAGGCCTCTGCCCCAGGGAAAAGTGCCTTACAGCCTGTGTCTAAGAACGCTGCAGAGACACAGCAAGCTGTTGTCGGACCTGAAACTGAGTCTGCGCTAGAAGATGGTGATTCACTTCCTCCGGGGGACTCGGGGACATTTACATCAGTGAAACAGCAGCAAAGCAGTAAGCATAAAGTTAAATCTTTGAGTATAGCTCTTAACGTTCTGGGGAACATTGAGGGGTTTCTCCAAACCGAATAGGAATCGTGGCCTGATATGTTTTGCAATGAAAATAGACAGTATATTCAGTTACAAAAGGAGAAGGCTTAAGAAAACCTTAGATAGAAACATTGAAATATTGTCCAAGTCCATCAATGAATCTGGTACTGTTTTGTTTACCTTCAGGTTGTGGCATAAAAATGCTGTCAGAGAAAAGAAAAACAAGCCAGTACTTCACTGGAAAATTAGCCAGAGAAGGTAAGGAAACATCATTTTCAACTTTTACCAGGAACAAAAAGGACAACTCTCCCAAATGAAACATGTTCACTTTATTTTTCTTAGCTCCAAGTCCACCCAGACGCAAGGCCTTTAAGAAATGGACTCCGCCTCGCTCTCCTTTTGCCTTGGTACAGGAGACTCTTTTCCATGATCCCTGGAAGCTTCTGATAGCCACCATTTTCCTCAATAGAACCAGCGGTAAGAGTTGTGGCTTCAAACAGAACAGGACAATGAGACCATTCCCTTCACAGAGAGCTAACCTAAAATACTAGGTTCGTATGTGGGGCGCGGTTCAGTTCTGTCTTTCTGTCAGTTGAAAGTAAAGAGACTCTTTCTTTTAGGTAAGATGGCAATCCCTGTGCTGTGGGAGTTCTTTGGGCGTTACCCGTCTCCTGAGGTGGCCCGTGTCAGCGACTGGAAAGAAATGGCTGAACTGCTGAAACCTCTGGGCCTCAATGAACTCAGAGCCAAAACAATTGTGAGGTTTTCAGGTGAGTGATACAATGTTTTAAACCAAAAAAGAAGCAATTATGTATTTCTCACTATACTGTAGCTACAGTATGTTAAGCAATTTGTGTGTCACAGTGATTTCTTCAACAAGTCCTAGGTGTGAGTTGTGCGCGTGTGTGTGTTGGTACCTGTCTGTCCTGTGGTGGGGTGGCATCCCATCCAGAGCGTACCCTGCCTTGTGCCTGTTGATTGCCAGGGTAAGCTCTTTCTGTGCTGGTACCTTGAACTAGAAGAACCAGTTAGAAAACAGATGTAAGGATGGATTTCTTCACCATAGTCCTGAACTACATAAAACTGAATGTTCATAATATTCTGATTATGTTGAGGATTATTTTTCCATGTTTTTCTTTTCATCAGTGTAATCATACGAGTTGCAGAAGTAAGTATGTTGTATTTGGAGTGTAGTGCACTAAGCTCACTTTGTGATAAGATAAAAACACTTTATTGGCCATATGCAATTTCTTCTATTAGGAATTTGTATTTTCGCATACCCCAACTTCCTTAGCCACAGACACACCACACCACCCCTGTCATAATTGGGTGATAGGGAGTTTCTGCTTATTATCCACAGACTATGGATAACAACCACTGTATGTTGTGGTTAACAAAGGATGTAATAATGACGCTTATCTAATTTCACCCTGCCCATCACAATCAGTCATAGTCAAAATGATTTTATAATCAGCCCTCCATCTACTGTACATTGTGTATTAGAAAACCAATGTGAAATTTTCACTTTTCAGCAGACACACAAGGAAAAAAGAGCACAGTATAAGTCTCTGATGATACTTGAAAGAGTTCTCTCCAGTTTTGTGTGTGACCTCATTTTGATCCTGTTCTCTACTGGCACCAATGTGACCGACTGGGGTTTTGCACCTGCTTAGATAGCAGACTCTTGTAGGAGAACAAACCTTTGCTCTCGTAAAGCCTTTGAACTCTGTACAGGTGCGAAAGGCTTACATTTCAGATTCTTGCCATTGCAGATGAATACTTAACAAAACACTGGAAGTACCCCATCGAGCTCCATGGTATAGGAAAGTATGGCAACGACTCCTACAGGATATTCTGTGTCAATGAATGGAAACAGGTGAGTTGGGGGCAGCTGGACTCATTGATTAAGAATTCTATCCAGTGTAATCACAAAAATGGATGACAGAGTTATCCAGACATGATACGGGCCCTGTTTTTTTATGGACACATAAGCAGGATTGGAAAAATGTGACGGTAACTGTTGATTTTTTATCCATGTTTATCTTCTTAGGTTGATCCCCAAGATCACAAGCTGAACTTGTATCATGCATGGCTCCGGGAAAACCACGAGCACCTGGGTATCTGATTCCGAGACGAAGCTTGGAATCTCGGAAAAGTGGTTCAGGGAGAATAATGTTGAATTATTGCTGTTGCATTTTACCACTCTGTCATTCAAAAAATGTACTGGACTGCAACCATGTGATAAAACACAGGTCTTCACGTTTTTAGTTATGTCAGCTTTTGACTGGTTTTATATTGTCAGGTTGTATGCGTGTGCTTTTTTGTGTGTTTATGCTAGAAACTATTAAGATACATATCATTGCTTAAAAATTGAAGTTTGTATCTGCTTACATATAATCTGTAATTAAAATATTCTTTAACGCAAAACATATTTTTAGAGATAATAATAAAAAAGCTTGTGTTTTGTACCTTTCTGGGTTTTTTTGGTGTTGTTTTTTCTAAAACGTCTTAATCTCTCTCTGAAGTAGCAGCTCTGTATTCTCCCACTTGATTATTTAAATGAAGTCGGTTCTTCAAATGTCCTGTAGTTGTACACTAGAAAAAAAGATAATAGTATTATCTACTTAGAATAGTATTCTAAGTTTCCTTAATTCACATCTCCAATGTATCACCTTTTATACTAATTTATTTGTACTAAATTATTGTACCCATTAATCTATTAATAAATTCAGTCTTGGACTGATTTGTAATTGATTTCATTGTGGCAACATAGGATATTTAATGATAAATAATAACATTTTCAGTTATATTTTAACACATGTAAGCTACATAGCTGCATTTGAAAAAAGGTCAGCACACATATTCTAATTTAATCAATGCAAGAGTAGTTGTCACGTACTATCGGGTCATGATTTAGTGCTGAATTAATTACCTGCTCACCTAACCAAAGACATATTTGGGAAGTTTGTAACAGAGATTAACTGTTCACTTTAGTAAAGCTGGTGTATATGAAAATGTTTTCAACATAATATTATAGTCATTTACTTGAAAAAGGACGCTATTATTTCTGCACTGCTTGCACGTTCCGAAACACCCAGGGCTAATCGTTATCTGGTTGCATAGTTTTAGAAAAAGCTAAAACTCACTGGATTAATGTTTGAATTTTCACATAACAAGTAAAAACAGATATACTAGTATAACGGATGGTCATACGTTACATGTACAGCCTACAGTTCCCAGAAAACCTCTCTGCGCCAACGCACACAACAGTTGACGAATTGGAAAAGCGAACGGCGACGGTCTTGCAATCGCGCAGACGCCGAAGGAACGTAATTATTTTAAACCCTGAACGTCCAAATTTTTCCGGTTTTGAACTTCGGGTTTGTTTGAATAGGTGGTTTAATTGGAAGCAGTTTGTTTTGAGCGAATGCAAATCCCAACAGATCATTCACAAAACTCCGAAATTATTTAGTTTTTGTGCTATTCTCACATCCATCGTATATACGGACGTTTTACTGTTTTTAGAAATTGAATAACTCAAGGCGGAGATCAACACAATGTCGGCCGCTAATGTAAGTGAATTATTTAATTTACCTAGACTTGTGCGTTTAAGGCACGAAAATGTAAGACACGGTGAATAGAAACTGAAAATCGAATAATGATTGGATTAAGTTATGATACTGATGCTCATATTTCCTTGCGTCGAAAACATTTTGATTTTTTTTGAAGGTGCTGTTACCTTTAAACCATCATTTTAACCCTTGAAAAAAAACCGATGAAAATGTTTTTCATCGTTTACAAGTAACACGGTTACATGTATGGCACTTATTTAATTTTCTTCTGCAAAATGCGCTGTTTGTGAACTTTCCCATTTAGCTATCAGAGCTGTACCAGGCAGTAATGGGAGAGAGTTGTGGAATTCACTAAACAAACTATAAAGCACATCTTAAAACCACAAGGTATACTTTTAATAATAATTACACTTAAATAGTGAGGTATGGTCTTTGGAGAATGAAGGAGGTATATAGGGATGGGGTTAGAGACTTTTTTTCATACATGTTTTAAAAGGTATCCAGTAAGTCTATCAAAGTGTGAGGTTCGATCTTAGAGTAGATTGGCTAAAAAATGTTTTTTTAATGGTTGTGCACTTAAATAGCCCACTTCACATGCTCTTAACATACTGTATTACGGACACACATTACACTTACAAATTCCGTGCTATAGAAATGACCTAATAAGCATGCTGCCTCTTGTTAGCGAAGGTGAATGTGGGCTTAAATGTTTTATTTTTATGATTTATTTCAGCAGCCTTCCCAAGGACAGAGGAAGGACCAGCATGTGAAAGTGACAAGCCATAGAAACGCTGGATTCCTCGAGCGCTTGAGCCAGACAAGCGGAGGAATGCTGATCGGCATCGGGCTGTTTGCCCTGTCTTTTTATGTACTCTTCACTAACGAGGTACCAGAAATCAAGCCAATCGTCAGCAGCATGAGCTGCTGGGGCAACCACATTTAAAGGAACAGACCCTTTGACACTTGCGTTTCATGTAGTAGAAATGCTATTGTCTTTTCATTTTAAGATGGCTTAACATACACATTTATAATGTGCAAGATCTAGTCCATTCTTGTACACCCTGCCCTAGCTAACACGGCTCTTTAAAGGTTTTCATTGGTGATGACTGAGAAGATTAATTCCTTGCTGTATTTCAGGCACAGTCTAATATATTTGAAATAACAAAAGCCTTTTGAGTCTGTCAGCTGGGATTCTCCCTGCATTCTAACTTACAGTAATTTAACTGGTTTTAACTGCTTTGCGAAAAATAAAAAGTGCAGCTAACTGTACATTGAAGGTGCCCAGTAAGAGTATATTGTCTCTCTGCTCAGGGAAGGGCTCTGAAGACGGCAGCTTCCCTAGATGAGGGCCTGTCTCTGGTGGTGCCCCTGGACAATATTCATAGTGTTGACCCTCAGAACAATGGAAAGCTGGTGCACTTGTCTGGGCCCCTGCGGACACCTCAGGTACTGTAGGCAGCATAGCTGTCAGGCACCTCCTGCTAGGAGGAAAACTTTGAATTAAAAGAAACACTGTTTTTAATCATTAATGATAATTATAATAATTGCTTGCACTTATATAGCGCTTTTCAGGACACTCCACTCAAAGCGCTTTACATGTAATGGGGACTCTCCTCCACTACCACTAATGTGCAGCATCCACCTGGATGATGCGACGGCAGCCATAGTGCACCAGAACGCTTACCACACATCAGCTATCAGTGGGGAAGAGAACAGAGCCAATTCATAGATGGGGATTATTAGGAGGACATAATTGGTCCAGGAGGGAATTTGGCCTGAATACTGGGGTTACACCCCTACTTTGTTTGAGAAATGCCCTGGGATTTTTAATGACAAGAGAAAGTCAAGACCTTGGTTTTACATCTCATCCGAAGGACAGTGTCTTTTTACAGTATAATGTCCCCGTCACTATACTGGGGCATTAGGACCCACACAGACTGCAGGTGGACCCATTAACACCTCTACCAGCAGCAACTTTAGTTTTCCCTGGGAGGTCTCCCATACAGGTACTGACCAGGCTCACACCTACTTAGCTTCAGTGGGCTGCCAGTTTTGAGTTGCAGGGTGATATGGCAGCAAGAATGTCAAGTTTTATTGGACTACATGTAAGAGAAAGAGTGGTAAGATTTAAAAATACAGTGTATCCGGGTAAGTGTGGCACAAAGGTAGCCTTTTGACCAAAATAAGCACCGACTGAGACTATTGCACATTGTACCATTGTGAGTACTGGACTCAAACTCCACCTAGGACCCACATTCATGTGCTGTACCTGTATGTTGCCTGTCTAAGTGCTGTTAAGTCCTGAGAATGAAACGTGTGACTTGTTGCAGCCTTTGAACGACCCTAACTACAGAATCAGCGTCCATGCAGCCAAGCTGAAGCGGGAGGTTGAAATGTACCAGTGGGTGGAGTACCAAGAGAGCAGGTGAGAGGCTGAAGGCACAACTCTAGCACCACACTGTTGTCAGGACGCTGTGTCAACAGCACAGCCTGTCATAGTGCAACACGGGAGAACAGTGGAGAGTACCCCATGATCACTTTGCCAACGTATCATAATACACCCACCCACAGCTTAACATCATTATACAGTGCGAATATCAGTGCTTTCTTTTTATGAATTAAATGTTTGTAAAAGATCTGAGTATAATTTGGCCAGTTTCATCAGAATATTTTTCCTTCACTCCCTGTGTCTGTGTGGTGCCTCCAGGTGCTTCATTTTTCTTCCTGCTCATAAAGAAATAACAAGCTAGGTTAACAGATCTCTCTATCTTTGTTGCACATCTTTGGGTGGATGTGTCCTACAGTGAGCTGGCGTGCTGTCCAGGGTGTAGTCCCAGTTTGCACCCTGGGCTTCTGGGATTGGTGTCTCGTCATTGTGACTCCTACCTGGAATAATCAACCTTCTGTAAAGGGATTTTCCCCTCCACAACCCTGTTCATTCAAGGCTAACCTCCAAAGTTTCGGGGATATACCTTAGCAAACCTTAAAAATGCACATGAAATCAGAATTTTCTGTACACTCACAAATACATGATCAAATTAAAAAATGTTCTCAAGTAAGTGACCCATTTTTAATAATGTTCTGCAAAACAAATTTCATAGTCTCCGAATACCACGGCTCAATGTACCACATGCTGTATTTCAGTGTCTGATAGAGGTATGGATACTGTATGTGAAACTGAAAATAGTGTTTCTCACTGTCTTGCAGAAGTTGTTTGCTTAGTTATTCACATGCCGAGTTCTAACTGAAGTTTGAACGGGCATTTTCTTTTTTATTATTGATCAGTTTCTTCTTTTAAACAAGCATCTTTAACAAGTCAAGCCTGTAACAGTTTAAAACAATCATATATAGTATAGTTGATTAGTAGTACTATTTAAAGAAAGCAGAATAATTACACTTCACAAATGCTGCATTAGCTGGTAATCTGTTTCATCCTTTTCCCCCAAGGGACTATGAAGAAAATGGCGAACGGAAGACTGAAACAACATATACGTACAGTGAGTACTGTCAGTGTGAACCACTGTTTTTCAGTTAGATGGGGCTTCAGTGTTCAGACTGCACAATAAAGCTTTAGATCTTTACACACTGCAGTTAGGTTTGTAAGCTTTCCACAACTTTACAAGTAAAGTGAATTCAAGTAGGCACAATTAAAACACTTCTTTTCACTGTCGCCTGGCAGAGACTGAACTGTAATGACATGCTGATTTTTAAAAAAGGATTAATGGTAGAGCAACATACTGGTTACCAATCTATTCCATAGCTGCCTTAATACATCATTTTTTTTGTCACAAATTATCACACTAAATCACATAATAAGATTTAAATGTTATTTGGCCATATTTGCTCCTCTATCATTTCAGGCTGGAGACTGAAAGTTTTTCTAGCTGCAATCATAATAGCGTGACTTCTGAGAAATTCCCTAAGCGCATAGACCTGCCCACTTGTAGAGTCACTTTGACATGCTGAAGTGTTTGACATAGTGCTGCCTGGAGGTGTAGCATGTCCCATATTGACATCACCGCTAGCCAGAAAGACCCTGGCTGACTAACTTCACTTCTGCCCCACTACGGGAGTCTGCCGACTGTGTGCCACCTCCACTTGGGATGTTTCAGTCACAGTCAGCTAGTAACTAGACCCAGGCTTAACTAGCTAGTCTGGGCACTAGGGCTCAGTCTTTCTTCTGAGAGTTCCTTGGCTGCCCCATCGCTGCCCTCTGGTCAGATGAAGAAAGCAATTAAAAGCTTGTAAAAGCACTTTAAAAGTTGACTGTTTCACCATTTCAAAGGTTAATATGTCTAAGCATGTTGTCATCAAAGCAAAAACTCAATTGTTTGTTATCTACGTGCATGTACAAATACTGTACTTTACTTGGTCAACCTGACTGGATTGGAGCACTGCTACTATAAAACAGAATGTTAAGCTGCTGTGACGTTTTCCATGAAAAATGTATTGGCAATGTTTCAATCCTTGAAGTGCTTACTTCGAGTGTTTGCTTCACTGTGTTTGACTTGTTTCTCTTTCACTTTGTAGATACGGAGTGGAAGTCTGAGGTGATCAACAGCAGGAATTTTGATAAAGAGATAGGTCATATCAACCCCAGGTAACACATGAAGATTATGCTCAACTTATGTTGGTGTGTTTGCCAGAATGGTATCTTGCAGTTTCTTCTGATCTCCCCCCTCTTAATACATGAGCCACATTTCTAAAATTATATAGAAGTGGGTTTGTAGGCCAACTGACGTATTTATTGATGTACAGGTAATGTCAACAGAAATAATGTCAAAAGCACCCGAGTCACTTTGCCTATGCCTCCAAAAAGGTGAACCTGAACAGCATTAATTGTCAAACATTGCTACTCCAATAACCAGAAACTGAATCATCTTTAAATCTTAAGTTATGAGCTTTATTATTTAAAATAATGTGAAAACAGAATGGAAAGCAACTCAAAACAATAAACAGTTGTGGATATTGAGGCATAATCTGAATTAGATCATGTGAAAAATACTTAAGAATAACAAGGTGTTGGCTGTACTTCAGATGTGTGGTAACTGATTTTGGTTCCTAGCCTCTGAATGCTCAGGCTACGATGCGTGAAGGCTGTCTTGGCTTTGCCCAGCCTGTGCTGACTGTGTTGTCTTCTGCTTAGTGCCATGGCTGTGGAGTCTGTCACCGTTGTGGCCCCAGATGTCTCTGTGGGGAGCTTTGTCCTTTCCAAAAGTAAGACTTTGGGCTTTGGGCAACTGCATATGAGCCTCTTGGATACAAACTGTACTGTCATGAATTGAAATCTATTCTTAGAGCTGGTGTAAACTGAAATACCCCTTTAATTAATTGAAAATTGAATAACACTTGGCCTTAATTAATATGTAAAGCATAAGGTATTACCCTGCAAAACCCTAAGTAAAAAAAGTAAAAAAAGCTATAGTCATTTTATTAAGTTTTTTAAATATACAACATTTTCCATGTCGTTTTCTAGCTACTGTTTAAAACAAGTTGGAGTGCAGTTAAAATACAATCAACATCTCCATTTTGGAAACACACAGATGCCCTGCAGGCATTGAAACTGAATAAAGCCTAAATAATTAATCCCAGAGCTGCCAAGATTGTTTTAATATGTGTAATGTTAGATTTCCTGAGGGTAAGTAATGTGTATTTAAAGCATTATTAAAGTGTTTAGAGAAGTATCTGCTGCATAGCCACAACACAGAACATTGAGGCAAGGTCTTCATGTTAAAAAATAAACATTTCGTTTTCTGTCTCTGACCAAATGACATGGTTTTGATTTTGATCCAGGTTTGGTGGACAAGATTGATAACTTCAAGAAGCTGAGCCTGGCTGGGCTCCCACCCCCCGATTTCTTTATGACCACGGATGGCGATTACTTCTACCACACGCAGAACCCCCGCAGACCTGAGGCCAGTGCTCGTAACAGCGGAACGCTCCGCCAGTCGTAAATAAGACTTCATGGAAAGTCGGGCACATTTCAGAAAAAAAAAGTTTGTAAGCACAGTTGGAATGTAAAACCATGCTAGCTGGCCAAAAATCTTAGGAAGGAACCCTAAAGCAGAAGGCCTCAATAGTGAGACAAAGAGGCCCAACACTATCCCCAACCCAAACCTTCCCCAAGCTTCAGATAGAAGATGGCTGGAAGAACCAGAGCAATGCACAGTTTTAACCCAACTCACCATCAGTCTCCTTACAACCTTCTTTGATGGCGACCTAATGAGAAGAATTTTAAGAGACTAGACTGTGTATATTTTAAAACCTTCAACAGACGAGTGTCTTGTCCTATGTTCAGCCATTCCATCTACTCACAGAGGACCAGACTGACATTTGGTAGTGTCTCTTAGTGTTTCAGACCAGGACCAAAGCTCCTTGGTGAAAAAAACTGACAGTGTTGGAACCTTAATCATTTTAAGGCATGTTTAAGCAAAACCTTTAACTTCACTGAGTCATAATCAAAGTCAATTGCAAGTCAAGTATATGAACTGCAAGACAAAGTGGTACTGATTGCATGCTGTTTGTATACTAGGTCGGTGATGTGAGAGTGTCCTTCTACTACGCTGGACTGAGTGGAGAGGGGACATACCCAGGACCTACTCAGGTGGTGGGTGATCACTTTAAATACATTAGTTGATTTTCAGCCATTTTCTATTCCATTATTGGTTTAGCAGATACCCTTATTCAGCTCGAGTTACAAAATAAGTTTGATCAACTGATCAATCTGCTCTCACCTTTCTGAACTGTTGCAGGTTTAAATTCTCTCTTTTTTGCTTGTTGCAATGTGAATTCTTGACAGAAGCATTTAATACTCTCAATGCTAAATAACCAGCTTCTATTAAACGGCCATGAATAATAAGAATTACAAAGCATAGTAAAATTAACCTGGATTATTGATGATGGAAATGTTTTGCCCTTTTTATGTAGGATGGTAAATAACTTATTATGGTCACATGTGTACTGTCAAATCGAACAAGACATAGGAGTATGCTTGTTCTTTATATCATTACTCCTGCAGTGATTAGAAATGTTTATTGCTGTCACTTCCTGCTCAGGTCAGTATTGTGGCTCGTCAAAAGGACAACTGGCTGGTTTCCTACCGGACAAAGTCTGGGGATGTTCTTGAGATCCTATACCTTGAGGAGCTTTCTGCACAGGTTTGCTAGCTCTGTGATACCATTCAATCCGATCACCAAACTAAGAGCATGAGCCCTCAATATCATGACCTATGTGAAGTAAAGAACATTTTTTTGTATTATTTTTGAATAATTTTACAGCCTTCAATAGCATATCATCATGTCACACAGAGTGAAGGGCTTATTGCAAAGTATGTATGGAATTACACTGTATGCAGTTTTGGCTTAATGAAATTGCTCATCACTTTTTGTAATGATTATTAAGTTTGTATTCCTAGAAGCCTAGCAAAGATTCTCCTAGCTTTTTAAGGTTTACATCATTTTCAATCAAAGCAACAAGATAAAAACAATGACTTGTCTCCATATCCATGACATACAGTACAGAGCTTCCATTAAAAGTGACTCACTTGCTGTTTGCAGGAGGTGTTTGAGAAGGAACAGGAAAGCAACAGACTGAAGACCTGGGCTCTGCGTGTAGCGGGCTGGCTGCTGATGTTCTTGGGGATCAGTCTGACAATCCAAATCTTTCACACCCTGGGTGAGTAGTGCAGTGCACATACCCCTGTTGACAGCTAACAGGTTTGTCTGAATCATTGTGACGGCTATTCCAGATGGTTTCACCACTTTTATAGCTGCACTCTATAAGTAGTGCAGGGGGAGAAGAAGAAAAGGGGCAGGCACTTAGATTACTTACACTTGTCTCTTTTTCGCAGTGGACTGGCTGCCCCTAGTTCGTGAACTGGTGAGCCTGGGCCTGAAGCTCTTTGCCTTTTCAGTGGCCACCTCACTGTCTCTGCTGACCATTGCTGCTGGGTGGCTCTTTTACCGCCCCCTAATTGCCACTCTGTTGGCAGCTCTGGCCATTGTGCCAGTTATCCTTGCCCGCACCAGAGTGCCACCCAAGAAGATCCAGTGACAGGAGAGGAGTAAGAGAGACCCAAGAACCAGGGATGAGTATAGGTCTTATTTTTGACCATGGATAAATTGCCAATTTTGTATGTATTAAATGGACATATATTAAGTGGAAATTTGAGTTCAGAAAGTGTTAATGTTCTCTTTCCTTGCCAAAGAATGTACGTCTAGTGCCTTTACGAACAGTCCTTCAAGGGGAGTTAATGCTTATGACTTATGGGAGCTTATGGCATATGGATCTGATACATGCAGGTGGGGTAAGAAGCTCTTCTGCCACAAATGTTTTTATTTTTATATTCTTTTAAAGTACACTGTGAAGTGCAAGAATAAAGTTTGACATGATACATGAAAAGAAGAAAACTTAAGTAATATGTGTTTAATGTCTGGGTGTCTTTCACTTAAGGGTTAATGTTTCTTTTTACTGGCTGTAAGGGAGTAATAGAACATAAAAATGTATGCCATGTTTTGAGATGAAACTTCTTATCACTTACAATGCTTTTTTTAAATTGTGAAGTGAAACACATTTTTAGTTTGTATTCAGTTGTTTTAAAACATATGTTATAGCTGACTTACATATTTAAAAAGGATAGATGAGTTAGGACTAGTAAAAATATTGCATTTCTATATTTTAAGTGCCTTAAATTGAATCTCCATTATGTTGGTACAGGACATTAGACTCAGGTGTACCTACTGTAATTACTTGATCTGTAAAGATCTGTGATTATTTGATGTCTTTCAAACTGAATCTGTTAGATAAAGAACAGCATATGTCTTTTTTGTTTGGTTCCAACAATTCCACTGATAGCTGGTGTGATGTGAGCATACTGGTACAATTTGGCTGGCGTCACATTATGCAGGTGGGGGCTACAGAATAGTGGTGGAGGGGACCCCCCATTACCTGTAAAGCACTTTGAGTAGTGTCCATAAAAGTGCTAAGAAAGTGTAAAAATATACTCCGTACAGTCTAATGGTGTTAAATCTTTTCATTTTCAATTTCAAAATTGAAATTGTTTGGTGTTAGAAAAAAATATTGTTTATTTATTAACATTCATTTAGTAAAATTTCAATTACACAATCATAAATCTACAGACCATAACTTCTAATTGGTACATAAACAACAGTGAAAAAAATAACTACAACTGCAGGCTCATCACTGCCTACTATCACCATCAGCTTTACAAATGAAGCTGAGAGTTAAACCAAATGCAGTTTTGTCTTTAACATGGTACTGATTCCACTTTGAATAATACTTTTCTTTAAAATAACCAATTATTAACATTGTTTTGCCTTGCTGTATATGAAATGTATTTAAATGTCTGTTTAAAAAGCAGGTATCAGCTGTAAATGTTGCCCAGTAACACTGTACTGGGATTGTACAGTAGATGCTTACTCTTTAGGTCAGATTTGTCAAGGCCCAGAAGCAAGGTCTTGCCTCACACAGTCCAGAAAAGACATTTAGCAGAAGGTGGCAAGTGTTCTGGGCCATTTCAAGAAATGGCAACATCTCAGACTTGCCTTTCAGATCTTTTCAAAGGGGAAGAGGTGTTTCTGTTGGCCTCTCCTCTCACGCTTGGATTTCCTGACGACAACGTCCTCCTGGCCCGCCTGCCTGTTCTGTGGCCAAGAGCCGGTCAGGTCAGTGGCTGCTGTCAGGGAGCCAGCTTCTTCTTCCTCAGAGGAGAACCCATCCCCTTCCACGTTCGCCTCTCCTGACTGAGCCTCTGCAACGCTCTGAAACAGAACCAGATGGATGTGTGGTCAGGGCCAAGTCACTCTGATCACTAAACATGGTCTTTGAATTTTAATGCTGAAGCATTAACTAAGGTGACTACTATGTTTCAAGAACACAGCCCTTTCTTGTACTACACCCTTATTCTTGGTACAGATACTGAGTGTGGCAGAGGACAGCACTAGAGAGTAGCACATTCTGGCTTCTTCAGGGTAAAAACTGAAGTTTTTTTCTTTAACTGCACTATGGATTGCATGGCAATGCACTAGGATGTTTGGACTGAGTTATAAACACACAACTGGCGGCTCAGGGCGCCTAAAGAGAGAGTGTCAAGTCCTCACTACATGCCTCGTGTTGAAGGTCATGAAGAGGAAGACTACCTGCTTTCCATAGCGGCGCTTCAGACGCTCTCTTATTAGCAGGCCCTTCACCAGCAGGGTCCAGTTGCTGAGCACTCTCTTCTCTCGTTTCTGAAAACGACAACCAACAGCAGTAGCGTGAGCCAAGACCACCCTGTACGCACAATGAACCAGCTCAGGCTTAATGTCAAAAAGCACTTGTGAGAACAAGCAATTGATTGGAAAATGCCGCATTGTCACGTGACCTTTCATACACATTGCAGCTGAAGTCATGGGACCTTTCGTATGCTTTGCTTATGTTAATATTGTATATTGCAGCACCTGAATAACTGCTGCAGGTAGCACAGGTCACTGCTGCTTGCAGCAATTAATCAGTCCCCAGTAAAGGGTGTCAATACTTAGAACTATATTAAAAAATAAAGATAGTTGCCTTCCACATACAAATGAATATGTATATATCTTCTATAGCAGCTGTTTGGCAGAAAATCTCTTACTGCTATCCAATCTCTCCAATGCCTCTCCCACAGATGAGCTCCACTGCCTTCCTAACTAGTCTTTAGAACTTAGGTTACTCCTTTTCTTACTGCACAATGGAAATGGGAAGGCAGGTAGAATGAAGTACCTCTCTCTCTTTCTTCTCTAACTCTGCCTGCTCATTCTCCCAGGCTGCCAGAAGCACCTCTTTGTACTCCTCACATGCCACGTAGCCCTCAATCCTGTTGGAGAGCAACACAAACACAGTTCCAACAGGCAAGTCAAACCACAGAGAGTGTGATCTGAAAAAGATCTTGCCAATCGGTTTCAGTCACAAGTGTTCAAAAATATCAAAATTAATACTTCAAAATCTCAATCAGGTCTCCAGATTTCAACAGCCTCAATTATGCCGAGAACAAGGCACAAGAGATGTTTGTCAGGATAGTTAACTAACAAAACATTTCTAGAAACCTTACCAGCAACAGCAGACATCTACTACAATGTCTTTGGCAGCTACAGATGATTTTATGCTCTGGCGATACACTGATCACCCCTAGTACTAGGAAGGATAGTACCGCATAAAGGATTCATAAAACAAATCTGTGATTTTGAGCTTTCCTGGATGAGATAGTAGGGGTTGTGGTGAGAGCTCTTACACGGGGTGTGAGAACCCGCAATGAAAGTCGAAGCCGGTGACAGCGGGGGCGCAGTCGATGTTTAGTTTCCTGGCGACGCGGTGCAGGTTGGGGACCTGCAGGTGGACACAGCCGATGGGCAGCATGCAGGGCCTGAAGAGGTACACGTTGCCATATTCATTTCGTGGGACCTGGGGGGAAACAGCACAGAACGTGGGACAGCCGTGAAGACGTAAATCCAGAAGTAACTTGCTCAGAAGAGAATATTCCAAAAAAGGTTGAATTATATATCTGAATTAAATGGTACAGCAGATTGGTGTTTTTCTATCATTTTTTAAATTCTTTTTTATTATGTGTTTTATTATTATTTAGTACTCAGAAGGGAGCAGTGGGCGGGCAATGGACTTTGTACTTCAGCAGGTGCCTCTTGAATGCATAAAGAGTGCGACTCTTGTAGTTGTACTCCGCGATCGCAGTGGGCAAAGGCTGATCCAAGAGCTTGGCCTGAAGCTAGTATAAGCAGGCAGCACAGCAGCGGGTACATGACTTCACAGAAACCCAGCACCACCAACATGGAACAGCTCATCTTATGATAAACATGTATTTCTAATTGATGGATAAGATTCTGCCTGCACTGCAACCTGTGTTGTAAGCAAGGTAGGTATCGGAAATGCCTCAATCATTTCAGGAGAAAGGTTATGACAGGCACCTCATGGTTCTCCATGGCACTGGGAGGTAGTATAAAGAGCTGTTGGGGAGTGATAACCGCTGGGCAAAGAGTGGTCAGTACCTTGCCATCCACAGCCACCGGTGGCTGATACTCTTCGGTCTGCCAGTGGCCAAACAGCGGGAGGTCAACCTTGTTACGGTTCTCGGCTTCCAGGAGCCGGGCCTTGCGAGCACGATTCGAAAACCCCTTGACCATCTGAACGCGGGATTGGTGGGGAGCGCAGGAAGAGAGAGGTTAAAGTTCGCATTGACCATGACGTCAAATTAAGGAACAGAGATGTGATGTCGAAAGAATGAGCTCAAAACATGCTAGGGTGGTGACTACTTAAGGTTTTCTATTACATTTTTTTTTTCTTAGATCAAACGTGGATTTTGGTAGGCACAAAATCTCACAAAACATAAATGTGTCAAAAATGTAAAATATTTCAACAAATTAAGTCAAAGATCCTTGTTTTCAATAGGGCAGTGAAAGTCCATTATTGCCACATGGTGCAGAAAACTGTACCCTCTGTTGTAGAGTATAGTATCTCTAAGATAAAGACACACTATTAATAATATGTGATCAATGTGTAATTAACATCCTACCACCACACTGAAAATGCACCCACTGGCAGCCTCCAGTGAGGACAACTGTGACAGCTGCTCAGAAAGTAGTGTAACCAGGGCGATATTCAAAATTTAGTTTTTAACCACTAAACATCAAGAAAACACTCCTGTTGCAAAATAAAAATTCTACACCAGAAAGGATTATTCATTGGACACTGCCTTGAACCCTTGGCAGACAACGCATATTAATAACCCCTTAGTGAATGAGGGCCTTTATAGGCAGAATAAGCAGGGCCTGCTCTTTCATCAGAGATGGTCAGAAGCAGCTGTACCTTGTAGGGCACCTCCCCAAGTCGCACCACCCGTGCCTCCTTCAACCAGGTGTCTTTGGAGTGCAGCGTGTGCACGCAGTCCCTGCAAAGACACACAGGCCTGACGCCGGCCAGCTCTGTCCACCAGCAGCACAGATAAAGACTGCACAGGCCCACATGCTTGTAACACCCAAGTTTCTTTTTCCCACTGGATGCTAAAGTTTGGGTTGATCGGAGGACATAAGAAGAACGTTAACATCCATCCGTTTCCTGACTGCTTTATCCATTTCAGAGTCATGGGGAAGCTGGAGCCTAACCCGGTAAGCAACAGGAGAATGGCAGGATACATCCTGGATGGGACTCCAGTCCTTGGCAGGGCGCAAACAGATACAAACAAGCACACACTCACACCAGGGCCAATTTTCCCAGAAGCCCATTAACCTACCAGCATGACTTTGGACTGTGGGACAAAACCAAAGCATCCACCCGGCAGAAACCCACGCAAACATGGGGAGAACATACAAACTCCACACAGACAGCACCTTGGGAACTGGGCCATGGGCCACTGTGCTGCCCAAGGATATTAACACGTTCAGTAAAAACAACAAGCCAGCTGTGGCCTTACCTGGAGTACACTGCCTCCCCTCGGCAGTACCCTAGAATAGCAGCAGTTGGCGGGTAAAGGGCTTCGTACTTCAGCAGGTGCCTCTTGAGTGCATAAAGGGGGTGACTCTTGTACTCCGAGATCGCAGTGGGCAAAGGCTGATCCAAGAGCTTGGCCTGAAGCTGGTAACAGACAGCAGGTACATGACTTCACAGAAACCCAGTACCACCAACATAGAACAGCCTAATCTTATGATAAACAGGTATTCCTAATATTTGGATAAGATTCTGCCTGTATGGCAACCTGTGTTGTGAGAAAGGTAGGTATCGATAATACCTCAGTCATTTTTGGAGAAAGGTTATCATAGGCTTGCCATCCAATTCCACAATAACTAGATACGTCTTCCAGGCAAGAAAGACATTTAATTCGGTTGACTGCTCTAATTTGTAAAAGTTTGACTCTTATAAGAAAACAGGTTTTGATAATGGAAAGGTCACAATTATCCAAAAAAACAAGAGTTTTTCTTTAGTAACACTTGCTCTATAGTCTCAGGTGACCTCTTCAGAGACATACCTCCATATCCTCTTTCTCATCCCTCTCGGTGAAAGGGCTCTTATAGCTCTCCAGGGTTTCCTCCCACCATTCCTCATCCACTCTGCGTTTCCTGGTGGAGGTCATCCATGTGGGGTCATACCTCTTGGTGAGGTCCTTGACAAAGCCACCGTTGTCAATCCCTACGACGTACGTTACAGGTTTGGTGGCCTGTTTGTAACAGAGCTGCGGCAGGGCCACAGCAGGCCTCACGCAGTCTACACAAACCCACTTTCCAGATTCCTCGAGGTACACCTCCAGCCACTGGTCTGTACCTTTGATGCCAGTCTGGCCGGTCTCTTTGATATCTTCGTTATCGCTGCCCAGAGTCTCCTTCTCCTTCTGCGTTGCTTTCTTGCCAGCTTTCCCTGCCTGACTTTTGTTTCTCCCGGCCTGGCTGATCTTTGTCCGAGACTGTGGCACTTGTCGTTTGCCTGTTGAGCTCCTCCTCCTTCCATGCTCTTCACCTTCAGAGTAACTGCTCTCCGTATCGCTCGAGAGCTCGAATTCCGAGGCGCTGTCGTCCTCATCCTCGCTGTCCTCCTTGTAGTTGATTTTGGAGGCCACCTTCCTCCGACGTTCATTCTTGGGCTTCTGCGACGCTTCCTTTTTCACCCCTTGCTTTTCACTACAGCTGCTACCAGCATCTTCTTCTGGTTTCAGTTTCTTTGCCCCTTTGCCAGACCTGGCCTTCTGACTGACTGGTCTCTTTGCCCCAGCAATACGACTCTCTGCCTTGCTGATACTACTGTTGTTGTTGTTCTCATCATCACATATGGATTCCACTTCCTGCTCCATTTTCCCAGCCTTTTGTGCCAGACTCTTCCCAGAAGACTTGGTTTTCCCAGCTGATGGAGGGCTCTCCAGAGAAGTGCTGCTTGAAGTCTTAGACTTACTCTGGAACACAGATTCAAGTCACATCACTGACAGACAGAACTTCAAATCATCGGTCCTGATATTTGCCAAGCATGTTACATTCATCCATTTATCCATTTTCAAACTGCTTCATACAATTCAGGGGAACTGAAGCCTATCCTGACAAGCAATGGGCATAAGGCAGAATACACCCAGGATGGGACGCCAGTCAAATGCAGGGCACTCACAACTCACAAAAGCAAGTCAAATTTCTCAGAAACCAATTAACCTACCAATATGTCTTTGGACTGTGGGAGGAAACTGGAAAACCCAGAGAAAACCCACCCAAATACAGGGAGAACATACTGTATACACACCACTCAGGTAGCACCCCAGGAACTGAATCCAGAACCCAAATGCCGTGAGGCAGCAATGCTAATCACTGCGCCAACATGGTATCAGCATGTTACAGCTAATTAGGATTTTGCCCATGAATGACTTAAATTAAGAGCAATTAATTATATGTAAAAATAAACATTTTTTACACCCCGTTGAAACCAATATAATTTTAATTTGAAATAAAATGGGCAACAGATTTATGTATTACAGTGTATTACAGACAAATACACTAGTGATGCTGGTCAGGACAAATTAACAGTAATTTATCTTTAACATATATCACTGCATTAATATGTAATGATGGTAATATCTTGGGTACAACAGCAACCAAATCATCTGCAGGGCAGGAGTTAAGTATGAGCTCTCTCTGCCTTCTGTCCCCTAGTACAGAACAAGACACACACCCCTGTGGGGGGATTCAGCCCAGAGAGACGCAGGCGGAGGTTGTAGGCTTCAGTCTGACAAGCGGGGATACCTTGTTTGGGGGTCCCTTCAGTGGAATGGGCTGGAGTGAAAGCACGAGACGGCAGAAGAACTGCAATGCCCGTAGAATGATTAGGAACAGCTGGGAACGAGAACAGAAAAATACACCTAAATACTGTATGTATATATACATTTACCTTGCTTGAATCTATTATAATAAAAAACACACAAGCTTAAATCTCCAAAAGCTTAAGCTACCATATCTTTGTTGTAAAACTGGAAAAGCACTTTGTATCTTTGAAAAAAACAGAGCAAGAAAGTAAGTTTGTGAATAAACTGAAAAGTAATTTTACCCCCTGCCACCAAATCTGTCCTTGAGGTTACAATATTCCTAACATTGTCCTTTCTGCTTTTTCAACCTCAAAGATCCTTACCCTTTTATTATCAAACCCAGTGTGCACAAGCTGGACTTCTATTCTCAATTACTTCAGATTCAACAGGAAAAACACGATTAGCAGGACACAAATTGAAACTATTTATTTTCCATATGAAGATGGAAAATAAGAAGCCCTCTTTTTCCACACAGTTATTGGAGCCTGGAACAAGCTGAGCAGACATTCCTTTCTTTCAAGAAACTGGTGGATGAGCGATCCTTGCAACAATTGAGCTATTAGCAATGAAAAAGCTAAGTGGGCCAAGAGGCCTCCTCTCTTTTTACCATCTTATACATCTTACTTTACACAGAGAAAACATTATTAGTTTATCTTAAATATGAATAAAGTTTGATACAAACAAAACTTTCAGGTTTTCATCTAGGAGTCCACTAACAATACTGGAATACTGCAATCACTAGCAGCATTGTGGAGTGGTTAAAGCAGAGACTCTAGACTTCGAACTGGAAAGTTCAAATCCCTGTTGGGACAATGCTACTGTCCAGATTCTCCAGTAAAATGCCCACCTGTGCAAATGGGTACAAATGTAAGTCACTTTGGATTAAAGCACCAGCCAAAAAAGACAATAATAATCTATTTAATAACTGCTTTATCCAAACCAGAGTCACAGGGGACCTGGAACCTAACCCAGCAAGCAACAGCTGCAAGGCAGGAAACCTGAGGAGAACAACTCCACGCAGAAAACACCCCAGGACTTGAACTCCTGGTCCCAGCACTGTGAGATAGCAATGCTAACCACTGCTCCACCTTGTTGCCCATTAATAATAACAATAAAAGGTGGGTTTTACTCTGTAAGGTTTTAGATTTTAGAGCACATTTGTTTAAACATCTGCTGTTAAAACCTCTCAAATTAGCATGTCTGTAGTATGTTGACTGTAACAGTGCGCAATGCTTACATGGGTCATTTCTTCATGGTCCCGGGCAGAGAACATCCCAAACCTCCCCTCTAGAGTAGCCTGTCGACTCACACCGTCATCGTCTGACAGCTCTGGGTTCAGGGTGAAGGTCTTGGTAAACCTGCACGGAAACAAGGAAACATAATTAAAACTAGAAAAAAGGCCCAGAACAGCATGAATTCAGTATAAAACTCAATGCTTTTATTAATGAAACTTGCTGCAGCATTTCAGCTTTGTCATTCTAATTTGAATTGACCAGTTTTTGGTTATTTTTAACTTCTCTGTTTGAAACGATGAGCTGTTAGTTTTGCGATGCGGCTTTGACCCTTGTACAGGCCTATCTGGGAATCTCTTCTCACCGAAAATGTACTGTGAGAGCAACGCATTGTTTTTCACATCGCCAAGCACTCTTGACTTTAACACTGCCAGATTCAAGGGCGTCCAACTGTCAAGATTTTGCAATTGCATATCCAGCTAAAGATGATCTAGATTTGCTCAAGCCAATTCAACCCCAGCAGTATTTTGTGAATCATCATGTTGTTTGGACGTACAGCGATTAATAATAAACCAGCCACATCTGCATTACAAAGTCACACAGGAGCTGCTGTGGTAAGGCCACAACGCTGCCCTCTTCAACCTTACGGCTCTTACTTTGGCAAAGGCTGGCTTGAAATCGTGCTGTGCAGAAATAAAGTTGCTCCATCCATGACTGTCAAAGAGCCCAGATGTGAGTCTCCTTACCGAGCCGTGCCTTACCACTTGACCAGATTGGAGAGGAAGGTGACATCAGCCTTCTCCGGGGTCACTCGGGTGAAGTGATTGGGCACCACTGACAGGGCAATAGCCTGCAGGTCAGGTTCGCTGCACACTCTGTTCCGAAAGAAACCGTTGGCCAACAGACACAGCAGGTGAACCTTTAGGAGATAAAAAGTAAAATGCTTAAAAGAAAACAGGATTTTCACTCCTCTTGTACAAGCATTTAAACGTTTGCGTATGTCTCGGGAAAGCAGCCAATGAAATAATATGGAACTACTTTAGACTCAAGTTCTGAATGAAATTTGCACCCCAAAAACAAGAGAAATTGCTGAGCGCAATAACGTCAAACTTATTTTTAGAGCTGTTAAATATGTGGAATCACCGTTGTCTTCAGGGATTGTGATCAGGGTTCTCTGCCACAACCTCTGAACCCCAGAGCACTGCTAGGCTTCTACTGACAGCTGGACAATGGGTGAGCCCGTACTTTATGGGTATCTGTGAGCACATCCTTGGTGAAGCGGTTCATCATCCGGCGAAGGTACGTCTCAAACTCTGCCTTTCTTCTCTCCCTGCCAATGCAGCACCACACCTGTCACTAACACATCAACTTACAGGGACACAGCAATGCACATACACAGAAATAGAATAACTTTACAACAAGCGATTAATTACATTTGTAATTGTACAATCAAATGATTGTGAAAGCATCATTCAGAAAGATGGTCCAGGTGTGCCAGTAACCAACTGCCCCTCCTCCATGCCAACTTATTTCCAAAGAGGCCAAATCAAATATTTTTCACCAAAAATACATACAGTAAGTGCTGCCTGCAATTTGTATTGAAAGTGTTAAGTTGTCTGTACATTATGTACTTTCATTCCAACATCCACTATACAATATTTACTTTTTTTAGCTTTAAAAAAAAAAACCTTTTTCAAATGTGAACCTATACCCTTCAGAAGCAAGAGATACTGTAAAATCATGCTTTGTGGCACACTTTTATTACTGTTGTGTAATTGAGGGTAGTGCTGTATAAATGTTTGTCCATGCAGCTCTGGAGTTGTAACAGGCTCTGCTTCTTGCCTTCTCTGTCTCTTCTTGGCTTGCTCAGGGGTTTCAATCTCTATCTCCACAGGCTGAGAGGGCAGAGCTGGCTCTGAGGGGCCCAGGGAAGAACACATAGGCTCATTGAGTTCTGTGAAGAAAGTTCAGAGAAACAAGGACTTCAGCCTGGAAATTGCTACAGACTTACACAAGGAGTCATCGCTTATGGTTAAGGGTCTCCTTACAGGTAATGTAGAGATTGTCTGGAGCACTAGTACTATATTTTACTCAAAATGAGCTGATCCAACGAATTTGGTTAGAATTGTTTCCACTTAAAATATAACCGAGATAAAAGTAGTGTATCCCATTTAGGCCAGAAACCCATTTGATTCAATTATTTCAAATATCCCACAGGGTCCAACAGGGTCTTCCACTTGGTCCAACAGACCCACAAGAATTCAGGAGAAGGGCAATTTCACCAGGAAATGAAATGTATCCATACTGTATATGCTCTGCAAACTAAAGTCTAACATTAGATTTTCAAGCATGACATTGTCATTCTGAGGTTTGCAGAACTTATAGGCAGCTCTTATAAGACCTAGATACACATAAGCAATGACTTTAACACTTCAAACCAAATAATATATACTGTACTGCCTCACAGTCTCCATTGAAGACTACAGTATATCATATAGGTAGCTGTGTCACCATGTGTAGGCTGCAACGGAACAAGTAAACGTTCATTCCATGCTGAAAAAAGAAGAAAGGAAACACAACGTTGTTTCTTTTGTGGAGCCTTCTTCGGGTGTCATATCCCGATGAAGGCTGAAACGTTCCGTTTCTTTTCTTCTCTTTTCAGCATGAAATAAACCTTTACTTGTCCATTTGTAGTATATGATACCTGCTCCTTTGGAACCCTCAGAGCTGCCCAGTACACGTTAATCCACTTAAAAATAAAAAAAGTGAAAAAATAAAAAATACATGCTGTTTGGCTTACCTTCAACATCTTCCCAGTCCTCATCACTCTCCTCGTCTTCGTCCGTCTCCTCTTTCTTCACCATCACCGCGGCTCCCTCACGACCCCAGCCAGCCTGACTGCTGCCTTCCTCCTGTCTGGGCTGCACGTGCCTGCTCGCCGGGACAAGTCGGATCATATCAGTCATATCCCAGACCACTCCTTCACGCGGCCAAGCACTGTGGGTGTGTCTTAAAGAGATTTTAAAGACTGGCAGACAGCACTTCTACTCCTCATTCTGTACACCCAGCTTGAATAGTACGGCTTGCTTGCAGTACACTGAAAAGCTAGGCACTCCTCCTCCAAGATGACAAACCTCAGGAGTGTTAACAAGCCACCATTCCATTCTCATAGCTGTATGCCAAGAGTCATTAAAATGTCAACTGGGAACGACTCCCTGTTGAGAGATACTGAGCAACTCGGACTTTTACCGATTTTTTTCATCATCATCATCTTCTTCTTTTATATGTGCAGGCTCTTCTTTGACTCCCTTGGTCGCTCTGTGGCGTTTACTCGTCGCTTTTGAAGTTTTAGCAGCAGCCCCAGGCACTTTTTTACAGTTGGTCGCGCTTTTCTTTGCGGCTACTGCCTTCGGAGCTTCACCTTTAGGGCGCCCATCCTCTGAATCAAAAGAAGAGTTGTGTGACGAAATAAGACCCAGGTCTTTGGTACTACACGTAACTGTTCGCGTACCCACGTTTTCATAATCTGAAGTCATGAATGAGAAGAGTGCTTATATTTGCATTTAGGTCGGGAGGGGGTTGCTTCTGCAACGCAAAACATTTTAAAACATCAAAACCCCACCACCTGCAGGATGTGCTGCAAACATCTCAACGGTATATTTTCGGACTCCACGGAAACCACATATTGTATTTTATATTACTACAATTCCTGGCCATGTTATTTACGTTAATGTTAATTATCAGTTTCATGACGAACAAAAACAATAGCCGCTGTTTAAACTCACTGATTAGAAACAAAAAAAACTGATTTTAATTCAAGATACCGAGATACACACGATTGTTTTAACAAAATCAACTGTTCATGCATTTTTTTTATATGTAAAACGTTACCGGTATGCACAATAGATTACAGAATAGCACAGCACAGAAGAATCACTACCATGCTAACTTACCTGTAATCTTTTTTGCTGATTTTTTAACAGTCTCTTGCTCTTTCCCCTTTGTGACCTGCTTACATTTCTTGCTATCTTTTTTTGCGGCGGCATCAACTGACCCTTTTCGCTTGTTGGCCATGCTCGTAACAGGCTGCAGGAACTTTAGTTGCAACACAAATAAAAACATGCACGACTGACGTTACTCGAATGAACTTCGGTTTCCACCGTGCGCACACTCCATAGAGTTTAACTTATGTAACCTCTTTCATTTTGCAGGAAGTTCCCCCAGACTCTTGTTGTACAATGCCTGAAGCTTTCATAACATTCTCCGTATCATTTGTTGTTATTCTCTCTGCAGACCAGTTTCAGAAGTGACGTCGAACGTCAACTTCCGGCCAATAACATGTCCGCCATCGGGGTGCTGATGTAGCTGAATGTTGTTAGCTACACGTGGTTGTACCTGACTTGAATATACATGTTTACATGGAATGATATTTCTTCGATGTTTTTGCTTACTTCGACAATGATATTCAGTTTATGCAATGCAAAAACTTGAATTAGCGAAAGATACATTATCAATTCTTTCCGAAAGACCCCTTCGTTTAATATACAGTATATATGCAGAGTTGCTCAAATGAGTCCTTTTGCATGTGCATAGATTTACTTTCCGTCATCAGTCCAGGCTGTAAAACGAAGCTGCACGTGTGTAGATATGCATATCATGCACTACAAAATATTTTGGAGAAAGTTAAAATATATTTTTACTTCTCAGTCAAGAACTTCGTATTTATTTTATTGAGAAATAATATGATTGATGAGTACAATTTTTTTTTATTTTGGATAATTCCTTGTAAACATTTACTCACGTTAACAAAGGTACATTTAATATTCAACCTACTTCTGATTTCAAAGTGACCTTTTCAAGTGTTTTGGGACAGTTTCACTTCAAGTGAAATTCTCAGTGTAAATGTCAGTACGCATGCATGAAGCAGCTACCCATTGAGCTCACTAAAGTTAATAATTTCAGAAGCCTTTGCTGTAGTTGTTGGAATACCAACCGTCTCTTGACGACTGGAGTTGTCTAACACTGTATTTTGGTTTTCTATTTTATTTTAAGGAACACTAGGTGGAGCCACAGGCAAATATTTTGCTTGGTAATATTTCCTTCTCCTAATACGGGTCTGCTAACTGGGTGAAGGTGGTACTGTACTGTATATGTTCACAAGAATTTATAGAATGAACTGATGTAAACCCAGAAGCTGACCTACGAAATTAAAAAAACAACAACTTTACTCTGGTAATAAGGTCAGTAAATTTGATCTTTTTGGTAAAATATATATTTGCTTACTCTTTTTCTTTTCATTTACAGCACTAAAGTAATGGTACAGTATTTGCAATTAAAGTACTTAATGTGTTTTTCGATTATTTACAATTATGTTATGCGACTCTGTATATAACCCAATCTAAAAAAAATCTATACTGTGCCAAAATGCTAAAACTGTCTAAAGCATTACATTTTCTTCAAAAGAGAAATTATTTTGTATGTATTGAATTGTTTTATGTTCTGTCTAATTCTGTGTTATTGTTTGGCTTTTTAATCAGGCTGTAGAGTATCTCGCAATTCAGCCACGACAGCTTCTTTAGGTGGTTGTGAAGCCAGCTGGGAAGGTGTTCCTTGCAGCATTCTCTGAAGCTCACCGATGAAGCGCTATGCTCTGTAGCAGGGGTGAAAGAATACCAGGCTTTTCGGTGCAGGTTTCTGGCTCCCATTTTTCAATGCATGAATTAAGGATTATCAATCAAGCATGCAAAGGATTGGTTGTGCCAGATCCTAAATTTGAAGGTCTGGTGTTTGCCAGTCCCTACTCTACTCCTGTGTAATACAGATAGACAATCAAGTAAGCATTGTGAAATTGTAATAGAAGCTCTTTGTTCTGTAATAGCTAGGCGGGAAAAACATCATAAGATATGGAACGGGTATAATTTTTAAATGAGACCACTATCTACAGATGATCTGTAATTATTTTGATTCATGCAGTTTTTCAAGTGTTGTTGCATTTGCTCTTTTATTTGCACATTGTTCAGCATTTTCCTTCATTGACCTCAGTTTCAGTGTGTGGCACCCTTTCCTGTATGAGTCCAGTATCCCTCAAAAGCCCACATCACACAGAGCCATTTACTGTATGTTTTGGCATGGTCATCTTGCACACTGGTTCTGAGCCTGCACTTGCTTTGAATATTCAAATCTTTCACAGCAGATGTCCTAGTTTGAATAGGATACATCTCTGAGAGAGAAAAAATAAATGAAGCATAGTTGATTAATGAAAACATAAGTTCTGGCAATACACATATTAACAGTTCTGCAGCAGGTCGGTACCACCTCTTCACAACATAATGTAGGTATTTCATTATAGAATATTGGTACAAGCACGTCTAAGCTCATGTTTATGTCTCATGTCATACTGTCCTTTATCTGATTTTCTGGTGCAGTTTTTCTTGTTTTCTTTGAAGATCAGCCAGTTTCTCTGTTTTCAGTCGCTGCCTTTGCTGAATTAAAATCACCATGAGACCACGAAATGACATAATTCTTCCCATGTGACCGCCTTTTTCTTCTCCTTGCAAATCCAGTTCCAGACTGTGACGAGATACCTGTTCCATTGCTGTGCAGCGCATTTTTCCCACAGTGAAATGTTGGATCTGCACTATTTGTTCTAACTGGAGATGGGGGAGGGGATTAATTCCACCCCAGCACAGAACATGCTTGAAGTTTACATTTTAAAGTAAATAAGAAAACATACGTGGAAGGTTTAGTTTTGTGGCTACACCAACAAAAGAACACAAAGATACAAGATTATATAAGCTGGTGGACTTTATTTCACACATTATCTCACAGTTTAGAATTACATAAAATGTACAACAGGACAAAACATGGACTTGATCAATCTCCCTGATAGTGTCTTTCCTTTAACCATACACAAAAACATGAAAAAGGAACAGCACATGTAAAAGAATTAGACAAAAATCTCACTAAGTGCTCCCAGTTTACACCTCATCCTAAATTAACCCATTTATGTGTCTCCAGCACTGTCATTTTATACATATATACTGTAACAATATGGTGTTTACAAAATTGAGGGTACTAAGAGATGTATACAAACATTGAAGTAGACAGAAGTTAATTGAAGAGATACATCTCCTGTGTCCTTCAAAAACAGATGTAAAACTTTATTGCCTTAGTTACAGGACCTGCTGTTCTGATTGCTGTGTTTTGAACTTTTTAGAATAGCAAGATGTCGGGATTCTAACCAGCAGTCTTCCACTTGTGTAACAACCCTGCTCTGAGAGGTTGGATTTTGAATGTCTAGAAACCTTCACATTATGTTAAACTGATTAGATTAATCATTCTGATCTTTGCAGCAGGGTTAGATTACATATGGTAAATGAAAAGACATTTAATGGAAGATTAATTGAATGTCTTAGTTTTACTTCATTTCAAAACTTGCACAAAATGACCACTTTAATAAGTGAAAATCATGAACTAGGAAGGACTCTCATTTGCACCGGAAAGTGTTTCCTTTAAAGAAAGACTATATTCATCTCAAGCAATGTGTAACATCCAGATATGTAACACTTTACTTTGTAACTACAACAAGATCTGAGGCCTCTTCCGAGGGTGACTTTTTCATTTGAAGCCAATGACAAAACCCAGTTTGGTACAGCAAAGACAGCATCTGTCCTGTCCCATCAACATGTGGATACTGGTATGCTCTGAGGCAAACAGGATAAGAAAAAGGGAACTAATTCTGAACACTTTTCAGCACCTACTGCTTTTGTACTTATGGCACAATACGTTGTTTCTTTCTGTAAAGAAACACTCAGAAAAGTGATTGATAGTTAATAGTTGGTAGTTGCATTTATACACTACTTTTTTAAAGGATTGTCACAAACCACACGTAAGCACTTCTCACCGTTAACATCCATGCACTAATTAATCAATTATCTTTCTACACACTCTTCCTTCCATCTTCCGTATTTACAGTATACCCTCTCACTCCACTCAGTCTCTGCTCACTAATGAGGTTGCCTCTTCCGAGCTCAACCCTCGCTTTACGTAGTTCGGGAAAGAAATACTTTAAACCAAATTGTCTTTTGGCTCTCGAAACCCTAGCTCAATCCTTTGATTACGCCATTGCTTCATGTTTTTAGGATTTGGTTACTTTTGGAACTTTCCTGAACCTTTCCTGGATTAATCTACCACAGGCTGGCATAGGGAGTGGCTAACCAGCCTCTTTGCTGCAACTCCTGATAGGGATCCCCAAAGTATATTTTCTAAAATCAAGAGAAGTGACCCCCTCTGTCCCCCACTGAGGTGCAGTACCCACAAGGGTGAAGTGTGGCAGCCATTGTGAGCCAGCAGCCCCATTATACAGCAGATAAGACAGCGCAGTGAAAAATTGCTTTATTAATTGAATCTGGGGGAGAGAGGAGACATTTACTTGGTCAGATTGTTCAAGCCCAGACTGGAAAGTAACAAAGACACTTGTATTTTCACCAACAGCACCATGAGGCCTTTAATCAAAGGACCACATTTTAGCATCTTATTTGAAGGATGGCACTTACTACAGTTCCCTTCTTGGTCACCATACTGGGAATTTGGTGTGATGTAAATGTCTCACAGTTCCTTATTGCTTCCTGTTGTCAGACCTATTTTCATAGTAAAGTGACTCTATAATTCTCTGTTGTTCCTATTTTAAATATTATCTGCTACAGTAATGAACTTGTTCAATAATAAAACCTAAAGCTAGGCTTATGTGTGCAGCTGGCCAGGAAATAAAATAGGGAAATAAGAGATGCAAAATACTTTCAGCACAAATAGGGCAAAAACACAAAAAACTTTAAAAAACTCATTCTTATTTACTCAAAGAAACCCAAAAGAGATATATTAAAGTCATGGAGAGTATTAGTGTTTTGTCAGGTAAAAAAATAATGTACTTAACATGAGAACCACACGTGCAATTATATTACAAAACATGTGACAAAAATGTAACAAGGAAAAAAACACCTGACACAAATTACACCTCCTTTACGTCACCTTTAAAAGAACCCCCACACTTTCTTAATTCTTTCCAAATGGCACTGTTATGCAATTATATTATACTGTTTTTGCAGCATAACACACAGTCCCATTCATACAAAACAGAAAATACCAGAGACTGACAGTTTTGGCTTACCGTATGTGTTCTGCTCTTGACTTTTCAGAAAACTAAATAATCTGAGCATTGAATATTAAAAGATGACACTCTACAGTGCAAACACCTACTGAAAAGAGTGGCATTATTCCCATGGAGTATTTTTGGAAATGCCCTTACTTCTAATGTACACTGAGTGCATGCTCCTAACAATATATTCTACAGTAAACCTATTTGCACTTTCAAATACAACACTTATTATGTCTTTGATATTCTGTAAATTGTTTTTTCTTCATTCCACCAGGTACTGTAAATACATTATAAAATTATCTCTAAACAATGAAAAAGAATTTACAATGTTGTCTTATTTTTTAAAAAGCCACATCTACAGGCAATTTGCAGCTACATTATGTAGAAGCTGAATGAAGCCTAGGATTATTGGCTGATTTAAAAATTGAAGTTACCTTGTTTAAAATCTGATAGGGTTATGAACAAGAATGTCTAAAAATCATACTATGTCATTAGCAAAACATCGTCATTAAATGTCAGTTAAGCATCAGGATTTTTTTTTTGTTAAATGGTGACTTGCAAACGTCAGGTGTGTAAGATAAAACAATAATCTAACATCAAGGTTAGCAGAAAAAATGTGCATTTAGAACATGCTTATGTGCTAAATTTAGAAATTAAACTTCAAGGCTGTTACTGTATTACATAAGTAAGAAAGAGTTCCACAAAAATTACTGACATCCTGAAACTTCAAAACTATACATTTTGTAGTAAAGCACAAGTTGTGACACGATAACATTCTAATTTTTGTGTTAGCTGGTTTTGACCTTGATACCTGGATAACACCACACCTCCAGGCACTTCTACTTACACTCCATCTATCTAAGAGTTCATGGGCTTTAAGACAATATTGAGATATTCCAATTTTGCAAACCCATTGACCCTTCCACTTTTCTAAGGTAAAATGTATGAGTTATTTAACTAACTGTCCATGTCATAAGAGTCTATAAGATAAGGTTCATGTTGAAATAACGTTATACATTTGTTTTACCAATCCCAACTTCCAACCTGACTTAAACACGATGACCCCCCCTTGTGAAATCAAAGTGCTAGTTCACATGGTATGAAAAAGTGTTATTAAGATGTTGACTAGCAATGAGGGCCCCAGGATGCTCTAGGTAGTAGATTTTATCGCTTGCTTGCCTAAACCCAGCTTGGGAAATGGCTCGAGTGGCAATCATTGTTTACACAGTACATGATTACTGCCAAGTAGCTCTGCCTCTTAATGACTGGCCGACTTCAACCTGAAGCAAATAAGAGCTGGGGTGGTGACCTGTCTTCTATGATTTGGTCTGTGTTTCTTCTGGGAGTCGCTGGACAATCCAGGTGCTGATCTCTTTGAGGACTGAGTTAGCTGTATCCGGGAGGTCGTGATGCAGAGCATGATAGGCTCCATTGTACACCTGCAATCGGCAAACACACTGTGTCAGACACAAAAAGAATGATACAATCAATAATGCCCCACAATAACACCCACAAACCTTTAGTCCATTGGTTCATTCAATAAGCATTAAATAGTACTGACACAAGCTTGGATTACATTTACATGTTGTATTGCTGCACTTCTCAAAAATAAGAAGTAAGTGTTGGAATAACAGTTTTCTAAGGCCCTGCAAAAGCAGAGTGGTTCTGTTTTCCGGTTCACTGCATCCGTCTAGTTCTTGTGAACAGTGGTGATGAAACAACTGTACAGATACAATCTTATCAGCCTCAGAGCTGTGGAGTACATGAAGAGATCCGTTTGTTAATGTTCCTAAATGGCACTTCCCCCTTTAGGCTGGCAAGCGATTATTTGTAATGTCTTTGAATGCAGCTATTCATCATGAATGGCACTATTTTTTGCCTGCATATCTGCAGAGCAGCGCAACCAGCAACCTTTTTCTCAGTCTGTGTGAAACACTGTGGACAGAACAGGGAATGGGACATGGATTCACTTGAGTTGAATGCTCGGTCTACATTCGCCGCACATTGATCTGACAATGTCTGAGAACTATCTATTTTAACCTCTAGACTATTAACCCCTCAGTTATCCAAGCCTTGACCGACATTATATCAGTTTGACTGTCTGAAACACAGGTGAAGGCCTAGATCTACTGTACGTCACAGGCAGATTTCACATAGAAAGGCCCTGTATAAAGTCAGCACGCAGAGGTCTGTCACGGTTAGTTAATACATCGACAAAAAGGTTTAAAAAACCAATCTAACTGCTAATCACTCTTTCACGCCAAGTCTTTTCAGATAATTACATTTCTCTCTACAAACACATCTCAAAAGGCAAGCATTGGGCATACATTAAATATTCTTTAATTATCATGAATGAAAAGGTGAAATGTGTGCATCATTACTTAGTTTTTTCTGGTATTGCGTATTGAAATAGTCACCTCCTGTGGTTTTGACACATTTCAGGCATTTCAGTTTTGAAAACCATCTAACTAGCCCTGGAGTTTGTTTATAGGATGGTGTGAAGCATCCTGTCTATATTTCAGCAATAGCAGTCAGACTGAGAAACAAATGACCGGATGATGTTCATTTTTATACTGGAGGCCCCTAAAATAAACAAAAACATTTCCCAAGACTTTGAACTGCAGAGCCAGTCTGGAGACAGGGGATTTCTGTATATACAGTAGTGCTGTAACTGTGCCATTCCTTTCAGTCACCTTGGGAGCTCATTTTGCATCTCCTGTTCTTGCTCCCACAAAGCAACTGTGGAAAATGAATTGGGTTATTTTTCATGTGAGAAGAATCTGAACTCAACCACCTCCACAGCAGCCATATTTTCGGAAGGTGTTAGTCTATCTTAACCTCTACACTATTAACCCACATGAATTATCTAATCCATGAATGGCATTGTTGCATTTTGACTTGCCTTCAACTAATACATTTGCACCCTGTGAGATGCAGACAATAAATTTATCTGCAGAGTTTGCCAAGAGGGCAATTCGGTGGTACAGTGGTTTGCATTGCATTTGAAATTCCTGGGGTGCTACCTTCACTGAGTTTCTGTGTTCTCCCCTTATTTATATGGGTTTCCTCCAGGTTCTTCAGTTTCCTCCCACAGACCAAAGATATAAATGGCTTCTGGGAAAATTGGCCCTGGTGTGAATGTGTGTGAGCCTTGTGATAGACTGGTGTCCTGTCCAGGGTGTATCCTGCCTTGCTTGCTGAGATAGGCTTCCCCCACAACCTTGTATTGAATTAAGTGGTTAAAAGATGGATGGATGAAATTTCACAGGATTATAGCACAGACTGTGCTGATATCTGCTACGGTTTGAACTAGTTTTATTTTACACTACTCGAAATACAATGCAATCTGGGAATGAATTTGGAATCTCTTTCTGTCACTCCAGTTTAGTAACCAACATAGCGGCTTCAATTTTCTATTTATTGTTTCATCATTACATTTATTGGTTCCTCAAGATTTTGATTATAGAATAAATCAGGGATTCTTCACAGTACATATTTCTGTTTGCAATGTGCCTGACACACTGCAATGCGCCACTTTTAGCTAAAATTGAATTACTGTAGTTCCTTTTCAAAGTAGTCCTTGTGAATTTCTGCAAAGCCTATCTGTAAGAACCCAAGTGTTCATTTAATTACCTACTGTATGTAATCCTTTTTCTTTCTTCTTTCAGGTGAGACTAAGCAATAAATGCTTTCTTTTGTCTGCTTCATTAAAACGTCTTGTTTAATTCACCTATACAAACACCTACACATAAAAATTCAGTCTTTGAACTTTTTGAAAAGCTGTGAAATTCCATCTCTAACCACCCACAAAAGTGTACATTTAAACGTACCTGGTAGAACAAATTTAAATTATAATGTAAGAATTCCCCCTTTTATAATAGTGTGGGTTTCGCATAACTTTTTGTGACAATGGAGTGAATACGACTTTGAAGCATTGTTTCTAAACATGATGGTTAAAGACTTACAGCAATGAACATGCTTATACAGTATTTTCATCTAATTCACACATTGTTAAGATGTTTAGGAGCATTGAGGACAGACACACAGCTTGGCTTCCTGGAACAAATTTCCTAATCATGCTTCTAACAGTATGAAATCTCATACAAAATGTGGAATTTTAAACTAGTTGCAAAAGCAATTGAATAATTTAGATGAGCCTCCTTTTATTTAATATCCTTTTTATATTCTACAGTATGTAATATTTATTTTAGAAAGGCAAAGCAGTGTAAGGAAAAAGTACTTAAAGGAGATTTAAACAAAAAGTTTGGGAGAAGGTTTAAACATAATCCCAACCACTATCACACTTTTTTACTATTACTAATTTATTTTGGTAGTATTTTGAATAAGTTGCATTTGCAACCTTTTATGCAACTGTGTATTTTACTGGAGTGATTCAAGTGAAGTACCCTGCTCAATGATATAACAACAGTGTCTCATCTGGGTTTTGAACCCACAACCCTGAAATGTATAATATACGGTATAGTATATGTAAAGGGATTTTTCTAATGTTTTTCAATCATTTTTTTCCTTTCAACATACTCAACAATTGTTTGAGTGTACTGTACATGTCACAACTTCCATCTATTCATTTTTTTAACCACTCTATCCAATTCAGTGTCACGAGGCAGGTGGTGCCAATCCCAGTAAACAATGACAACAAGGCAGGGGCCACACCAGATGAGACCCCAGTCCATCACAGGGCAGACAGACAAAATATACTTATGAGCATGTCTTTAGCCTGTGGGAGGAAACCCATTCATACATGAGGAGAACATACAAACTCTATGCAGATAGCACCCCAGGTCCTGAATTGAATCCAGGGCTCTATTGCTATGAGGCAGCAATGCTAACCACTGTGAAACCTATTGCCCACATGGCACAACATAACTGATTTATTAAAAAAAAAGTTGTTTCCAAAAAACAACTAAATTTCCTTTGTGCTGTAATTCAAATTCAAAACACAGTATCATAAAAAAGTAAGAACCACAGTTGCACTGATTGTTCTAGACTCTGAATGAAATCCTGAAATGAAAGAGGCCTTTTTGGGGCAGGGTGCCAATAATTACCTTCAATTTTTTATCCAGGCTCTGTGCTTTTTCGTACATCACTTGGGAGCCCTTGATGTCACAGAGTTTGTCAGCATCTCCGTGGAGAAGCAGAAACGGCCAGGCGATGTTGGGCAGGGCTTTCTCAATCTTGGTAGCGGCGTTCATTAACTGCATGCCGAAGGAAATTCGCACGCCTCCATGATTGTTCAGAGCATCGCTGTCATAGGCCTCGACCTGCCTCAGCACAGAGAGGGGACAGTGAAGGCCAACAGAGTGGACAAGCTGCAGAAAACCTCTCTGACAAACATTACTGGGGTGTGAGCTTCTCAGCTGAGTGAATTCTATACACAATGCCCAAAACAGCCAGTACTGAAAATATTTTAAAGGCCGTGAAAAAAATAAAGCAATTAGTGAGCTCAAAGTTAGGGTTTCAAGCCTCAGGTGCTGAATTGAACAGAAGGTCCAGTTTGTCTACTTTGTGTTTCTTTTTTTTCCCATTAAAATTCATTTACCTGAACTTATCTATGAAGATAAGTGCATAAAAACTTATGAGCTAGGTGTGACTGTACACCCTCTTAGTGTAAAGATATCAATTTGGCTTTCCTGTGTACTATAAAAAATGAAGTGGGGATTAACAGGAGAGTCAGAGTGTGTCCACCTTGAATATTCTCTGAAATTCAATTGAACATGAATCAGTGTCTAAGAATGATTGATCACTGCTGTGTATGTTTTATTAACTACTACTCGTTCAAAGAACAACTATTTTTGCAGACATTTATGAGCACACCTTCTCCATAAGAAGTCAGACAAACATCATCTACAAAGCAAAACCAGAAGCAATCCGGTTCCTACTAATGCTTGATCAACCATGAAAAAGGGATTGCTGAAGGAATGTTTTGCATGGCTGCCTCATGTGCATCTTATAATTATTTATGAGAACCTTCTGAATTTTTTATATAGTATAATGTATGAGAACTGAATACTTCTTTTCAGCATCTTAACTGTCCAGCAGTACTGGACTGGACTCACGTTTCTCTTCTGAGGGCTGCGGTAGTGCCCTACGCTAGCTGCAGTTGTGCCCTTACCCTTTGCCAGCAGAAAAGAACAGTGGCTCTGTAGTTTGCTTTCCTCTAATTTAGAGAGAAGTCATTTCAGTTTTTGTTTATGCAGAAGACAGAAGCAAAACGCTCTGTAGAGTCCTGGCTGTGGTGGGGTGGGGCTGTATACCACAGAGTGATGTACAGATCAAGTAAGAAAGAAACTTAAATCCACTGGGCTTGTGAATACTTCTTTCTTTGCCCTGGTTCTATATTTAGCTTGTGACATGAAACACATCACGCTCTGATGTAAAGACAAGCTTCCTCTTGAAGTAAACTACACCGATAGACATGAATACATGTATGTGTTGTACGTGGGTAACTCCAACTGAAAAACCAGTATTCAGAAAAAAAATATGAAATTAAAATGACATGCAGGCTCCAGCATACAGAACACAGATCTGAGCTGTCTCAGATAAAGGCATTTAAGGCATCCCTTGCACAGCATTAATTCACAAAAGAGCTTTCAGATTAAGGACCTTCATATTTCAAGCTCTTCAAACACATGCAAAGGATTTGAATTAGCAACCAAAGATCAATTTCTTGACAAGAAAGCTGAAGGGAGTGGGTGTTTATTACCATTGTAAACCCCAGTTCATCCACTTCTGTTCTAAAAATGCCTCTGCAATAGAATAGATCTAATGCCTACCAAAATAACAAGCTATGATTTAAATTAACAAAATATCCTTTTCACACAAATTGAAGCCCTTTTTCTTTTCTCTGGTACAGAATGACTATTACCGAGAAGCTCATTTTGTGTAACACAATAAAGAGATTTTTCACCATCTGTTGCCCAGGCAGATGACTTTCTTTGAAATATTACTGGATTTTTTTAAACAATGTTCTAGCATTAGCTAGAACACCATACCAGAACAGACAGTACCAATTTAACGCTAATATCCTTTATAAGAATTATCTAAAAATACAAAATGTTAATGCAAACTGTCTCTGAACAACAAGACAGTGTGTGGGAGCTGCAGTGAACAATGGTTTTAGTCAGCTGTGAGTGCAAGACAGAGGGGGTGAGACACAGTCAGTGAAAGGCTCACCTAATCTGTTCTCTACCTCTTTCAAAGTGTTTTATGGCTTGACAGGCATTGTAAACCTGACCAAGAATTTACCTCCTGCCCTGTTCTGTCTCCACATTGCTAAGGTTTTAAAGGCTATAGCCTGCAGTATATAACCACACAATTATATTCTACTGGACTGAATACCATTCTGATCTTGCCTGGTGCAACAGGGAATACCTCTGCCTGCAGCCAAGCTGTAACCTCTAATTTCTCTTTCTAAAATTAATTCTAAAGTCCATAAAGGACTTTAAACGGTAAAGGGCAACCACAATACTGTTGAAGGATTCTTTGTTTTGACAGAATATTGCAGCTCCTCAGGCAGTGGTGGCGGTGATGACTTTCTCTCAACTGTAAGACATAGCTGCCATTAATACAGTTAAGATGTTTATCTGGAACTTCACAATGCAGATCTTTTAGTCCAGCTTTCATATTACATCTCAGTCCTGTGAGCAGTAAAGTGATAGGGTGATTTTGTTTAGTCTCTGGTAATAAATCAGAGATCAAGATCATGAAATTGACTGTGCATCTAGAGGGACAGCGCAGTGAAAAATGAAATATGTTATCATGATGCTCTATGATGCATTTCCAGTAAGGCCCCAGGTTCTTAAATAAAAACATGATTAAAAACCTCAGGTCCCAGACAAACAAGCATCCTTTTGAATTTAGTTTACTGGGCGGAGATAAAATGAAGAGAGAGATGTCAAGCACTGATTTTCCTTTGTATCAGCTGTCGAGATGTTGCAATTATGTGTTGAAGCCCAAGGTACTGTGTTAATTAAAAACAGTTTTCCATCTGATGAAGACAAAAATATGAAAATATGCATGTGTGACAAATCCTTTCCTTCTCTTGGCAGGTGAATCACTATCTTCTGTTTCTTCTCACTGTAGTTCCTGTAGATTGACGTTTTAACCAGTCAATGGCTGTCTAGTATGGCTTCCCAACACCACTCTGAAAAATCTATCGATTGTGACAATTGTAGCAGCTGTGACAGGTTCTTTATCAACATAAAACAGCATTTTGACACAGAGTAAGATACTGCTTATAAACAATTCTCTGCATTCAACATGAAGCAGTAAACCCACAGCAGTAAAGTAGGAGATGTTACCTGTTTCTGATCTCGTGATATCCATTTGGAATCTATTGAACCCAAGGACAGGTTTGGCACCAGGTGGTATAAGAGCTTGGCTATGAATACCTGCAGGGGTGAAGGAACTGTGATGAGAAAACTGTTGCATTTCATTCATCCATCCACTTTCTAACCACTCTATCGAGTACAGGGTTGTTTGAGGAGCCGGAGCCTATTCCAGCAAACAATACAGTAGGTGCAACACAGGATACACCCTGTATGGGACCCCAGTCCACTGCAAGGCACACAGACTCACTCCACGGCCACTTTTCCCAGAAGCCACTTAACCTTCCAGTATGTCTTTGGACTCTGGGGGGAAACCAGAGAACCCATAGAAAACCCACACAAACATGGCAAGATCATACAAACTCCATGCAGATAGCACCCCAGGAATTGAACTCAGGGCCCCAACACTGCGAGGCAGCATTAATAACCACTGTGGATCTGTGCAAATGCCCCGCCCACTGTTACTTTTCTCCTTGAAAAAGAAAAAAAAGAAAGAACATCAAGAAAGAACCCGAAATTGATGCGAAGCACAAGTCAGTCCATTGAGCCTGGGATATAATCTGGCGGTGTTTTTATTTCACTCATAACTCTGCGGTGAGACCTACTGCACTTGTACTGCCTCATTTCTCTCAATGAAGGGAAGTGTGTAAATTCTGTTTTTGATATTTTCCGAATCATTATGTTGTGCAAGGTTTGCAACAGGTTGCATTTCGTAGCTCTTGCTGAATTAAATCTGCAGGGAATGTGTGAACTACTGCACATTGCTTCTTGACTGGATTTTGCTTAGAAAGCATTTGATAGTTATAATTTTGGAAGGCCTTCCGCCTTCTTAAGTTACACATAATTGTCCTAAAAAACATACATAAAAATCCAACTAAGAAAAACTTGCTTAAAAAATGGTGTCCTAGAATTGCCCATCTGGGACTAAATCATTGCTGTTAGAAAGCTGACCACCTTGAATACCTTCTCCCTATTTACTGCTTTAGATTAAGAGACTTTCAATCCTTTCTCCAATGCTAATAATAGCCAAATTAATCTCTGTTGGTACATGATATGACTATAATAAGACCTAATCAGATTTGTGGACCTAAAGAACATATATATTCTATACATAGAATATATACATAAAGAACACTTTTAAAAAATCATTTTTATTTAAATGATGCTGTCTAGATATGGAAATGGATATTAGAATAAAACATTTTAAAAACATTTGATTGTTTTGTAGTAACAAAACTGGAAATTGCAAGTCATTCTCAATTTGCATGTAAACCTGTGGGTTTTTTCACATGACTTTACGAACCACAAGTAAATAGGGGAAGTTTGTGTGAAAACAGAACGCAACATTTAAAATGACTGGATTTCACATTTACATTTTATTTACATTATAAAAAAACTAGTTAATGTCACAGAGAGGTGGGTGTATTTATCTCTCAATACTTGTAGCCTTCAGAATGAATAAATGTTCAGTGATTCAGAAAGGCAATAATGATCTACTCTTTCAAAATCACTCGCCAAGGGCAGCGCTAAAGATTATTCTTTTGCCTCTGACCAACCAAATCTTTTCTCATCAACATCCAGAATTTATACAGCCCCATCTTTAAAGAAATTAAGATGAAAAAGCTGGTTACAATTAGACGTCAGTTTTGGAGCTTGTCATAAGATTTAAAAAAATCCACACAGAAATTTTGTGTTAATGTGTCTGGTTTGGGGTAAACAGAATACCTGTGATCAGTGACTTAATCAATAACAACTTACGATAGCTTATTGGTTCTTACAAGAAAAATTCATTTGTAATTAATTTAACTGATATTGCAGACAACTAGAAACAAATAAATCCTAGTTGCTTTTATGAAATGTACACATTGTTAAAAGCCAAATGTTTTGTTTGACAAATAGTCTACCTAGAATGAGCAACTGAAGTCTGACCCTACCCAATCGCCTGCAAGCCATTTGTCTTTAAATACGTCCCAAACAACACAGCCACAGCTCTGTAGTACCACACCTCCAGCACCTGTCCTAGGCCTCTTGGAAGACAGGCGCATCCCCCACTAACTGCATTGCATGTCTATAGCACCCTGTGGACTGCAGGGGTTGCTGAGAGCAACCTACCTTAGTGACACTCAGTCAACTGTGTGCTACCACTTGGGGAATCCTACTTACATTCAGCTAGTGACATGACCCAGGCTCGAACCCGCGATCAAGAAGCCCATCCTGTGCTTGAGGATTTGTTTAATAATCATGAGTGCAATATGTCATGGCACAAGTCCACTCCATCCTGTTCAAGCATCATTTGTCAGTGCTGCTGTATCTGGTGAAACAAGTTCAATACCAAGCTTTCAATAACTGATCTCTGGAGATCACCTCAGCCAAGTGCATCTTTCTCTCTCCTTACAACAGTCAAAACATCCATCCATCTAATTTGGAACTGCTTCTTCCAATTTAGGATCGCAAGGGAGCCGAAACCTATCCCAGCAAGCACTAGGTGCAAGGCAGGCTACACCCTGGATGTGATACCAGTCCAGCCCCACACACTCACACTAGGGCCAACTCTCCCAGAAGCCAATTCACCTAACAGTATGTTTGCAGAATGTGGCACCCAGAGGAAAGCCATGCAAACACAGGGAGATCACACAAACTCCACATGGACAGTTCCCAAGGTCCTCAATTGAATTCAGGGCCCTAGTTGAATTGCTGTGAGGCAGCAACGCTCAATCTAAAACATTAGTTACATACTGCAAATATAAAGGAGGAATTGATTGGCTACAGCTTTAACAACCATTCTTCACTTCCTCCTCACAATCCCTTTCTGAAGCTAAAAAAGCAGCCATGGGCACATGCACAATAAAAAGTTCTCATTGTGCTGAGTCCTTTTCTGTGATGAAGACAATAACGTGGCGTTATGAAATGGATTACTCATAGTCAGAATGGAAAAGACAAAAGCACAAGCATTCACATCTCTACTCGTTACAAATGTCTTCTTATTCTTTTGGGAATGATTCAGTAATGGGTTTGGTGCTATCAATCAACATCGTACAAGCTAGCCACAGAGAGCAGACCGCACTTCATTTCTCAGCTCTGAGCAGCTCCGTTTGATTGCTTCGATTTCTCTTCGATCAATGCCTACCCACACGCTTCGTGCCTTAAAGATGTATTTGCACACTTCAGTCTATAAGCCCCTTTGAAGAACCATCTGTCTCTCTTGCTGTAGGTCTTACGCTTAGAATGTTGTGATGTTACCCAGATGTGCATAACATGCGACAAGCAATTCAATAACATGTCAAGGAAATGCAAACACATTATCCTCTGCATGGTATCCCTCTTGTGGAGTGTTGACAAATGTATGCACAGCTTTAGAGTGGGGATAAAGGGTGCTTCTGTGTGAAACACACTCCATTCTGCACCTTCAGCAGACATCCAATAGTCTTTTCATCTTTCTCTGTGCTGTATATAACAATCATTTCCAGTTTTTCAGTTCCATGTCCACTTCGCTAACCTGTAATATTCAACGCTATCTTTCTACATTGCCTGTAAGTTGTCTGTTTTATAGGTCTCACATTTGTTTGTATTTATCACATTTGTTGCACATACCACACAAATGTCTACTTTTGCATTCGAGTCCCTACCTCAAAGTTGAATATTTACAGTGCTGTATGTTTCCATTCAATTCAAGAAACAACTAAAAAATAGTGAATAACTTTCATGTTTAGTAGTTTTAGCTATTATCATCAGTAATAAAACACAGACACATTTCTACCTTAAATTCAATTCAATCGCCAGACATTAACCAGCTTCCTCCAGCTCTATGCGACCAGAAATCAATGCGAAACAACTTTCATCAGAAGGGTTTTTTTTTGCCTCTCTATTGTGTGGCAAGTTATCAGCACACGCTGTTTGGTTTGTACAAAGAGGGCTGCAGCAGATGGGCAGAAAAATATTCTCATTTCCTGTCTCCTTAAGGGCTTCGATTAATTTAAAACAATTCCAGCTCCATGAATCAATGTGTCTGGTACTTAGCGTCAGATACTCAAACACAGAAACACTGTAAAAACAAACAGTACTGAAAGGTCAAGAGGAAATCAACCCTTGTGATCCTTGTCATAAGAAAAAAGAGAAGATGGTTATTTCCACAAAGTATCAAAGAGATAAAGGAGATTGTAACCTTGCAGCAAGGCTATCTGATTTGCATTAGAAATGATCGGTATGCTACAGCTATCATAAGACTTTTAAAAATGCATTAAAAAAGGCATAAAAATGCGTACCATTACTTAATTGAATACAAGTGCTTGGCAAATTTTATCAGATACTCAGACACTGCACAAAGGGATGCAAGATATATCTGATGCTTAAATAGAGTAAGTAAGTTAAATAAAGTAATGTAGAAAGGAGGCAGTTCAGTGGATACTGGGTCATGCGATGATCCAGATCAGTGTGGAGCACCCTGATAGGGTGTTCATGCTGAAGAGCTCAGGTATCTCAGAGAGTTTTTCAGCACTGCCAGATCCCTCGTGGGGCAGCCAATGGAAAAAAGGACAAGGCCCGACAGTGAGACTGAAGGCCTCACCTGCTTTTCATATCCTTTGCTCCCATGCCAGGGATGCAGCGCTAAAACAGCAATACAGTATGTGTATGAACCTGCAGTAGTTATGCACAAAAGAGAAAAAGAGCACTCTGGTCACAGCTAATGCTGATGGTGGGGATATTGGGGTGCTGCAGGTCATCAAAGAGGCCCAGAAATAACACTTGTGCTGGCTGTGGTTAAAAAAAAACAACAATGTGTAGGATAGCCAAACAGAGGGCTCTTTCAAAATACAATCAATTCTGTGCATGGCCTCTCGGTTTCTATAATTGATGCTTCAGTGCAATGTATTCCACCCACAAGCTCTCACCATGTATGAAGGCTAATCATTTTAATAATTGTATCCGTGGGAGTTCTTAAAGTTCAGCACTTTGCTCTCCAAAGGTAAAGTGAAACAGCAGGAGTGGGGCAGCAGTGACATCAGCTCTCGGGACTCGGAGACTGAAGTACCTTAACAGGAGTTGCTGATTCAGGGTTCATTTGGACCATGGGGGAAATTAGCACAAGCCCAGCAAAGTCGTTTGGCCTCTCGCAGGCTGTCAGGATAGAAATGGCTCCCCCCTGGAAAAGACACAGACACACATTTAGAGCTGCAGGCCTCCTGGGCTGAAAGTAAACTTAATACAGGGTTAGTCGAAATGTTGTCAACAGGTATAAATGCCAAATAGTTTACTAAAGTTTTGTTTTCTCCTCCACAGATGGCGAAGGATTGTAAGGTAACTTTGATATTTATGCTTTCGTTTGAAACCTCTTTTTGTCACGGTAACCCATGTAATTAATTTGTAATAAACTGTCAAAGTTGTCGACAGCAGCTTGACCAACCCTGTATATGACAAGGAAGGTGCTATATTCCGAAACAGAGCAGCAAAAAACATAAGCAAACATCTATCCATCCATTTTCTAACTGTTTTATCCAATTTAGGGACATAAGGGAGCTGAGGTTTATGCAACGGGGGAAAGGCAGGATACAGCCTAGACAGGACACCAGTCCACTGCAGGGCACACACAGACACGGACAAAGATACACACACACTCACACCAGAGCCAGGTCTCATAGAAGCCAATTAACCTACCAGTACTGTATGTCTTTGCACTCTGGGATGACACCCACACAAACAGCACATACAAACTCCATGCAGATAGCACCCTAGGACAGGAAATGAAGCCAGGGTGCCACCAAGCCACCCTTGCAAACATCCTGTGACTTTGAAAACAGAATATTTGTCACTGTGTTGTTTTTCATTTGTGTTCCATGTCTCTTGGACATTTGAACTTTAAACCACGCAAATGTGATTAATGGCTATTTAAAAGTCACAAAGTAGCCTAATACCCTAATACAAAAATAAACCTTTTAAGAAAAAGTAAAAGTGAAACTTGTGCCAAAAACTCTAGGCTTCATCAGTTGTCTCTGTTATTTTTAGGATACCCACACTGGTAACCAGACCTTGGGCAAGATACTGTATAATGAAATATTCCCTCTGTTATTCATCAGTCAGTCTAAAATGTCTTTGTGACTGTAACCATTTGGATTGTTAGGCTGATTCTATCAATTTAGTTTGTGTTTTTGTAAGACTTTCACAGAGAAAATCAGCACAATGTAACCATATAATATGAAATAAAAATAGAGCCTAATTTCCACCTACCAATAATAAAAACATTGTTATTATTAGGATCACTTCACAAAATAATGCACTTAAGAGTTACTTTTTGACAAATTCTCCTTCACTTGACATTTATGAAACACCCTTTCAGGGTAGAGAGAGGTAAGAGGACATACAGTATTGAAGTTTTTGCCTTTTCTGTTGGCAGCTTCTGCTTTTTAGGTTTGTCAAGTGTCATTCTACAGCTCACCTTAATTGTTTTTCACCTTATGTAACAATAATAACAAGGGTGATGCAGACACTTAGGAGAACAATGGTGCTGAGACTGCAGCCTGTTTTTATACCACTCAGCTCTTCACGAGATAATTGATAGCCACATTATTTTCTTTTCCAGTGTCAAGAAATCCTCTTGTTAATCTGACTCAATAAATTCACCTCCAACCGCCACAGGATTCAGGATGATGCGCCTGTTATGAGTGTTTGTGTTTTGCCACCTAAATTAGAGAATGCTATTTTTAAACACAGTGACCTTTCTGCTTCCATATCCATCAACTCCACAGCCATCCCCCGGGGTCTCAAAATGAACTCAAACACAAGAGCTGCTCAGCGTGACTCCAACAAATCTGGGGGTTGAAATGATTCCATTTATCACAATTTCGGTGGTTTGTTTATATCGGTCAACGATGCCTGACCAGCAGGACGGGTGAGGCAGTAGAGCTGGACTGAGTTTCTCGGATGGGAGGAAATGAGTCAGACTATAGCACATCAACCAGTATAAGAGGCCAGTGAGCTCTGTGGACAATATCATCACTGTGCTCGGGGCTGAAAAGCGAGGGAAGGGAGTGGGGGAAATGAAAGGGGAAGGGCAGTGTCTGTCTCTGATCACGAGTGACGCAAAGCTTCAGAAAAAAGGACCCAGGGGTTTCTACTGACTTCCAAAGGACTTCCTTCCATCAGTGTGGGGGAAGCGATACAAAAGATCAACAATATACATGGATGTAAAATATTTTTAAAAAAGTTTTTAAATCAAGCCAGAGTAATGTAATGCGGTAGTCTGCCTTCACTTTGGGACGCTGCATGTGCTTCTGCTAGCCCGCCACAGCTCATCAGTGCGCATTGCCACTGTGGAAGGAGCTTAGACCGATATTTGTGTTTCATATGCATCTGGAAGCCCTGTGATCACATGATATCGGGCATGATGGGTTTTTGTTTTTGAAGGAACAAGCAGGGAGAGAATGGAGAATTCCGTTACCATGGAATGTCCGACAATGAAGACTGGAAGGCCAGGGTGGCGGCTCTTCATGATGTCGATGTGCTGCAGGGAGTCCCTGATGAAGATGTGGAAGTCAGAAATCACCATGCGGTCTCCCTCACTCTGCCCGTGACCCACTGTCAAATACGAGGAGGAGGAGACACCATTAGCTCTGTGTGCATCAGTATTCACCCAGCAGAAAAAAATACAAAGGTAATATAAATTACATACAAAAAAACCTACATATGCCTGATAATGCTTGGAACGACTCAAACTGCTATGTAATAGGTGTCACCGGAGTAAACCATTATATTCAAATGGTAAAGAGTTCAACTTTGATTTCTCTTTGACACTCACTAGCCACAGATTTGGAACGATTCTGAACTAAAACGGCATGGCTAAGATGTGGTACAGCATGTATCCCACAAAGCACTGGAACAGTCCCTGTCAAGCTCCACCCCATTCTTCCAGCAGGACCAATTCCATTTGGTATTGTGATTAAGGGTAGGTGTATGTGCAATTCACCTGTATATACAAAAGGGCCCAGGGTTTTTTCAAAAATTTAAAAGCCTGGCAGAGAGAAGTGATTGGTTTCAGGCTCATGTTCCTCAAGTCAACCGCACACTGCCTGGCAGTGAAAGACGCCATCTGATGTTTGGCCCAGTGAAAGCAAGAGAAGAATAAGTCAATGTATCAGGAAGGGATGGAAAGAGCAGTACATTGATGAAGATGGAAAGGCCAGCAGAGAGTTCCAGAGGACATTGTTGGGTTACTGAAACAAGTGATATTCATATTGTGTATGTTCATGATATTCCCAGCTTTTCACTACATTCTTCTCCTCATCTGGTTCCCAGGCTGGAATTAAATTGAACCTCCCCCAAGGCAATACACAATTGTTCTCTGCTTTAGAAAATCTGATGTGTCTGGGCTCTGGAGTGCCAGATTAACGACAACAACAATAAAAGAAGAATGCAAGGAGGAGCTGGGACTTGCAGACATACAGTACATGGCACAATTGACAAAAGAAAACATGAAACAGAAGGAATGTATTAGATTATTATACAGCTGGAACCACAAGAATAATCGAGTATTGCAACACAGCTCCTTCAGCCTAAACAATAGCCGCAACACAATGCCTAGAAGAAAGCTCTGTTGTCCATTTGAAGATTGTGAAAAAGAATGTTCTTCTGCTAATTGAATACATCTGCAATGTAACATGTTACAATTTTTAAATATATGTACATTTTCCTCAAGAAACATTTTTGCAGATGACGTAGATCTCTAATAGAAGTGTCGTGTGGTGAAAGCAGAGCAAGATGCAGAATGCCGAGGCAGAAAACAGTGACATTCAGGTAAAAGCTTAAGGTCAGATTTTCAATAAACAGTTCAATAAGTCAATGTCTTCATTTTAGCTCTGCTTATTTCTCTATATATTATATTTACTGTGTTGTTCTTTTCTGTTTATATACAATACATTGACAGTTCTTTTCTAATTTGGATCAAACGTAAGAACCAATGCCAGTTGGATTAAAAATTTAGAAAATGTGTTTATTTCACATTTGGCTTAGAATCACTACAACACAGAAAGCTCCTTCATCCCAGACTAAGTGAATTAAGTTTTGAACTATTGACCCTGCACTTATGCACACTAGTTTCCACTGTATCAGCAAAGAACTTAATAGTGATGTTGCTGGACAACATACCAACTGGGAAACTGGGAAGTTGTTCAGGAAAGTAAAATTAATGAATGTCAGAATTTAAATAACGGAACGGGACAATCCTCAACAGGGCTAGATCCTGTTGAGGTTTTGTAACAATATAACTAGTAACTTGATGATGCTTCAAGTTTGTAAAGTGGCAGACACATGACTCAGTAATTGGCAAAAATCTAATGGTGTCCCATAAATGGTAAATTGTCGTATCTGGTAATAAGGAACAAGTAAACGCTTATTCCATGCTGAAAAGAGAAAAAAAGGAAACACAATGTTTCAAAAACGTTGTGTTTTTTTCTTCTTCTCTTTTTAGCATAGATTAAACCTTTAGCTGTTCTTTTCTTCTCTTTTCAGCATGGAATAAACCTTTACCTGTTACTGTGCAGCCTACACATGCTGACGCAGCTCCCTATTTGAACTACATCTGGTGATAGGGAAATGACTACTTAGGATTGTGAAATCCAAGAGTCCATTCATCTGTCTTTCCATGCGAGTAGAAAACCAAAAGAGGAGAGCATAGGGGAGTGATTCTGGTAAAGCACTGGGGGTTAACTGTCTCTACTAGGAAGAACGCCCCTCTTACAAATTGCCATCTGTGCATGCTAGAGAATGAGATACCTATTGTAGTTGCAAACACAGGTTTGGCTTGGAGAAAAAATAATTTCGATGGAGTGTTCATGGTGTGACAAAGAGAGTCTGGCATCCAATTTAGAGACTATGCAGAGAAACAGGCCTGTATGATCCTTCTATCTATGCCAACCAGCAGGTCCTGTTAAATTAAATTTGCTGTAGAAACATTTTTCAAGGACTTATGTAATTGTGTTTGTATTCCGAAATGATGTGCTGTTTCCTTAAAGACAAACAAAGGCATCTATTGCTTCAGTCCCTAGGTTGTGTTTCATAATTGTTGTGCTATACACAGACAAACATTTTTGTGACAAGCCTTAACTTGTTAATTAAACTTTCCACACACACTGATTCAATCTGAACACCATTCCATAAAGAAAACTCAGTCTAATGAAACTTGGACTGAAAAACGTTTTACTCACAGGGGCCATAACACAAAATAAGCTCCTTGTTGTCTTTACACAATTGCCTCAGGGATCTTCAAAACCGTAGCCAGTAAAAAATAATTGGCTACCCAAAATCTAACTTTAGAGCTCTGCTTGAAACAAAAGCCCTCAAAATAAGCATGGCTTTGAGCTCATTATTGAGAATCGGGTACAGATCCCAAATCAGATGCTACTGCGCAGGAATAATTTCTTTCTGAAGTTACATTGAAAAACACAGAAAGACATCTACCCAGTTTTCTTTCAATCTAGCTACAGTTTGATTGAGAAGCATCCAGAGACGAGATCTCTTTTCATCTTCCCTGGCTGCCGCCGCCTCTAATCTATGATGTTCATTCACAAATAAGGGTTCCTTTTAATGTTCTAGGGAATGAAAGCACTATGGAACAAATACGCACTAGGGAAACATAACTCAAGCGGTTCAGAGGAAGAAATAGACAAGATTAAAGGAAATGGACAAGGCCTGAAATCCTCTGAGCTTTATGTACTGGCTGAAAAAGGTACTCAGTTTTCAAGCAGTACTGATCCACATATACATACAGGTATGTATATTTGCCTGGAGTTTGAATATATCTCATTAACTTAAGAGTCTTTTTTTAACAGCAAGAAGAGTTATGGCACAGTTTTGCAACCCGTCAAGAACCTCAATTAAGTGAATCTCATTTACTGCCTTTGACATCACACGCACTGGCTTCTTTGAAATGCAAATTTCAAATCAGGATAAAATTATAAAGGGAAAAGGCCTGCTTTACACAAAGGATGACAGATCATTGCTTAGTGCTGAAGGAACCTTTTCTCACCTGCTCCAATCATGTTTAATGCTGTTAAGTCTTGCTTAAAATGCCTGACTAAAATGCCCGAATGTTTAGTTACTCTTCACAGGTCTGAAATGAAATTACTGGATTTTATCTAGTTTCTCTTCATTCTGAAGGAATTTGACCATTTCATCACAACTCCTAGCACTGAACTAGAATTCACAGCCCAAAAATGCTGAACATGAAATCCTGTTCCTTTGAGAACTACAAATGCCAAGGGGAATACTGTTATTGAGAACGTAGAAAATATAAAATGCTTAAATCATCAAACATAAAGTCTTAATGTGTCATTCCCTCACAAATTAGTGTCAAAAGACCTATACAGCAAAAACCCAATGCTGTTCTTTTAGAGAACATGCTTCAAGCTATGATTGTGCTGGCAATCATAGTGTTAAGAGCGATTTATTATGAACCCTGTGCAGGTCTCTAAGAGAGTCGGATGGCTTACGAGTCTGAGGAGGGTGAGGCAGAAGAGTGGTCAGTAGTTCCAGGCTAGGATGAATTTGGGTTGAGAGATCAGCGAGGAAAACAATTAGAGACGAAAGGCGAGATGAAAGGGTTGTCAAGATGGGTCTTCGTATCGGTGGTCAGAAGTAGAGGACGAATCACGCTAAGGAGGTGGATAAATTCCTAGCACTGAGCAAGGACTACGAGGGAATGGAGGGTTTAAATAGTGAAGGAAGAGGAGATTGAATAATGAGGATTAATTTATGCTGGTTGTGCTCGTAACACATAGCTTGAACTGTTTCCCTCTTCAAAGAGTACATGAGCATATACCATCTTGTACACTCTATCAAAAACTGTATATGAACAAACGAGCTGCTTTCTTCACTGTTAGCCTTACATAGTGCTGGTAAAGGAATACACAAGCAAATCTATTCAAAACAGCTTCTGCAATATCTAGGCTGGGAGAGACAGCCAAGAGCTGAGAAGTTGAGTTGAAGTTGAACTGAAGTTGAGTTGAAAGCAAGGGCCTCAGCAGAGAGCAGAATAAAACCTCAGAAGCTTCTTCTGCCTAAAAATAACGCAGCGCTTTATTTGTAGAGTACTTTGTGAGCTCACAACTGAGGCTCCTGCCAATTTGAGGGAATAATGAATGGTAGGATATACAGAATCTCTTGGACATGAATATTTGAAAAGAATATTTCATCTCTTGCAAAATCGTTGAGAATATACTTAATTTAGTTGGGCGACCATACGACTGTGAGACAGGATGGTATATTCAGCTGTGCATCTGTGCAGAGATGAATTGCATGACCAAATTGGAAATCAAGTGTAAAACGTCTGACCGAATTTTAGCTCCACATTTCAAATTCAAATAATCTTTAAACATCTGCTGATGTAACAGGTCTCACTCATATTGCAAAACAGTCAGAGTAACATCACCACCCTCTACTGCTACACTAAAGAGACATGTGAAATGTCATAGAAGGTTCAGCATGTGTCTGGGCTTTGGAAGTGTCTGGGATGGAGGTTCGAATCTATGTTCTTTGGGTCACTAACACCTTTCAGTCATTGAGAGTACCGTGAAGTTTTAAAG